TCTATCTCACAAAATTGTGTTTCATGACACTTTTTTTGCTCTTACTTGCTATACTCTTTGTTTCATGAGTCTGCTCTAAGCAGAAATAGAGTAATTTAGAGCATGATTTTTTGCTCTGACTTTTTTTTGTAGAGTAACATAGAGCAAGCAAAATAATTGTTATGACAGGCCTGTCTGCCAAGTTTTTATTTAAAAAATTGACTATAGCAAAGAAAGGTTCAGTAAATAAAAATGAAAAGACTAAACTAGACTACTCTGAAGTTATTCTTTTCTCCTTATCACTAGGCCATTTTATATAAATATTGGACATCCGGCTTATAAAATAAAAAACCCTTGAAATAAATCGGCTTGCTGTTCCAATAGATACATTAGAACGATCTCCAATATTTCGAATTGAGCAGGCTTCACGCCCTGGAAACCAAAGATACAACGCTAAATGCATTATCGCACTATACACCTTAATTTCATCTGGCTTTTAGAATTCTTCTGAACTTTGTAATTTCTTCCTAAGCATTTCAAAAACACGTACGTCTCTTCTCACACGAAAATACATCATACACTCTTCATCTGTGTACTTTGGAACTACTTCTTTGAAGTAAGTTTCGATACAATTTCTTTCATTCCTCAAAGTGGCAAGTACAATCAAATCATCGTCCTCACTAGCTTCGGAGCTCTCAATTTCTGATGAGAATAAAAGCGTATTATCCGAGTCTGAAGAATCAAGATATTCTTCCATGATTTCGGTGATAATATATTTATCCGTTTTTTATTTTGCAAAAATTGTATATGTACACAAATTCATATATCTACAACGAATGATATTTGTCAAATGAAAATTCAAACATTCAGCTGTTTTGAGAATAATTTCTACATAGAAAGTGTTTCATGCGATTTCAGCTCCGAGTTGCTCTATCTTGCTCTTCAGTTTTTTGACAGTTGCTCTATTCTACTCTAACTTACTCTGCTCTACTCTGTTTTCAGAATCAAAAACAAAAAACACGGGCATCAGTAAACTCATTACAACACTTGAAAATTCCAATATTTTTTGATACTAAAAATTGTTTCTTGAAGCTTAAATATGCTACATTACTGTCTAAAAATTTCGTTCACCGTAATAACTTCCCTTCCTCTCAAAAAAAATTGCCGAAAAAAACGTTTTTTTCCGGGTTTAATTTATGTTTCGAAATAACCAAAAAATCGAGGTCAAACTCTTAAGGTAGCAGGAGTAAACTTAAGTGAAAGTTGCTTCTCCCTTGGCCAGTTGTGTGTAGCTCGTCTGGTGATTCTAGCAGCCCACGGAAAAAGAAAAAATATTTTTTATTTTTTTATTCATTTTCGGTTTACTTAAGAGCTTAAACTTCTACATTATAATAAATACCTTTACATTATAATAAATACCTTAAAAAATCAACTTAAAAGCTTTATTGCGAAAAAGTGCTTACAGATATATTATTCAAAGTATTGTTCCTCGCTAGCGACAACTTTCTCCCATCTTTCCGGCAATTTTCGGATCCCAGCTCGAAAAAATGAGTCCTCTTTTGACGCTATCCATGAAGCAATCCATTTTTCCAATTCTTCGAAGGATTGAAAATGTTGATCTGCCAGGCCGTCTGCCATCGAACGGAATAGGTGGAAATCAGAAGGGGCGACATCTGGGGAATACGGCGGGGGGGGCAAGACTTCCAATTTCAGCGTTTCCAGGTACTTTTTGACCACTTTTGCGACGTGAAGCCGATCGTCGTGTTGGAGGATGACTTTGTCATGTCGCTCTGCGTTCGGTAGCGATCTCCTGTGATGGTTTCACCCGGTTTTAAGAGCTCGTAGTAAATCACATCGAGCTGATCCCACCAAATACAAATCATAACGTTGTTTGTCTTCGAATTCGAAATCACCATTTTTAAAGCGTTGAAACCACTCCCGACACGTTCTTTCACTCAGAGCAGTATCACCGTAAGTTTCTGAGAGCATTCGATGCGCTCCAGCTGCATTTTTTTCCAATTGTAACAGAAAGGTAAAACTTCCCGCAAATGGCGAGAATTAGGCACATAAACGGATATTTTCTAGCGTGAATAATACGAAAACAAGAACAACTGTCACTGAAACGGCGATGACAATTCGTTAGGCACTATCCACACTCACTTTAAAGGCATTATCATCTATGTATTTCAACCAGCCTCAGCCGGTACAGCCACCTATCGGAAAACGGCGGAAGCAAAGTTGTAAACCTGATAAGTTAAGATTGGTGACGTAGGCACCCTTTACGCGATTGCAGCCTAATCAACAATAGCACGCCAATCTCTGCGCTGATCGGTTTTAATTTGAAACACCTAAGTGAAGCCGGGTTCATCTACAACTGATATTTTCAATGGAGTGGTTGTTTTACTCTTCCACCAGCGGTTACTGCATCGAATATTTTCTAAGAGTAAGAGTGCTCCCAGCCTTCAGTATGACTTGATTTGGCCAGCATATATGTATATCGTAGGGCTCTTTGTTCCATTCTCTGTAGTTTTCAGAACAAAAAATTCTACGCTAATTTTTCACTTGATAACTTTTACTGCCGACTTAGCGGATGTCTACATCGTCCTGACTTCTGCTTCATATATGTAATAGGACATAAATTATGAGCGATCATTATGAGCAGAGATCAAACTCTACAAGATCTTTGTTTGTCGATGGAGGACTTTACTTTAAAATTGCCCACTCATTCCAAAGGAGCATTTCAAGGCTAAAATGGAGTTTTTTCATTGATAATTAATTTCAATTTGTTAATATATAAAATTAGAATATAATTTAAGATTCCTCGAGCCATTGAGCGGGACGGCAGATACCATCCGAGTTTGATTTGTAATACCAAACTACTTTACAGGAGTTAACTGATCCTTTTTGTTGCTTAAATTTATTTATTTTTTACACGAACTATGCATACAAAGAACTCAAAATATAATTTACTTAACCAACTTAATTACAAAATCCTCATGCAAACCAATTAACTTGGCTTTTTTGCTTCAATTAAGCAAAACTCATTTCTTTCAATCAACTTCGAGACAAAATTACTCTCTTATTGCAGTTGTCGTCACACCCTTTTCAACACAATTTTAATTACAATTCACAACAACACCGATTAATAGAAGTAAAGTAAAAAGTCGTTTACGTCAGTAACATACATATCAACACCTACCTACCTACACACATATAATCTCGTATATTCCGCACGAACTGCGATTGTGGGTATTTCTTTGGGCCACAGCCGACAGAAAGACATATCGCGGCACTTCCTGAGGTGAATTAATAAAATACGTACATACGTACTTTTAGGCATACTTATATATAGTGAACGCTTAACCGTTTGTGTTACTTTCGGCCGAGCTTCTCACCTGAATTTTGATATTTCTGAAGACAAAACGGCGAGCGTTAATAATTGGCTTTCAAATAATTCACCAGATGAACCAAAACGGATCATTGTTAAGCACTAAAAAGATTTATTTTCACATTGGTGCTCCGTTGGATACATTTTTGTTTGTAGACAGGTCTTCCTGAAGCGTCCATGGGTAGATCGTCTTCATTTCTTGATACCACAACTCGAACTCGACTCCTGATACCATAATGTAGAGGGAGGAGATATCAGCTCAAACGTCGGCGGAGAAGTGGGTATTAACACTTAGCGAGTTTACTAGGTCTTTCGCTAGGGGACACCCCTCTGCTGTGAAGGCTTCTGCTCACATCCAATACCACAGCCTGGAAGTGCTATAGTCGATGAAGCCTCGAGTCTGCAAGTGTTTATAGTACAAATACAGTAACATGCATAAACATGGAAGACGAAACAGAGCAATATGGAAAGGCTTAACGGTATACAAGATGGCCAAGATGAAGTGGAAGAGCAGCATAGGCAGATACAGTCATTTACTGCACACAGGATCTCGAAAGAAGTGTTTCTGGCCTAATAACAGATTACAACTAACTGGTGTTTCTCGCATGCTTACTGGCGGGTGCTAAAAAGTTGCATAGTTTCTATGGTGAAAAGGTCTTAAGAGAAACACAGTATCGAAGATGCTTTGTCAAATTCCGTCCGGGAGATTTTTCGCTCAAAGATAAGCGGATAAGCCACGTGCAGGTCGGCCAAATGAAGTTGATGATGACCAAATCAAAGCATTAATCGAATCGGATCGTCATGTAACTGAGCGGGTATTCACCAATAGAAGATTATGCTGTCAGTTTGGTGAGATCGGAAGGGTGTGGTATATTTTGAGCTGCTTTCAGGGAACCAAATGATTAACTCGGATGTCTACTGTGAACAACTGGATAAAATGAATGCATCAATTGGTCAGTCGTGAAGGTATCATATTCCACTAGGACAATGCTAGGCCGCACATAAAAACTGAGAGTGCTTGACTGGGAACTGTTGATGCATCCACCATATAGCGCTGACCTTGCACCATCAGACTGCCATTTGTTTCAAAATTTTCAAAACTCATCAAATGGTAAAACTTTCGAAAATGGCGAGGCTTTAAAATCGCACTTGGTTGAGTTTTTTGCAGATAAAGGCCAGAAGTTCTATGAGCATGGAATAAGGCTGATGCCGTAATAATGGCGAAAGGTCATACAACAAATTGGAAGTAACATAATTGATTAAAGTTCATTATAAAATTAAAAAAAACGTGTTTACTTTCTTTTAAAAAATCTATGGTTTCTGTTGGGGCAACCCAATAGTAGATAGCAGTAAGTCTTTTTTGATGACTTTTATAAATTAGATGGTAGCTTCATCCACGAGAAGAAACAGGTTTATGTACGGTATATCCGTGGCGAGAGTGTTTTACCTAACCCATCCTAAAAATCTGCTACGCATCTATCTCCACGCAATGAATGTCGTTGTCGCTGAATGTCGCTCGGGACATCTGAACAAATAACTCTCCCTTTTCTTATTTCGTTTTGCATTTTATTTATCTCACACAAATATGTATGTATCAGTACATTTTTATCAGTGAATCCCTTCCAACGTTGGTTCAACCTTCATAACAATCGTTGACTTTATCCTCTTTGTTAAACTGGAGTAAAACTAATTCATAGGTGACAATGCTGCCGGCCACCTGCAATCAAGTAAAAGATTATAAAGAGAATTTGAATTACTTGAATTTAGTATATATGAGGTCTAGTAAAAAGTAATTCATTATGCATTAAATTTTAAAGATATTATTGACCATAGTAAGAGTTATCCGATTTATGCCCAAGGTGCACGGCTTCCCTCGAAAATTTCTTACCATCTTCAAGGTGATATCATTATTCCTCCCTGATAAAACCCTTGTCACTACTGGCTAAAAATATTGGGCCAATGGATTTTCACCGGCTTCTCCTGGGGCCAATACTTCACCAGCCAAAGCATTCGCTATAGACAGGAACAGATGGTAATCACTTAGTGCATGGTCCGTACTTTAAGTTGGATGCATAAAAACCTAGCTCTCTAACGTCTGGCGACTCAATATCGTTCTGTGTGTGGTCTGGCATTGTTCTGATGAAACACAATTCCCTTATGTTGCCCAAAGCTGGATATTTCTGGGCGATTGCTTCCTTCAGAAGGTCCAATTGCTAACAGTAAAGGCTCGAATTAAGAGTTTGGCCAATCTCACCAAACACACCATAAAAACTTTCCGGCTTTCTATACTGGCTTGGACTGCGTTTGTTCCGGCTTACTGCTCTACGACCACGACTGTTTTCATTTGACGTTACTGCATGTGATCCACTTTTCATCATTAGTCCCCCTCCGCTACAGAAATGAGTAGATTTTGTTACAATTCAGCAGCGATTTGCAGATTCGGTCCGTGAGGTTTTTTCACATTATCTCATGTAGCATCCATAAATCGAGCTTCTTTTTGTATAGAATATACAAGGGCTACGTTGGGTAGGTTCTTTAGCTCAGCTGGCTCAAAACAATGCAGCTTATATCTGAGAGTAAAAACAGATGAAACCTAGAAAACCTCCACTCCGTTAGAGGCACATGCCTTCACTTAGTGTCCCAAATCGTTGACAGAGTTAATTCGACTATTACCGCATAAGCTCTGAACGTTTCAGTTCATATGTATGGTAAAATAGGAAGCATATGTCTTACGTCACTTGTTCAATGTTATGCAACGGTTTCACGGCAAGCATAGTTAGATTCTAACAGGTGGGCAGCCTACCATTAGCTTTTTGAACTACATCTCTTTTGAGCTTTACCAACTCCGTTGGCATTTTCAATGTATCTAGTATTCCCTGCAAAGTTTTTGACTTCCGAAATGATTTTGTTACGCTTGAAAAGAGCTGGAAAATATTGAAAACTTGCTTCCAAGAAATTCTGCCGAAGTTACTCGCAATTTGCGCAGCGAGTCCGCCATCGGATAAAAAAACTCTCGAAGGGCGCATTCGGTACATACAGAGAAAAAAGTTACGCTGCTGTGACGCAAATCGTTCCCGAATAGACATAAACATGAACTCGAAACTGTTCGGAGAAAACCAACATTTCGTGCACTCATTTGCGCAACATTTTGCATAAAGACCTCGGTACGAAAGCTTATACACAAAAGATGAAAACTCAAAAAATCCAATGCGTTTTTGGTTGGCTTACTGAGCCGAAGATGCTTGGCGGAAGATTAGCCTTTCTAATGAAAATTTTTCTTTTCGATGAGGCTCATATCCACTTAAGCAACTACGTAAACAATCAAATCTACCGCATTTGAAGCTCAAAAAACCGCAGACAAGACAATGCATTCTCAAAGATTGACTATTTGATGCGCCATGTGGACCGGCAGTATGGTTGGTTCGTTCCCAACCAGCCGCCGCTGCGATCTTTTGTGTCCCTTATTGGAAAATTCCATGCTTTGCTGAAACGACGATGTCTATTGCCCACCTCGCAGCTAGGTTTTGACTCCATTGGACTAGTTTTTGTGGCGTGGCATTAGAGAGCCATTCGACAGTTGCGGCCGAGTAGTCAGCATTGCGTACAACCATTCTGTAGGCAAAATATTCAAGCTCTGGTTCGACCAACATCCAAGAGATAGATAGTTGCCACACGACTGGGAATGTCTACCCTTGCGAAAGTAATTCTGACGTAATAAGCTCCTCATGAAAACCATCAACCGTAAAGAGGTGTCTTAGTGTGGACTTTAATTCCCTCCATTTATATCCAATTATATATATACGAGTATTAAGGACTAAGTCTACGTCTACCATTAAGTAATGAGACTGACTATAATTCCGCGATTATGGTAACCCTGCGACCTTGAAATTTCCTTTCCCTTCTCCCGGCATGCTTCTCCTCTCCATTGATATATTAGCCATAGCACTAGCTTGTTTAGTTCGCCTGCTGTGTCGTGTTGAGTAAACGAGTGTTCGTGAGGTTGGTCACGAAACTGGAAAAACGAAGTCAAGAGCAATTGCGCCAAATCGGGCGAAACAGTTTCGGAAGCGTACGTTAAAATTATAAAAGTGCATGGTGGTAGTCTACCATCTCCAAGTACTCGAAACAGGGTGTGCCCAGACATATCTCGTAACTGAATCCTTCATCACGACAACGCGCTGTGTCCCAGTATTTGGCTTCTAAAGGGATCGCCGTGTTGCAACAACTGCCTTATTCGGCCGATATGTCACCCTGTGATTTTCTTGTTCCCTAGAACAAAATCGGTGATTAAAGAAAACCATTTTGAGTCGATTGAGGACATCCAGGTAACCGTGACGGGGGTACTTGCGAAAATCCCAGTCTAAGCGATCGAAGCATGGAAAACGCGTTGGAATGGTTGTATAGCTGCCCAAGGGAACTACATTGAAAGGAATGGCAGAGTTGTAGAATAGTTTTGAACTATACGGTTTTTATGGAATCCGTGTCATTACCTAATTGTCACACCTCGTTTGACTTGAAACATGAAATTGATCACGAAAGGGAAAATGTGTTGGGAAATTAGGCAACGGCAACTATATCTATATGAAATGGTCTTCCCGCTTTGACTGGAATGCTGGGTTATTTCAACTACAAATATGTCTTTTTTTCCTAATAAATTATCGTGGCTTCATCGCCCATCCATTAAATGGAGAGTCAAATGCATTACTCTCGTACACCACCTGACATTACTTACCGACAGCACCAGACCACGGGTTAAATGAAAGAATTTCATGCCAGACAATGCCACCACGTCTGTGGTCACTTCCTCTGAGAAACGTTTCAGCTGCGAGCACGCCAGTGTGTAAAGGCGCACACATGGTTATGTGTCGGCATAAATACATATATGTAAAAGTGAATAGAGCCAAGAAATAAAAGATTAGATTACGAGCTTGTTGCTGTTTGTAAAATGAAAAAAGTTATAAATAATTAAAACGAAGCAGTTGCCCTGCAGGAGGTGGCAATAGCACTTGGACTTAATTCATCATCTACCCAATATGTACTCACCTCAGGACACCAGAACTTGCTCGGGACACTGCGAAACACCACCAAAGGCCGCTTCGATTCATCATTTATTTCTGCGCTGAATAATGATAGCATTAGGGTGCGCATCAACAGGAAACCCAATGAAAACCAGAAGTACACTGAATGTGACCACGATGGTTTCTTCCTGACAAAGTGGTAGAAGGTGAAAGGAAATCGTATTGATAAGGAAAAGAATTCCATATATATGTGTGTGTGTGTGTGTGTGTGTGTATTTTACATACTCACTGTAAGCTTTTTAGTATTTTTCCACAAATGAAAAACAAATTATTGGAAAAACAAAGCAATGTTATTATGGAAATGGTATCGTCAGTTGCTTCACACAATTTGCACATATTACGGTAATTTATACGATTATCCATCCAGAATTTCTCGGTAGTTGGCTGCAAGAAATGAACGACGACGAATGATTAGAAAAATATGAAATTTGCAGGAGTCAAAAGGAAAAGGAATTTCATCGCATATTTTGAGAAAATTATCCTTGAAACTCCTCTCAATAACGACATGAGGATATAGAAATTAAAAAAATTAAATTAAATTCAAATTTCCAAGGTGGATTACTGCGTCTGCTTAATAACACCCCACACATTGATACACAAATAATAAAAAAATAGTAGGTAAGCACCGCGTACCCGATTATAGCCGAGTTAACAACAGCATGCCAGTTATCAATTGGAGATAACAAGTGAGTGCACCTTCATCTGGTCTTGCTGCTAAGTTAAGCCAATGTCGCCGTATATCTTGAACAACTTGTCGTTCCATCGTCATCTTCCATACGCAGAAAGCCATAAACTTCCCACAAAAGTTTACTCTCGCACGAATTTCGCCCTCGTAGCGATTAGTAAACACCAATAAATTCTAAGGAATCTACTTCTGCTCATTACCAGCACACTAAGGCCTATAGATCCATTGTGATACCGCTGTAACTAGACACTCCTTCTTCTTCGCCTTCTCAAATAATCGAAGCATTTCGTGTGCCTTATAAAACCAATAAGATTACCAATTTTCGCTGCTGCGCCATCGCACCGAGTTGCAGTTGGGAACGGTTTTAAGATCGAAAACTTGTTTAATACCATCGATTAACAACCGTAATCACCGGGTTTGGCCCCATGAGACTTTTTTTGCTTCCAAACTCAAGTTAAGTGGAACCCGTTTCGATCCGATGGAGGCCGTAAAAGAAAGTCGATTGAAGTCTGCTGACTTTGTCTGAGATGTCGCTATGTCTCGGTACCCAGACGACATCAATACTAGATTTAGTCTAGAGTTTTTTCATATTCTACATTTTATGAACAAATTTGATGTTATATCGTAACGGGAGGTGGCTTCCGATTACAAAGACTTCCGCTTGGAAGACGCTCTAGTGGTCTGATAATCTCATTCCCGTATTTGCTGAGTGCGTCGGAAAGTAGATTCCTCAGCCCACATTTCCATCGAATTTCGAGTTGTGTTCTAAGTCTCGCTGATTGAGAGCGTTGATATTTGCCCACTTATTTCTGTTTTGGGATTTTTTTGGAGAAAGATTGTCGAGCCACATACTGAAGCCGGTGCAGTCTAGCGCCTTCGGTACTTCCTCAAGAGATAATATTTTAGCGTATCCATTACTTTGATTCTCCTAGGGTTGAGTTGCGTTGATTTCCCGAATAGGCCGAGAAGAAGGAAGTTGAGAAGAGTTCGCAGTGCTTAAGATTGAGTTGATGGTACTGCTTTTAATACCTCGTTAGCAGCCGACCGCTGAACTTTCCTTAATTTAGTTCAGAAAGTAATTTTGCCATAGAAAGTTAGTGCAGAAAAGATTACAGTCTGGTGGTAAATCCTACAGATACCAAAAGGTACAACCCAAGTGCTCTTAAGCCGTCTTTACTTAAAGCCATTGAGATAACTCTTTCTACTCAGGCCCCAAATACCTAGCCACAATCTTAGATAGCAAACTCACATGGAATTGAAATACAACGACTGATTGAAGGTAGCAAAAAGATGCAGGCATACTTTAAGCCAACTCGTATCTGTTTGCGAAAAGTCCTTAGTTTGGGTCGCCGGACGCAAGGCAGAGAAATCCACGAATATTGTGAGGCCCATGAACTTGCTAGAAGAGGAAAAGTGCATACCACGGCAATTTCAATTTCAATTTGGTAGAATCAGCCTTAGACCGGTAGAGCCAATGTCATATTGCGGAGTTAAACCACAAACAATGCAACCAGAACGAGTTGACTATTGGTCGAAGAGAAGAGAGCAACCTTGACGAGCCTAAAAACAAGCGTAAAAACTAGAAACTGTCTGACCTACGGCAGAATAATGAACTGCTTTTCTAACAACTTCTGTCGCAGTTGGAGTCACCTAAGCGATAAGGAGCCGGAGTCATAGTTGGTGTCAAAGCATTACCTCTGCCCCTGCCGAACGGTGAGTGCAATTTCGTTCCACGAAGCCGAGAGTTTGGTCTTTGTTCGTCGATAGTGGGCATTGCATTTCTATTGCCTACTCAGTCTAAAGTAACGCTTATTCGAGGAGTGATTATACATTGGATTCCCAGGCTGTTGGACACTCGTGTGAAACACATTAGTCACATCTGGCGTCAAACCACATCGCGTTATTCTTTCTGCAGCTCATTAGAGTTTTTATCCAGCGAGAGGACAATATATACTCGGGTTAATGGGGGAGAGGCCTAGGTCTAGGTGGATCTACACTTCGTACGTGCCTTCAGCGCTTTTGCGGATTGACAACTTTCTAGATGTACTTATGTAATAAGTATGAATTTGTGTGAAATCGAACATTAGTTATTATAGATACACGGACAATAAATATATGAAATAGAATAGTTTAACGCTCACGTATATATTTTATTAACTTATTGGTACAGAATATTGCAAAAATAAAGAATTCTGCTGCGCACGTAAGTTCATTTTTTGAACCAATATATTTATGCATACATACACATGAACATACATAAATATGCAGCAAATAGTAATTTGATTTTGAGCTTTGCAACCTTACCTGTTTGGCAGCGCGCAACATATGTTCATTTAGTTGGCGGAAACGTGCCGAGAGCGCCACACTCACTGCCATCACAAAAATATCATTAAAATTCCATGCAAACGTCGATATCACATTCAACACTTTGCCAAAGATGCCCGCAAGGTTGGTGTATTCAAAGAAGTAGAAAAATTGCGCCCAATTGGAGAAGAGAAAACTCTGAATCGGATGTCCTGGCATGGCAGGGCAGCCATTCACGTAATATATAATGCCCAACATGCTAAGTAAATGCTCCACTTTTCCATTCAAATTGAAGAGGAAAATAACAAAATCCAAAAAGAAAAAGAAAAATAAAAAAATAATATTAGTACGAGTGCAAAACTTCGATGCTTGCTTGAAGCAATTACACACTCACCTACGGAGCACACAGTTGCCACAAGCGTAATCATTTTTATGCGGTGAGCCAAAGCAGCTTTCTGCATTTCCGTTTTCAATGGCGGCAACTTTGACTCGATACTCTCCCATGTCACCATCAGAGCGGGCCACTTGCGGGCCAATTGAAAAAATGCCAATGCTATTAAAAATATCGACACATAAAACACTATTGCCTCTGGAAGCGATAGAGTTCAAAGGATATTTTTAGTATATACGAGCACATACATATATAAATTTATTGGAAAATTTTAAAATTTATTTTTATTTGTTTCTACAGTGCGACTTACCAATTGTGTCGAAATTGAAACTTTCACGAAAAGCAAAGGCAATGGTACATAAACTGGCTGGACCCAAGCAGAAAATTATGATCATGGCATAAAGGGTGCGCACACATTTCCAAGAGAAATACAGCTCCGATGCCGATTTCGATAATATACCACAAACAGGCATCAAAGCAAATATTTGCGCAAGCAACAACACTACATGTATGAAGGAGAAAATTAAAAAAATTATTTACATTTCTTTCTGTTGGACTTAGTTCGTGGATTTAATCATAATTAAATGAGAAAGAGTGTTCCTTTTGGCGACATACCGCGGTCTTTGTACCTTTCATTGAAACCTTTTTTTAAGACTTAAATATTTCAGCTGGAATTGGGGACGCTAAAGGAAGCTAGGTCGCTCTCCACCTGATTCTTCCAGCACTGTCTCTTTACTCGCTGGACTATGCCAATGTAGTCTTATCCCATACCGCTTTACGCCAATGACTGGAGGGTAATGCAAGTTGGAAAGGTCAAGGCGTAGAAAATGTTAGCCCGAACTTATTCACCGCGTCCTGTGACGGCGGAAAAATTGGGCTGTTACCTCACTTTTTATCGGAAAATTGCACTCATAAACAATCACTTGCATGTGTACTCGTATAGACACAGAGCTCGTACCCAAATGGCAAGAAGCAGTATGCGGTAAAATTTCCTTCACGAGAATTCTTCGCAAATTATAAGGCACATTCATAACAAAGTATGCCGAAGTATTACCCCACAGGCTGCAGTTCCATCGCAAGCTTAAAAGTACACACTGTGATGTAGTAGAATATGCTGTTGACATGGTTCATCATCACAATGACTAGCAAACGCCCACAAATTTTAAGTGATATACTCCAAAACACCCTTTACATAGTAAGCAACTGGTGTAGGGATTGCGGTCTGGACGTAAATCTCACAACGACCGAAATCTTTGTATTCACTAGGCGGTGCAAGCCAAGTGTTTTTAAAGCTAATGAGATAACTCTAACTGACCTGAAACGGAAATATGGTAGAACATGGCGATTATTAAAATATCGGGGCCTAAAAAAGTGATAATAAAACCTCCATTGTTCTACGGAATCACAGTCTGGGGAGCAGCCCTAAAAAAGCAAGCTGGAGAAAGCTCAACAGACAGCCTCCTTCAACTTCTATATCTGAGGAATTGGTGTAGTTTGAGATTAAGGATCTACAAAATTTACTCAATAGCGTCTCAATGTAGCGTCTTTCAAGCAGAATTATGTGAAATAATATAAGCTGCTACGTTGTTACTAAATTTTGAAATGGTAACTCAACCTATCACAACAGGTTCTGATACCCAAGCTGCCATTGAGTCTCTTCAAGGCAATCACACCATCACAAAACTAGCAGCAAGATGCAGGAAAATTTTAATCCAACTCGTATCTGTATGCGAAACATCCGTAATTTGCGTCACTGGACATAGAGACATCCAAGGGAATTGTGAGATCCATGAGCTTGCTGGAACGAGAACAATACTGACTACGATAAATTCAGCACTCAAAGTGGATATACCTCTTAACTTGGCAAAATACCGGACTTAGACCAGTAAAGCTATCAGATTACGGAAATAAACCACATGCAAACTCGGAGTATTTCCTTTGCCCCTACCCAACCTTCAGTGCAACGCGACTTTGTTACGCGGTAGTTTTTCTTTCGGCTGTCTCACAGAACTTACTTCGTTAAGCTACAACAATCTGATGGGGTTTTATATATATATATATATCATTGGCACTTTGTAACCCCTGAAGCGATTTTTCCGCCGAGCTCCTCTAACAAGTAGTGGTTTTGAGTCTTGAAGTTTTTCCAAGAAATGGAGGCACCTACAGTTTATACGAAGCCGCCTCCAAACGGCTGATGGTTTTTTTTACGAGGAGCCCTTTATTTCATGTCCGAAATACACTCCGAGGGATGGACATTCCCTGCCGAGGGGTGACCGCAATTAGAAAATTTAACTTAATTGCTTATTTAAATGAATTTTCCACAACTTTTGGATGTTTATGGCATCAGGATTTGAACCCGAGCCTTTCGAATGGCAGTACGCAATGCTAACCACTCGACTACCGCGGCCGCCAATGGTGTTTTAAAACACACTAAATGATTTGAACATCTAGAAAGGTCACATTCCTACCATGAGTAACATATCACAACGGTCGGTGCGCTTGATCGGGATTCAAGCAATCTTAAAAACTAATTTTATAACTTATTATGACATCAGGTCGCAGAAAGCTCGAATTGAGATCGCCGAAAACACTTTTCCTTCAACGATTTAACTTAAACTCATCATTTCATTTCATTTACTTAAAAACTTACCAGGACCGATGGCCTCCAGAAAGCTACCTGAATGCTGGTAATCAAGCTTCGTGCCGCGCCGAAATATATTTCGAACTGTAAAACAAAGCAGTATTATGGGTAAGGATTTAGAGTTTACGAATTCAAATATAATTGAAAGCATATAAAAATATAAACAACAAAAAACTGATGTTTTCGACCGTGTCGATGTCTTTATATATAATATACGAGGGGATTAACAAAAGCTTGGTAAGTTGACCAGAAAAAAAAAAAAACTCTTTTTGTATTTATTTGTAATCTTTGTCCATTTTTATCTTCTCCACAAAACCGCCATTTATTTCAATGCATTTCTTAAGCACATAGATCCACTTCTGAAAACAGTCTTCAAAATCCTGCTCTTTTAGCTTATTAAGTTCAGCATCAACCGCATGAATTATCTCACCGTTGCTATCAGAGAACTTTCCTTTTGGTTTTATTTTTTATTTTTAGAAATAACCAGAAATCACAAGGTGATGTATCCGGAATCTATGGCACTGGATCCATTTCTTCGATCCCAGAGATCGCAATGGAATTACTAGTAACATCAGCTGTGTGGGGTGTCGCATTGTCATGATGTCAAAAGTAGCGTCGCAAACTCTCTGTCTTCCTATTTTCCAACCACAATTTTTGATAACTTTTTGCAAGCACTCTTCGGTGTACCAATTCAAAGTTATCGTCTAATCCATATCCAGTGGAATAGCAGCTACGATTTTAGATCGGGTGAAGTAAACTGACATCATTACTTTTGTTGCTGATTTTTTTTTTGCTTAGATTTTACGGGTGGGCTTGTTTCTATTGGACTCCATATCATGGACTGCTGTTTGTTTTCTGGATCGTACTTATAGAACCAAGATTCGTCACCAGTAACGACTTCCTCAAAGATGCTAGACTGACCATTTCGAACACCAGAAGAGCGGTCAGAATTGGGAAGTACCTCTCCGAGCCATTCGATACCAAACGAGGTTTCAGACAAGGTCATTCTTTATCGTGCATCTTCTTCAATTTGATGCTAGAGAAAATAATACAAGCTGCAGAGCTAAATAGAAAAGCTTTGAAGCCCAATGCTGAATCATTCTTACCAAAAGGTGCTACTTAGAACTGAGTAGGAACTTGAATAGTAAAACTCTCTCTCCACGCACCAAAACCAGGCCCTCACCATTCCCAACCTACAGATTTGTGCGGCATCGTTAACGATGCCAACATCCGCTGGTCGACGTTAGGAGTCCTCAAAAGAGAAGTATTGAAAACGATTTACAGTCCTTGGTGAAATGGTGACGGCGATTACTGCAGGCGATGAAACGATGAGCCGTACAAGTACCATTGATATAGTTCAGCGAATGAAATAACAGCGCTCCAGCTTTGAAAGTGTTCGACGCAGTACCCGCTAGTGAAAGAAGAGGAAGGGAAATGCCTACACTCAGTTTTAATAATCATGTTGAGAGCAATCGTCACCGCTGCAATTATGAGGAAGAAGTAGTTTTCAGATCATGGGTTAAATCTGTATTTGGTAATTTCCTTAAATTTGTATTGTAGTAAGTCCAAACCAAAGTTTGTATCCGATTTCATGGCCACGATAGCCAGTGACATATTTGCAACGCAGATACCCCACACTAAAATGAGTGATTGGTAGGTAGTTTTAAGCCACTACAAAATTTGCATGCCAAGCTAGTTCGACTCTTCAGAAGTATACCAGTCTCATACTAGTTCCAAGCGAATAAAACAATTACTTTATGAAACGTATGTATCTCTTCCCCAATTATAAAGAAAAGTTTTTGGTTTCTACTTTTGGAAAAAACTAAATAATTGGTTAGAGATGGAATTAAGCAAAGACTTTTATTTTCTTGTCTATTCAACAAAATATCACTACCCCCGTATATAATTTTTGAATTAATATTTACATTTCGCGCTCACCTCTTAACACACCAATAATCCGTTTATGTCGTTTGCCGATTTTAGGTTTTGCACTCCATGATTTCAAATCCATTATACTACGTACAATTGAAAAAGAAAGAAAACCGATACATGAGCGAAAAATTTTTAATCACATCAGATTTTGGAAAGTTATTCTCTATGCTGAATATTTGCAAAAATTGCCTACTCCCTTGACATTTCGCGACCACTCTTCCACAGATTAATATGTTGCAAGCGCAACTCCTGGCGTTGCAACCAATTTTTAGTGAAATTCGCAGCAACTTTCATCGTTTATAAATATCGTTTTGTTGTATCAAAGGTAAATGCGCCTGCAGATATGCAACAATTTCTGGTTGAAATTTATTTTCAACTAACTGCAGCAGAGTAAACACTCTTTGTCAAACCTCTCAAATATTTGCAGGCGTATTTACATATACTTACATACATACATCATTATAACACACATTTATGTACTCACACGCACGCAAATTAAATGTGCAAATTGACATGTAACCGCCCACATGTGGCTACTAATTGTTGAGCTTTCACCATTCTAAAGATATTTTTTTTAAATATTTGTACATACATACGTATGTTGTTCTTTTCAAATTACCATGCTGGCGAGTACTAAATTGTTGATCTGATCATCAAAAATAAAAATTGTGCAAATAAAGTGAGTTCCGCACGAGCTCCTGACGCAATCTCTGATGTGTGTGTCTCTATGAACATTTTATGAAGAGGATCTATTTCATGCCAGACAAACACTCACAGGACTTCACATTCCCTTCCAAGCAGCGACCACATTTTAGATGTATTGTTTTCTTTATGTTTTAGGTGAATTTTATACGCTTTTAGTTGCTGAAGCTGTTTAAGGCCGAGTTCTTTCTTCAATTTGTGGAGTGCGTCAAATGATGGACCTAACATTTATACTAACCTTACTCCTAACAGCCGATAGTTTTCTATGATGAACTCTTTATTCCATGCCAAAAATGCACACAGAGAGCCGGGAATCCCTAGCGAAGGGTGACCGCAATTAGAAAATTAATTTAATTTTTTTATTTAAATTAATTTCCTTTAACTTCTGAATGTTGGTCGGTCCAGTACCTGAACCCTGGCCTCCTGAAAAACAGTACACACACATGATCAACCGAATATTGCGGTCGAATGTTTGGATATGTTGGGTTTAACTGATTGTTTCTAGCGAGTCTGCGTCCATAGTTTTACCTCACCTGCAGTACTACCACATCCTTTGTGATGTTTTCTAGTTTGAAGAACATTGCTGTTCTCTACGCATCAATTAAACTATGGCTCTGTCAGCCAAATGCCAAGAATTGACAGACTAAATGAGCCATTGTTTCAGCACATTCCCAACATTTTCGCCAATTTCAAAATCTACCTAAACTGAGGACATGCAGCCTGAAGTGTGGTCCGTCCTTGTCTAGTAATAACTTTGTGTCTAATGCTTTCTGCAGCTCATCGTTCGTTTCCAATGTCTCTACTCTTGATTAAACAAGATCACTTCTTGTGCTGCATGAAACTAGAAGGCTCATATTTACATATTATTCTAATAGGCGGATATAACCAATTGAGGAGCATGCTCATTGCCTTGCATGTGTACATGTCCTGGTATTAATGTGAGCCCATATTTACACAGTCAATATTTTGTTCACCTCCTTACATAGCGCAACGACAGCCGACTCCTTGTTGTAAGGCCTTAAAAGCTGCTTGGCTATCTACAATACATAGATATGTATTCTCCTTCTATGTAAGCCTCCTCCCTGAGTATATTTTAAGTCATTTTTATAGTAAAAATTTTTTCTTCGATGTTGCTGTAATGGTACGTCTGCAAACCTCAATTATTTACTTCAATACCATTCGTTTCTATTATCGCTGAGAGCAGTTTTCCGATAGTCAAGCGCGGGACAATGCTGTCCGTATTAAGGAATTTTAACAGATATGCATATATATAATGGTATTGGTATAGTAGGAGAACGATAAAAACCCCCAGATGCGACCCAACATTCCTCTACATGTTTAAAGGACTGCTAATGCGTCTGATCAGTGTTGACGCTAAATCTCACTTTATTAGCGTAATTATTTATTGTACTGAATGCCTACTTCGCTAGAGAATAAGGAGTAGTCAAAGCATTACTGTTTACAAGGACCGAAATGTTATACAAACTTCATCGTAAATTAATTGACCACGACGAAGTGACTCCATGCACATCTCTCGTTATTAACTTTAAGTCGTTTAGGCAGTCCCAAAAGGCAAAACTATTTCTTTACAGCTTTTTTCAAGTCATTTCTAAAGGCGCCAGTTTCTACTTGTATAATGACTTACCTTTTAAATAGCGGTGTTGCGCTTTGGAGACTAAACTCTCGTTAACAGTTTGTTTGATTTAGACATCCGGTGAGGTCAAGCTAATCGGTCAGTAGTCCTTTGATAACAAATGCCCTCTCTGTCCTACCAACATTGGGTAGGAATATAAATCATACAGGTCGCCATGAGACAGAGATGTCGACGAATGTTATTATCCTATTTTAACCCAGACGGAAGCTGTTGCATCGATTTAAGGGGCACACGTAGTTCATACTTCGGTTCATATTTCGGTAGATTACACCTTTAAAAATAACATATTAAAATAATAACATATTAAAATTGATATCTCAAATAGTTTTTGAGTTATGACCATTTAGGGAGCAGCCGCTCGGCAGCTAGAGAGTCTCATTAGCTACGAGTGAAAACGATCATTTTATATTTAAACGCGTTTTTCTCGAAACAGCATTTTCAGTATCGAATTTTTTTTAGTTGTTCTATATATAGTTCTCCGTACAATGACCTATCGATTTTTGATCTGATCAAAAGTCGATTTTTGGCAGGCCAAAAACTACCAAAATTTTGGGTAAAATTCGACTATTTTTTTTAAAACGCCGCCATATTGTATATTTTGTTTTTATCGTAGGTCATTGTACAGACTATATTATCTTATCGTTAATTTTTTTTAAATTTCATCTACGGAGAAGGCCTAAATCACTACAGCAGTGAAGGACCTTTTTTCGCGCCGTCGGAGATCGACTATAACTTAAAAAATATTAAATTTTTTTCTTCAAAAATTTCACTGTATATTCTTGAAACATGTATAAAAATATTCTGAAAATTTTTAAATAATTGATAAAGTATTTTTCTAATAAAATTTCCCAAAAATCACCTTTTTTAGGCTATTACACTAGGTGTGCCCCTTATACTAACACAAATTTATACATATGTAATACATATATATATATAGTAGAGTATATATCATGTTAACTCGTATAATTTACCTCTAATTTAATGATTCAATCGAAAATATTATATTTAATAGAATATAATTTCACATAAAATATTGTTTATTTATTTGAAATTCAAATACAATTAGGTAATATGATTATTTTTCATTTCCTCAAGACACGTTCTTCATATCCTTTGCTTCTCTCCAACAATGGAGCGTTAGACATTGCGTGATGTGCAAAAATCTGTAACGACATCCTTATCCTCCACCTGATCGATTAGCACCAATTCGTACACAACTATAGTGCCAGCCATCTGATGAGTACAAGGTAATATATATATATGTACATATATATTTCAAATACCAATATATATACATATACATACATAAAAACAAAGAAATAGCTTGAGGTAGAGGAAGTTTCATTGAAATTAAGATTCGAAATAGTGGTAGGCGAATATGGAATTAAGAAAAAATATTTTAAATTAAATTCCGGTTTGATTGCAAGCTCAAGCGCTAAAGCAGACAGATGGAATACTGATTATATAAACATGGGCTTTAAAGTCTCGGGCGCAACAAAGAAAAAGCTGCTTTTTGGGCTTTATTCCTCAGCTGTTTCCATTAGCTAAAAGTGCGAAAGAAAATGATTATGAAGAATTAATTACATTATGTCATGACATTTTTTCGAATTTTTTGGGTATGAAACTTGAGGTTCACAAATTTATTCGAAAATTTTTGAATTTTGCACAAAAACAGTGGCGAATCGAATTTGCTTAGTAAGAGTTACTAAATGGAATCAACGACGATGTGGAATTATTTAAACGTAGTAAACTTACTGACGATGGCGGGTTCAAGCATATAACGACGAAACTAAGGCTCAATTAACTCAGAGGAGGCTTTCCGACTAGCTTAGACTAAAATTTCAAAGCTGGAGTATGCCAGCTCAATTGGAATCCAATTTATTCTATGCATTCCTTTAGACTTGTCCAACGTAGGATTATTCCTTTTGCTCTTGCCCCGCTTCATTTCGCTGATCCCCTACCTTCTTATACTTCCCGATGTATGCTAATAAATGCCAAATTTCTTGCTCTTCGACCGGTTATTACTATTTATTTTCGACCAACTACAATACTGTAATGGTGCAAGAGCCATCATATTCACCAGTCATGGCTCCGTGTGTCTTTTCTGAATCTTCAAAAATTAGAAGAACCCCAAAGAACTGTCATTTTACCGCCATACGAGATGAAGATCGAGTTTAGAGAAGTGTTTCGGCGTTAGGAAAATGCGCTGGTATAAACTCTATTAGAGACAAAATATTCCGACAACATCATGTTGACGCACAAAATCCCGTCTATTATGCTTAAACAGCTAATCTGCCCTTAGATCTCTACTCTACAAAGATTTCTTCGCATTTGAAGGGACGAAGAAGAGAAAGGGTCTGTTGTTTTTTGGAAAATACTGTTTTTTAATATATCAATCAATATCATCAAGACCGAAGATGGGTCTTATAGGACACAAAGAGGTAAGGCACATAGTTACTGATGCCCAGAGTGTACTGAATTTATGGATGGATTTTCTAGCCTACTCAATGGCAGTGAAAGTACAACACCATTAAATGGCGAATATGATTCCCCAATCGATGATGATGGAGCATACGATTTTATTGACCGACTATGACGATCAGATATGCATCAGCTTTTTTGCAAAATACGGTAGGATGAAAGCATGGTCGACGATTTGAACCTAAGTTTTCTCTGAAGTTTCCGAAAAAGGCGATTCTACAGTCTGCGCCAATAACCGTGATACAATATAAGCCACCTTAATATCGCATATAAGATCCTAACCTGATTAGACCTTAACATTAATTAGATAATTCACCATGCGCCAAACCTTGGAAAAAATCCGTGAACAGTGGATGTACACACACTACGTCTTCGTCGCTTTGAAATCAGCATTCGACAGCAAGAAAAAGGAACGGCCTCTACGCCACTATGTCGGCATTCGGTATCCCCCGTACCGCTATGTAAACTGACGTTAAGCAATACCAAAAGTTCTGTTAGTTTCGGAAAAGATCTCTCCGTGCCGTTCGATACCAAACGGGGTTTAGTGACGCGGCTATCAAATCATTCTTGCCAACAGTTGCTACTTTGGACTGAGTAAACAATGGAAAAGTAAGGTCCTCTTTTCTGCGAACAAAGACCAAACTCTACAAGTGATTCATCATGCCCGTCTTGATATATGGTGCGAAGGCATGGAAGTTTACTACATTTGATGAGTTGGCGGTAGAAGTTTTCCACACCAAATTTGCGCTCTTTTATATGGTAGCTGTAGTAAATATCCCAAGGACCGACATTCTTCCGTCCTTGTCCCGTCCAACGCATCTCTTGGACGGCGGTGAAGTCAGCCTTTAACTTTATGAAGACATCAACCAGCTGAGCAGCGGTACCTACCCAATTAAGGGGCCGGACATTCCAGTTGCATGCCCTAGAATTGTAATCCTTTAAACATTTGCGGGAGTCGTCATCAATAGGGGCGTTTCTTATCCGAGACTGATTTAAATTTTTCATTGGAATTTATTTTTCTTGTGGTGGTTCACAAACCCTACGCATAACCGCATGGAATTCGCCTACTCACTTTAGCTCGCCTCCAAACGGATATCTGTTGGCTACCCAGAGGATACGTGGTCTACCGGATTTCGTGAGCTGCGTGAACCATATGCAGACGATTCGTTTCTGGCCACTCCCAAATGAATAACAGTTAAAGACTTTCCATATATGGCCTCCTCCCCTACAGTTCAGCGAATTAAAAAAACAACGGCATCTCAAGCCTAGAAGGATCTCGGTGCAGTACCCGCCGGTGGAAGCAGAGGAAGTGGATGATCTCCACTCCGTTGGAAAGACCCGGGACTCAACAGCCCTTGTGTTAATCTTAACAACGGTTTAAGCTTTGAGACTCAGCTGCATAATAAGAGGGAATGGAATTTTGGGAATCTTCTGTTTACGCAATTTAATTTTTATTTACAGTCTTTAAGTTGCACTCATTGTATGCTGAAGTCTTACAGCCAACTCAGAAACTCTTGAGCCAATTGCAATTCCAAATTCTGGTATACATTTTATGCTTGATTAGGTCACTTTAAACTTTAAATCTCAATTTGCGCATAACTCCACCCAAGCTATTTCATAGAAACATCATCAATTTCGTTTTAATATTATTGTACATACATATATATAGTCGTACAAGTGGACTCACTTACCGCAAATATGAGACGACGGGTCAGAAAGAAAAAACTCTTACCACTAAACGCCACCAAATCATGAACGATGATTTCATTTAAACGTTTGAGCTATAAAAAAAATATTAACAATAAATTTCAAAACGATGCAATGAATGAATGTGGCATTATCATTAATGTGAATTTCAAATTTTTTTTTTTTTGCCAGTACACACAGCTTAAGCTCTAAGGCAGATGGCTGTAGATATGTGTGTATTTAAGAACTCGTAAAGATTACTCACTTCCAAGCACCAGAATTTTGTTGGTATCTCATACATTGTCGACATAATTTTATTCGCTTCATCATGCACCGCAGAGGCTGAAAGCATCATTGTCAAAATGCGTAGCAACACGAAAAGTAATGAGGACCAAAAATAGAATTCTTTTATAAAGGTGTCTCGATTGCTGTACGCATGTGAAACCATAAAAATTCAAATAGAAAAAAATCATTAAAAAAATATACTAGAAATATTTATCCGTTGCAATTTTAAATTAAAGATTTCATGAACACTCTCCGGCTATTGTTCTTTGTACAAGGAAACCATTTTTTCAGTTTCGAAAAAAGACGTAAAAAAAATAATTTTTTTCAATAATTTTTTAATATTATAAATTTTGAACTTTAAAAAAATTTGCGAGGCGGTCATTTGAATGCTGATATCGCATATAAGAGTCATTCAAATGATCGCCTTGTGAATTCTTATAAACTTCGATGCTTTTGAGCTAATTTCCAACCACTTTTTGACACATATTGAGCGGTATCTCAGCCCTAATTTGAGTAATTTTGATTGTTAGGTTCTCAAGATTTAAATATTTATCCGCATGACCACGGTCTTTATCGTAGCACCACAGAAAAAAAGTCGAATGGTTTCAAATTGCACGAACTCGGTGACCAATTGACTTCCCTAAGATGAGAAATTAAACGAGCAAGAAATTTCTCTCGCAATAAAGAAATGTTCGCTCGTGTTGTACGAGGTGTGTTCAAAAAGTATCGCGAATTTTGAATTTTCACGGGTTACGTATAATCGAATTTGGATTTTTTTGTGGCGTTATATTGGCACTCATGTCTGTCACTTATGCCGACAAGCTCGGCCATTTTGAATGTTCACTTAATTGTTGACAGTTGCTTTGCTTGCACGTGTTTTGGATGGTCTTCGATTTTTACCTATTCAAAAAAATGATCAAAGAACCTGTATCAAATTTTGTGTGAAAAACGAAATTAAGTGCGCGGATGCATTCCGAATGTTGAATGTGGCATACGGTGAAGCTACCTTGGACCGAAGCAACGTTTATCGGTGGTACAAAATGTTCTCAGAAGGCCGAGAAGATGTGAACGACGAAGAGCGTGCCGGACGCCCGAGCTCTTCAACAACAGACAAAAAAATTAATTGCAGAGGCGTGGTGTATCATGAGTTCTTGCCACAGGGTAGAACGATCAATAAGGAATATTACCTGCAAGTTATACGCAATTTGCACGAAGCAATCCGCCAGAAACGACCGGATTTGTGGAAGAACAAAAATTGGCTTTTGCACCACGATAACGCCCCTGCTCACACATCGTTGCTTGTGTGTGACTTTTTGGCCAAAAACAACACACTAATGATGCCGCAGCCATGGTATTCTACATATCTGGCCCCATGTGACTTTTTCTTGTTCCCTAAACTGAAGAGGCCCATGAAAGGATGACGTTACGCCACGATTGACGAGATAAAGACGGGATCGAAGGAGGAGCTGAACAAGATAAAATAAAATGATTTTTTGAAGTGATTCGAAGACTGGAAAAACCGTTGGCACAAGCGTATAATATCTCATGGGGGATTACTTTGAAGGGGATAAAATAGATATTCATGAATAAATAAATAATTTTTGAAAAAACACAAAACTCGCGATATTTTTTAAACACACCTCGTATGACATGTTGTCACCTTGTTTTAGACCACATATTTTTCAAGTCAAAAAAAAGTTGGTTAACATACGCAATCACATCACCGTAATTGCTCCTCCTCTTTTGTTAAAGGATTCTCGGAGCTCCAAAAGTACTAATTCATGCATCAATACACCCCCAGTGGCTCAATTGCTGAAGGAAATTTTTTTCGAAAAATCGCCGTCCACTGCTTGTTGTCCAGTCTCGTATTGAAGGTGAATGCTCAACTGGCTTCAGATGTTTTGTAAGCGAGGCTTGGTATGGATGTGTGAGCAAGTCCATGTTCAAAATACGCCATAATGTGTGTAAGAAAGTCCCAGCTCTTACGTCAAGAAATGGAATCATTCCAGTCCTTCACTTACAGTTGCCATCTTTAAGGTGTAACGAACAAAGGATGATCCACAAGTCATTAAATATTTGTAGCCGATCTATTCTCTCCAAATCTCTTTAAAATTGTATCAATTGCTTCAGTAGTTTGGCGAGTATATGGTCCATAATATAGAATATAGAATCTTCTCTAAAAGCACGAAATGTGACCACGTTTCAAAGCGTTTCCGGTTGTTAAGCGATCCGTTTACATTAGAATCTGACATCATAAGACAGTGCACAGATTGTGGTCTTTAAGTAACTCCCACAGACCACACTAAAGTACTAGCCGTCTCCTCTTAAAACGTCCTTACTCAGAAGCATCGAGGTCACTCTTTCTATCGAGGTCAAGTTCTTAGTTGTAATCTTAGTAAGCAAAATCATCTAGAACCGACTTACAGTACGAAAGAGGAGGAAAGCTATATCCGCACTCCATGCCCGCAAGGTGGTCATTCGTAAAAGATAAGGACTATAACTGTATATTTAATGTGTTCAAAGCGGTATAAGCGCATATTGTTTCGCAGTGACTCCTGCTAGTCATTATTATCACTGCATTCAACTCCTATGAGAGCTTTGAAAGCTTTCCTTAATATTGTTCCATAAAATATATACGAAAAACTATATGCGGACTGCGACGCCATAAATAAATAATGCAGCTCAACCGTGGGCAAGCCACAATACAAAAAATTATAACATACATGCTGAATGAGATTGTGGGCTGATTTTGGAACGAGTCATCTTGAAACCAACTCTACTGTAAAGCATAGCAAATCCTCGTGTGATAGACCCCACTTTTAATAACGACGACTGCAAACGTATTAAGAAATATGGCAATCGCCTGGAATATCCGGTCTTTTAATTGGGAAGGTGACGCCACCCAGACAGTTTATGTGTTCGAAAAACTTAATCCTTAAGTCACCACCGTCCACCAAGTACGATCGACGGAACAAGCACGAAAATAAGTAGGTCTTATAGTTGTTGGATTCGTGGTGTGAGCGAGACTTCGACAACAAGCTCTGCCTTTCACCCCGGTTGATGAACATCTCCCCACAGTGCGGTTCATTTGACCAAATTTTCACCATTCACCAAATCTTGCAAAATAACCATAAAAAGAAGACCGCCATACGCCACCTATTTGTCGTTTTTAAAGCAGCCTTCGAAAGCACAAACAGGAACTGTAAAGCTTATACTAAACAGCCGTCGTTAAACAACACCAAATGCTCCGTCAGAATCGGGAAGGACCTTTCGGAGGCGGTAAATACCAAACAAACTTTCAGAATGTGACTTCTTTATTTATTGTTGGAGAAAATAATACGAGCTGCAGCCGGCGTTAGGAGTTTCCGAGTGAAAAGTTCTGCGTAAGATTTATGGTCCTCTGCAAGTGGGGAATGGCCAAAACCACAGCCGGCGGAAAGATGAGCTGTAAGAGATAAACAGCCGGACTGCCATTGTTCTGCTAATGAAGCAACAGCGGCTGTGCTGCCTAGGTCATGTGGTCCGGATGGTTAGGTATACTACAACCTGGAATGTTTGTTTCCCGTCGGTGGAAGCAGTGGAAGAGAAAAACCCCTTCTCCATTGGAATTTTCAAGTTGGCTTTATTTTGCATGGGTAACCTCTTTAAGCTATTAGATTTCTGTTTAAGGCAGTTTGCAGACTATCGAGAGAAAACAAAGTGAATATCACTAAAGTTCCAAGTAGGACCAATGTGAAAGACCATGAGCAGGCAACTGAGTCAGCTAGACCTTTCAGCGCCTATAAATGATGATGGCGCATAGAGGAGTATGAAAATAAAAATAAATTTTCTGAAAAAGTACTTACTTGAAACTGTGGAATATTTGTACACATATAAAATATAAGTTATTGCAGCAAGACACCAGTATCAAAGTTGACAAGCCATCATCGAAAAGGTGCAACAATTCGACAAGAACCATAAAATGGTTACGGACCTCATGCCAAAAATCATCCTCCATATGCTGATAAGAGGTAAAAAAAATCGAATCATAAATGAAAGCAGAAATAATTAAGAAATATTGAAAATTTATTAATTAATTAATCAATCTGTTTAATAAAAAATTATTAACTTTTAGAAAATTACCTTATTCACATGTCGTTTGATTCGCCAATGCATTTGCCGAAAGCGTATAGCGAAGCATTTGAAAATCATGCTCAGAAATATATCTACGTAGTTCCAGGCAAAAGTTGTCGATATTGTAATCCACTAAAGGAAATATAATCATTACAAAAAAACAGAAGAATTTGCATGAAATTAATTTTTATGGTCAAAATGACTAACTTAAGTTACCCCGAAACTATCTCCTTACGGTCCCAATGATAAATACATATACGAAGTTACAACCGAATCAGACAACCTGTTTGAGATAGTATAGGGGGTGTACCTCTGCTTCTGGTTATGCAGCTATAGTTGCAAGAATATTCCATCTCCTACTATTGCTTCCTCGTTGGTCAAACTCGCAAGGTGACCAACCCTTGCGTGAAATGCGGTAAGCAACCTCAGTGTTGCCTTAAATCAGGGAGACACTGAAGGAGTTTTAGAGAACCCACATATCCGGTTTAAGGGCGCACTGAAGTCCAGGTTTTGCTCAGGTTTTGGACCCCCCTACGAAAAATACTGATCTTAGGCGAAAAAATCATTGAGAACTTCCCATTTTGAAGGCAACCACCGTGAAAGTGCCACTGCCTATTTAGTTGATGTCTATGACAAAAATAAGTCTGAGCTTACAGTCGTCCAAAAGTCGCGATGGAAGGGATTATTCTGGTTTATAGTACGACAGTGGTCATATAAAGGAGCACCACTTTAGACGTGCCTTTTGTCACAATCCGCTTTGGAGCGAAGTGTTTAACATATCATATGAAAGAAAATTACGGATGATCTGAAGATACATTCTATAAGTACCTCAACTATAACCCCGATGGCTGCATTCACCACAGAATCAAGTTTAAAAAAGTTGCCAACGATGCATCAGCCGCAAAAATTCAGCCTTCATGAAGAAACTTCTTCAAATTGTTTGAAATTTATCGACTACGCCGGGACCCAAAATATGGTTGTCTGTAGAACCTGATTTCAGCATAAGCAAATTCATCAAGCTAAATGGTTGTCTCCGGATCAGCCATGTTGTGATAGACGGACGAGAATCCTGTTCTCTGAGAGCGATCATCAACAGCTCAGTGGAAGGCAAGTATGTAATAAGATTTGAAGCAGATTAACCTACAGCCATCAATGGAAAAAATTGTTTTCAGCAAGGGCAGTATTAAGGTAGATAACTTTTCCTACCTTGGAACCAGCTGCAACACCAAAAAAGCATGTCTACCTTGAAGCCCAACGCATCACCGAATTTGCCAACAACTATGGATTGAGGAGGCAATAGGAAGATGAAGCCTTCTTTTGACGCGCAAAGATCGAACTCAACAATCTCTTCCTGCGAACGAATTATGAATCTTGAATACCGCAGACAAAGAGCTGTCAGATATACATACATAGGTTTATGGAGTACAGTGATGTAGTCCATATACATAGTGCGCTTCAACTCTACGGCGTTGAAAGCAGAGGAAGAAGTATGTTTCCGATCCGTTGAAAGGTCAGATGTAGAAGAACTAAAACCGGAAGTCGTGAGCTTGCGCCATTTTTACAAGAAACGTTTCTGGCTGCTCCCAAGCTATTGTTGCGTCAAAACCTTTACTCATATGTGTGGGCTTCTACAACTGGTCCCAACCTCCGATCGTTTAATTTAAGCTTTAATATAATACAGGTAGATGTGCCTAGTATATATGCATATCCAATTGATAAGCATAAATATTCCTTTAAGGTAGAGTTTTCCAAGTAGATTGGTTTAAATCAATTAATTACCTGTACTAACGGTATCAACCAAGCGTGGTAGTTGAATATCGAAAATATCTGCAAACGTTCGCGCATATAGTAATTTTTCCAAAAGTCTACCGTTAAGTTGCATTGCTTAATTTGAAAATCATTATTAAAAATCGCCGTCATAATGTACACTGAATGTTCCACTACAGACGGTAGTTAACGCTATGAAAATTAAAAATTTCAAAAACTATTTATAATGCCTACTTACACGCTGCACCGAAAAGTAAAATTCCGCCAAATTTACGCACATTGTGACTAAAGTTGCGTGATTCTTTATTTCCATACGATTTCTGTAGAAATATCTGCTCACAACGATCCATGTGTTTTATTAGATTTGGCCATTTTCGTGCAAGTTGCAGAAAGCTGCTGACACTCAACGCTGAAATGATGCTGAAACTAAAAGGACCTGCGACAAAGAGATTGAGAGCACATAAACTCATAAGTGTAGTATTGTTTCGGGGAATCTTTTGAACTCATTTATGTAGTTCTTCAATTTTTCCCTATCATCTTCCGAACGATTCAGTTCAAGCGATTCACAAGGAGTGGAGATTGATTTTCAATAATTTTTTTCTATATTCTAAAAGGCCATTAATCCGAGATCGGAAACTTGCAACATTGAAGTATCCTATTGGTATGAGTGTTTCGAGAATGATAACATCAACAAACTTTTCGTGGCCGAATCCCAATATTTATAACCTGAGGTCTTCATGGAAAGAGACCACTTGGGGAATACCTAGTCTAAATGACAGATCGCGGTGTAAGAAAATCACTTTTAAGTTATCAAACAAATAATAGGATTGTTTCCATATTTTTAAAACTGTACGTTCGTGAGTAAAATTCTGATAAAACTTCTTGCTCTTTCCTTTCATCTGCTACTAGATATTTGCCAGTGACTTGTCTGCATGAGCAAGAGCTACCTAAATATCAAATATCAAGTTAATTAAAGCACAATCCCAATTGCTTCGAATAGAGCGATCCCAACTTCACTTGCTTGTCCTCTTCATTTATGTCTCAAATTCCAAGCAAATCCAAAGGAAACCCTGACTTTTTCGGGTAGATCAGTCTCACCTGTGGTACATACTAGTTCTCCTCACATTAACCTTGGCAAAGAGGTTTTCATATAATATTTAAAATTTCAAATAAATAGAACCATATTTCATTAATATAAATACCGACTTCGACCGACTGCATGGAATTGTAAGTTGATTCCAAAAATATTTTTATTAAGTCAAGCCAATAGTGATTTAAGCCCAAAGGTACTAGTGTATCAGCTGTTATTTAGATTAAACGATAAAAATAAATTTTTTGAATAGATCGGTCTCGGGTTCACTTTCCGGAAGAAAAACACTGTTCCACATGGCATTTAGACAAAGAGTTACCTATGGAAATCCTTTCTTACCGTGTGCATAAGTCATACGCTGAACACACCCTGCTAGTTTCAGATCTCTTCATTATATGGCTTAGACTATTTGGGTTTTATGTTTTAATTTAGTTAACTATTTTATTACTTATTGTTAGGCTTCCGATGTCAAAGCAGATCCAATAAATAAATATTAATATTAAAAAAAAGACTGATCTGGCAAGCCTTTTATGTAAATATCGAAATTATAATAATTTTACCAACTGTGTACAGCTTTAGGCCCAGCTCCACCACAACCTTTGTGGATAGCACCACATCGATGATGGAGAAAGTGATCATGATGAGAGAGAGAAATGCAATTAGTGTACACCAACTGAAGTGAACATGTTCGAGACTCGATTTTTGCCAAGTACCTGTTACTGGCAAAGTGGCGAGCAACTGCGAGATCATCATAACTGTAAAAGAAGAAATATTTCGAAATAGAAAATAAATTAATATTAGACACAAGCGATATGTAAGCGGTGCATCGCTACTTACATGGCCTCAATGCCAGATGCATTGTGTTGGTATTCTGCCTGGCTGCCTCGTGACTAACCTCCACGGGATTGACCTTTGCCATTTTCTCGTTTGAAAGTGCGCTTGCGGCAGCAACTGCTGGTGACACTATTTGTCAGTTTAACAACAAGGCAATGCCACAACTCGAATGTAAAATACAGAATGAAAGCGGTTAGATTTTCACATTCGGCGCAATTCCATTCAAACATTCTTAACACTTAACTGGTATTGCGAATTTCAATTATACATACACGGTGTGTCCCAAAAATAACCGAACATATAAAATAAAATACACATTATATCATCTTTGAAAGTTATTATTTATTCAAAATAGGTTCCATTTGCCTCAACACAACGTTGGGAACGATCAACCAGCGCATGCTTAGATTTTTTTATGTCATTTATAGAAATGTTCTTCAGTACCTCGGTTACGGCTGCTTGAATGGCTGGGATGTCATCATAAAATGCTCCCTTCATCTTGGTTTTCAGTTTTGGAAATAAAATATAGTCACATGGTGATAGATCAGGCGAATACGGAGGATGGTCGATGAGAGAAATCCTTTTTTTTTTCAATAAAAATTCGAGCGATTTTTTGGTCGTCATTTAATTGATGTGGAACAAATCGCGCCCAGACCTTTCTTTTCCCCAAATCTTCAGTTAAAATTCTCCAATAAATGTTTTTACTCGTGTACAATTCCTCAGCCAACATTCTCGTAGTAAAATTTGCATCGATACCAATGATTTCACGGACTTTTTCCACCAGTTCAGCACGATTACTAGTTTCTGGACGTCCTGCTCTAGGGTCGTTATTTAAATCCTCACGACCATTTTTAAATCGTGTAAACCACGTATAAACTTGTGTACGACTCATACAATCACCACAATAAACTTTTTTTATTAATTTTTTTTTTAAGTTTGACACAAAATTTTATATTTGGTCTTTGTTGCATTTTATTTTTGGCTGTCACTTTTACATCTGTCATCCGACTTGCATGATGTTAGGTGCGTTTGAAAGAGCATGAATGTATCTTTTTAATGTTGCAAATTTTCAATAGATGGCGCTGTATGTTGTATGATTTAAATATAAAGTTCGGTTATTTTTAGGACACACCTTGTATGTATATAACTAGCTGTCACCAGGCAGGCGGGGCGACGCTTTTGAAAGATTAGTTTGAAATCAATCATGAGAAATCTCTTATATGACATAATTAATTTTTTTACATTTATTAAGTTTACTTTCCATGGGCTACAGTAAACCGAAGTTTAGCATATTGGAGAAAAATTAAATATATTTCGAAAAAATTATTTTTAGGGGCTGCCTCATCTCTGACGACACCAGTTAAGGGTTAAACATAAAAAAGTGACAAATAAAAAATCGTGCGAATCGTATTCATGTTCATATTTTGCAGTTGCAAAAATTGCCAGCCAACACTTGTTCACTGATACAATCAGCATAACTGTGAAATATTAAATGGAAATAACAAAGAAGAAAAGGAAGGTATGGATGAGAATGGAACGAAGCATTATATACAATTATAGATGGGATTTATGTCCTTTGCAAGCAGCGCGCACATCACATGTTTAATTTAATTTAATTTTTTAACTTGAGTAGAGTTGAGTAGCTGCGGCTGCTGGACATTACCAGCACACTTAAGCCAATAGGTCTATTGGTCTCCAATCTACGCTGAGACTAACTCATTAAAGTTGTACCATTCCCTCTCCGTGAAGCCTCATTAAACCGTGACCTATTATTATGCCTGTCGTTATGTTAATGCGGAACCAGTCTGGAAGGATAAGATCCAATTTTGGACATAGCTGCCTGGTCACATTGCACGTGATCTCATTTACCCATCTAGAGCCTGTTTATTTGGCAAAGGCCAGATTAAGCATACATTGCAAAGCGTTCTGCTTGAAAACATTTATTTTTATTTATTGAGCGCATCGGTGAGTAGATTTCGCAGCTCACTTTTCCATCGAGCTTTGAGCTGTCTGTAAATATGGCTATGGCTCTCTGATGTTGTTGTTGCTTAGAAAAAGACTGGTTAGTCTTCATCTAGTGGCAGGTCCATGAAACGAGCTGTTTCTACGGGCTCGGCACTGGGGAGAGGGAAGATAAATGTGTTGGTATGGCTCTCTGATCAAGGGCGTTGGTAATTTTCCCTTCATTTCTGTTTATGATTCTCGTGGAAAAAAGCTTATCGAAGCACATACTGGTGGTAGTGTAGTCATGCTCCTTCGGCCCTTTTGCAAGAGATAATATTTCAATTCAATTCTTCTCGATTCTGTTACAGCTCACTTGTTATTTCCCGTATAGATTCAGAGAAAAGGAAGTTGAAAAGATTTAGCAGTGCTTCAGATTAGTGCATTCAGAAATAATCTTTTCTTGCCTAATAAGACAAAATAAAATATTAAAAAAAAATATAAATCGCGTTCTTCAAGGACGAGGAAGGAAGTTCCAGAGCGAATTCTTAAAAAACACTCCAACTGTACAAGAGTAGTTCAGTCTCGCTTATTGCTTATTGCATTGGGATTCTGGGTTCTTACTGGGAAGATCGTATTTATCGAGACCAAAAATATGCCTTTCTTGCAGAGTTCAATTGATGCAGTGAATATGAGTCTTCTTCTTCTTTATCGATGTTGGTATCGCTTACGCGATTATAGCCGAATCAATATTAGTACCCCATTCTTCTCTTCTTTTCACTGTCTGGCGCCAGTTGGAAATACCAAGTGAAGCCAGGTCACTCTCCAACTGATCCTTTGAATGGTGGGGCGGTGTTCCTCCTCCTCTGCTTACACCCATGGGTACTACATCAAAAACTTCCCAAACTGAAGTGATTTCATCCATTCGGCCGCTGTGTCTTCATTCACTGAACTATGTCAATATCATCGTATAACTCGTGCAGCTCATCGTTCCATCGTCTACGGTAATCGCCGCTGTTTCGGCAAACCCCTGCTCAATAGTTGCAAAACCGACCCACTGCTGAGACGGTTACTGGTGAAGAAAAGTGGATCACTTACAACAACGTCAAATGGAAACGGTCGTAGTTGAATGGCAATGAACCGGCATAAACGGTATCCTGGTCAGAATTGATGACCAGGAAGGTATTATTGTATGTTTGGTATTTTCGGCAAATAATTATCCACTATGAGCTGTTTTCTCAAGCTCTCAATTCGTCCCACTAAAGGAAACAATCACCCCGAACCGCCCAGCTTTGGCAAACACGAGGTAAATTTTGTTTCATCAGGACAACGCCAGACCACGCACATCGGTAGTAACTCACCAGAAGCTAAGAGGTTTTTATGCAACCACTTTGTAGTCCACTTCTCGTACGAAGTGATTACCATCTGTTCTTGTCTATGACGAATGATTTGGCTGGTGAAAAATTAGGCTGTGACATTCCACTGACCCAATTTTTTAGCCAAAAGGGTTCTATAAGAGAGGCGTAATAAGCTTACCTTCATAATATGAATATAACGTCGAATCTAAGTCTCAATCATCGTGTTGGAAACATTCTGACTCACAGAGTCGAAAAAAGTTTGACCGATATTAACGGTTTAATACACCATGAGTTCCGGCCAACAGGTCAAGCGATCCATAAGGAGTTTTATCAACAAGTTCAACACTCCGTTTTTTTTGGAAAACATACACTTTATTGCTTCATCGTGAATTCTTGGCCAATAACTATATCGTAACGTGGCAGCAGCTTCCATATTCAAAAAGTGGAAATTCTCTTCATTTTTTGTGGGCACCTCGTATGCATAGAATATTTTATTCGCTACATTCTACTGTGACCAGGATAATTTACCCACTGTACACAGTAGAGTGGGATTTAATCAATTGCGAATGTAGCATGGGGCACTTGAAAAACACGATTTAGATGCACAAAGTGATAATATTTTTTTCATATCTAAGGTGAAGGACTGGGTAGTTGAACTTTAAATATTTAAGTTGCCGTGCCTTTCCTGCCATATTTTCCATTGTGTACTTCTTTTGCTATCTATGTATGTACGTGGTGTGTTCAAAAAGTATCGCGAATTTTGAATTTTCGCGGGTTACATATAATCGAATTTCGATTTTTTTGTGGCGTTATGTTGGTACTCATGTCTGTCACTTATGCCGACAAGCTCGGCCATTTTGAATATTCACTTAATTGTTGACAGCTGCTTTGCTTACACGTGTTTTGGATGGTCTTCAATTTACCTATTCAAAAAAATATATCAAAGAACCTGTGTCAAATTTTGTGTGAAAAACCAAATTAAGTGTGCAGATGCATTCCGAATTTTGACTGCGGCATACGGAAAAGCTACCTTGGACCGAAGCAACGTTTATCGGTGGAACAAAATGTTCTCAGAAGGCCGAGAAGATGTGAACGACGAAGAGCGTGCCGGAAGTGGGAAGTGAAGTGCTTCGAAGATTGAAAAAACCGTTGGCACAAGTGTATAATATCTCATGGGGATTACTTTGAAGGCGACAAAATAGATATTCATGAATAAATAAATAATTTTTGAAAAAACACAAAATTCGCGATATTTTTTGAACACACCTCGTATACGAGTATTTATATTTATGTAGTACATAGAATAGACATCAAAATCTCCTGCTAAATTGGACGGCAAAGTTTGATTAAATTTTATTTGAAAATTTGTTGACGAAACGCTGGAGTATTGCCATTGCGAGTGTCCGGCCAATCGAGACGTCAAGTCTTTCATGGTGCCCCAAGTTCCAGTCTTACGCAATTGGGCAATCATGTTTGATAGAAATAAAGCCAGTTTCTTAAATCGAAATGTTCCCAAAAGTATAGTATTTTCCGCAATATATACAATACCAGTAGACCCGACCTATGTTGTTGTGGCTTTCTGGATTTTGTCAAACGATAAAAAGCCCTGATTAAGTATCATCTAATACTTGGTTATGAGCTTTTATTATATTATATTATTGATCTTTGATACGTATTTTTATGTGCCCGTCGCTTATTTGCTACTTAAATTCTTTCATGTAAATATCATTAAAACATATAAGAAATGCTTCAAACACCCAACTGCGGAATAAAAACATACGCACGACCTAATCTTGTTGCCAAATAATAATTTTTTGTCAATCTGTCGGAGATCACTTCCATGGTCCATGTATACCTTGCCTTGAATTTTGAATGTTGTCTCAAAATTTCGACCATCAGATGACAAATCATAAACTTTAGATGCTACAAATGCCGTCATTTGGGAACAGGAAGAAACAATTTCGCGTGTTAGGCCTGTACTGCTGGAAGGAAGGTATTTTAGAAGGTTCAGGTGGAGTGCGCAACACATGCCGTGTGTTTCATTTTAACACCTGGCATTAATTGCATAATTTGTCCATCGCACCAATAAGAATTTTGGAATAAGCCGAGTAATTGAGGTCTGGTTGACAATTAAATGCAAGACGGTCGGTTTTGTTCTGAAAGTGGATCTATGTGTTGTTGACCTGCCAACCTGGTTTTCAATGCATTTTCTTGTCGACGATTATCACGATGTTTTCGTACGCATATCGAGTCTTCTTGATATGGTCATTAAGGTTAGATTTTTTGGGTCGATTTTCACTAAAAATAGTAATTGATTGTTTAATGTTAATGAATTTCGCTTTTCTCAGATTTTGTAGATTATATACAATATCTGACCATTTGGAAGTAAAAAAAAATATTGTGAGTAATGTGCGGAGCGAAGACAAAATGAAGGATGATTTGAGGTTAAGTATTATAGACAAAATAATACATGTATAGTGCGTAGTCTAAGAAAGTGTGGCGCCATCTTTGGTGTGCAAAGGACAATGTTTTACACTTCTCTGTAAAGAAATGCGCTTAAGGCGCCATCTGCTCCAGATTTATGGATCCTACGTCAATCTATTCAAATGCACTGGATACGATAACAGTATACATATATAAATTTAAGGATCTTTACACAAACGATTTTTTATTTGCGTTTCCCCCTTTTGATGAAATGTTGCTCATACGTAATGGCAAACTTTTTACTTTAAAGAGAAAAAAGAGAGATCAAAACACAATCAAAGGCTTCCTTGTACAAGATGATCATATTTCTAAAGGTTTCTTGCAATTCTGCGGTGGTTTCGAAAAGTGTAATTAATATCTAAAAAAATCAAAATTAAAAACAAATTTAGTTTTGAGCGATTCGTTATGAATGGAAAAAATTTATTTTCGATTAGCAAACATCCAGCAGCAAGATTGCGAAATTCCGATAGCCAGCACAAAGCCAGACAGTCGCAAAAGAGCTGGATGATCGTTTCCTCCTTCTCATCATCCTTGCAGCTTCTGCAGCATCTTATATAGGGTGTCCCTAGTCTCTCCGCAGGTTTGGTAATAATCTTTCCATTCTCCACTGCCGGGAATTCGTGCTCTCAAGTAATTATGAGTAACTTGGTATTAAATCATATTTTTTTGAGTGTTACTTGCATCAAGTCACAGTGGGTTTGTGAAAACTTGCATCTGTTTACTATGGTGATATCATCGACGTAGGCAATGGCTTTGCAAACGGTTGCAGAGTAATGGGGAGAGAATTGCGTCCTATACACTGTATCTGTTTATATATCTGGATACTGGATTTTCTTCCAGGCTCACAGCTGTAACCCTACCCTAGTAGCAGTTGATTGATAAAATCCATTCATAATATGTCAGCAACTAAGCACAACAGTGCGGCTATAACTGCTCTTGATGAGATATTGTCGAAGTCGCCCTCTATATCTAGGAAGGCAACAAGATAGATTGCTTTCAATGAAGGTCACTAGTCCATGCAGCGCAGTTTCGGTCGATTTTCTCTTCTAATAGGCATGCTGATCTTTTTGACAGTAGCCTCTTATCTATAGTCCGAGAAAGATAGTTTACTATAATCTTTTCCAACCCTTTTAGCCTGAAGGGAGAAAGACTAACGGACCTGAAGTCCTTATGGCAAATATGAGTCCTTTTCCCTACTTTGGTAATGAGGACGGCTGATACCCGTCTCCATGGGTAGAATATCGTGACTGAGTTTTGAGTAAAAATACCGCACTCTTACTATATACCTGTAGTTGCTGATGTCATAAAAATGGCAGCATCGGTTCGGAGGTGTTCGCTGGACTAATTTAAAGAGGGGTTTTAGTGTTAATAATTTGCAATGTTATAGTGGTACTCGGAGCTGATGCAGCTTTCAAATTTCGTTTTATCTTTCATGAGTAGTTATGTCGTGTACGAAAAATAGAAATGATTGCCTATTTTGATAGTCGTACAATCGTCCACAAAGACATTCTTCCTTCGGAGCAAACCGTAAATCAAGTCTACTATCGCCCAAGTACCCGAAGGATTGCGAAAACGAGTCAACAAGGTGCACCGAGACATCGCTCGTGACCGAGTCCTTCATCACGACCATGCGCCGCTCTCAGCTTTTACCAATGTTTACCCTCTAAATGGATCCACGTCTTGCCTTATTTTGCCATTTTGAGTCGATTGAGAACATCCAGGCAGTCGTGACGAAGGTACATGCCGACATTGTTTTTGGGTAAAGGTCTTTTTGCTACTGTGAATTGAATATTTCTAAAAAAAAAAAAAATAACAGAAGCGAAAGCTGCTTTGAAGACCATTAGATCTCCTCAACCGACCTCTTAGTTTCCTTTATGAAATATTCAGACCGCAATGTAAAAAGATTAAGAGAACTCCAAATGGATTTCGTTGCAGTTATGGTATTGACGCCAGAAACCGTAAGAAGAAAGACAGGTTCGTGAATTCACAATTTCATATCTTTGTCATAACAACTTTATATATTAAAGAGCACAACTATAATATTACATAAGTAAATATGTTTACATAAGTAATATAAATATAAATACAATATATTGTGATTATCCTTTAATTTTGTTTTCTCTTTGTCTACAAATTCATTGGCCTCTTCTCATGCATTCTTTATATAAATTTTAGTAAAAGAAGAATTTCTATAAATTCATTCACTTTGCGTGTCATACTCAATGGGCCGGCAATAGTTCGTTACCTGTTGGATAGCGCCTTTATTGATAACATCGGTTACCATTACCTCATAGGTAAAGATTGTGCTAGCCATCTGTGAGAAATAAAATTCGAAAGTTCCAAACATTTCAGATAATAGAAATAAAAGAAGTCATTTTCGTTACAAAAGAAAGTCAAAAGTAGATAAATTCTTGCTCTCACCGCCAAAATTAGTTGTCGTGTAATAAAGAAAAATCCACAGCCTGACCAAGCCGTCAAATCGAAAGCCAATTGTTCGCTGAAGCGTTGAGCCTACAAATGTTTATGTCAAAAAATTCAAATCGTTTGTCAATTCAATACGCCAAATAGATGGTTTTGAAGTGAATATAAACACATGGACTGAAAAGTCTCGGTCATAGCACATGGATGACGTTGATTTCATTATATCCACCACTGTTTCAGCTAATCCAACACACCGTATCACAAACCAAAAACAAAGCAACGACAAAATTCCATCAATTGAACTTTCAGTTGCTCACATATCCGCCGTATTCGCCAGATTCCCAGTGACTACTAACCGTGGACAGACTTCAAAAAAATGCTCACCGTACAGGAATTTCGTCCAAAACTGAAGTTTCCGCTGCTGCTGATTTTGTGGCAAAATATTGTGGTATTAAAAGTTATAGCATCATTGGAAATGGATGTTTATTTTTTAGCCGCGCTGCTCCTTTCACTTGTGATGTGCATCTTAAAGCTTTTTTTCAACAAATGGAGGACCTTCAATTTGTCTAAACCACCTCCGAATAGCTGACGGCTTTTTAAAAGTAGCTTTTATTTCATGTCAAAAACAATCTCGGAGAACTTGACATTCCCTACCAAAATTAGAAGCTTTATTGCGAAAAAGTGCTTACAGATATATTATTTAAAGTATTGTCCTTCGCTAGCGACAACTTTCTCCCATCTTTCCGGCAATTTTCGGATCCCGGCTCGAAAAAAGGAGTCCTCTTTTGACGCTATCCATGAAGCAATCCATTTTTCCAATTCTTAGAAGGATTGAAAATGTTGATCTGCCAGGCCGTGCGCCATGGAATGGAATTAGTGGAAGTCAGAAGGGGCGACATCTGGGGAATACGGCGGGTGGGGTAAGACTTCCCATTTCAGCGTTTCCAGGTACTTTTTGACCGCGACTAAGGCGCATCAGTTGCGTTCGGTAGCGATCTCCTGTAATGTTTTCACCCGGTTTTAAGAGCTCGTAGTAAATCACACAGAGCTGATCCCACCAAATACAAATCATAACCTTGTTTGTCTTCCACATCGAAATCACCATTTTTAAAACGTTGAAACCAGTCCCGACATGTTCTTTCACTCAGAGCAGCATCACCGTAAGTTTCTGAGAGCATTCGATGCGCTTCGGCTGCATTTTTTTTCGAATTGTAACAGAAAATTAAAACTTCCTGCAAATGGCGAGAATTAGGCACATAAACGGACATTTTCGAGCGTGAATAATACGAAAACAAGAACAACTGTCACTGAAACGGCGATGACAATTCGTTAGGCACTGTCCACACTCACTTTAAAGGCATTATCATCTATGTATTTCAACCAGTCTCAGCCGGTATAGCCACCTATCGGAATACGGCGGAAGCAAAGTTGTACACCTGATACTTCAATAATTTTGCATGTTGTTCGGACCAAAACAAATATCCTGGCCAAATGATAGTAAACACTGCTAATCACTCGGCTATTGTGGGCGCCGTGGGAGATTTCGTTGATGGATGAAGAAATTTTTGAGCGAAAAAAAATCGTATTGCTTGTTAGGACCGGAACTCTTCAGCCCATATGTTATTTGTGTTATAAATCTATTAACACTTATGATATTAATTTTACCACCTCACTCTTACTCACCTCAGTACACCACGAGGTACTTGGCACACTACGCAGAGTCAACAATATTTTCTTACTGTAATCATTAACAGAGGAGGCTGTGAGTAATGTGAGGATCGTGCGAAAAATTGCAAAGAACAACGAATACCAAAAAGCAAAAACAGCAATAAGATCGACACCGATATTTCTGTGAAAACAAAAAAAAAAAAATAGGTATACTCAATGAAAAATCAATTATTAGTAATGAATTTTTGGATTTTTTTTAACATATGAATGTTGAAAAATGAATACTCACTGAAAACTATTGAAAAGCTGAAAACAGATAAAATACATATTATTACTGCAAGCTAACAAAATCAGCGGAGCGATATTGTCGTTAAGCAAACGCATCAGGTGAAGCAACTCCAGAAAATGTTCACGCACCTCAGTCCAAAAGAGGGTTGGTAGAGCCTGTAATAGGCAATAAAGAAATTCATAAGAAAACTTAATGCTTGCTAAATAGCATTTTGCTGTTACATCTGCACATACATATGTACGAGGGGCTTAACAAAAATTCGGTAAGTTGACCAGAAAAAAAAAAACAAAAAAATAAATATTTTTGTATCTATTCGTAATCTTTGTCCGTATTTATTTTCTCTACATAATCACCATTGATTTCAAGCAGCTCTAAAGGCTTTAGATCCCCTTCTGAAAACAGTCTTCAAAATCTTGCTTTTTAAGCTTATCAAGTTCAGCATTAACCGCATTAATTATCTCCTCGTTGCTATTAAAGTCCTTTCCTTTTAGTTTTTTTTTTTTTTTAATTTTTTGGAATAACCGGAAATTACAAAGTGCTATATCCGGGGAATAAGGTGCTGAACGTATTTCCTCGATTCCAGAGATCCCAATAAAATTACTCGCTATTTCAGCAGTGTGGGCTGGCGCGGTGTCATGATGTAAAAGGTGGTGCCGCAAATCCCTTAAAATTCGTAGTACCCATTGAGCAGATTCCTTCGTGTCATCTGGGATACACTTTCTTAATATTCACGATACTGCCATGGCATTAAAGCCCAATTCATTAGCAATCATTTCTTGGTTCCATCGTGGCTCTTCGTCAGTTTTGAACTACAGCAGAGCTACACTGACGTCGTCAGTGGAAAATTTTGGTCGACCTTTTCGGGCCTCGTCCTCTAAGGAAAAATGTTCCATCGGAAATCTTCGGAACCACTTAGAAATAGTCATTAAAGACGGTGCAATCATTCCATATGCGATTTGGCAGTCACTGAATATTTGTATTGGCTGTAAACTACGCCGTCGGAACACGAAGAGATTCCCATGACAAATTTCTGTTTGCGTTGGAGGTGGAATTTCGTCTGACCTCAGGTGTCTTTCGTTTTCTCACCTCCATTGAGATCGTTCTAAAATTTGGAAGGAAGACTAATGAGTCTACTATGAGCAGAACACAATTTCAATTGTGGAGTAACCGGTTTAAGGAAGGTCGAAAAGATGTCAATGGCAATGCTCGTCCTGGTCGCCTGAGCACGTCAACAACCGATGAAAGCATTACATAGAATCTTTCTCCGACTGGAATGACGTGGTGCATCATGAATTCTTGCCACAAGGTCGTACGGTCAGTAAAGAATACTACCTGGAAGTTATGCGCCGTTTGCGCGAAGCAACTCGCCAGAAATGCACAGAATTGTGGAGAAAACAATCATGGATTTTGCACCGTAACAAGGCACCAGCTCACACATCGATGCTTGTGTGTGAATTTTTGGCCAAAAACAAAGTCGTTATCATGCCTCAATCACCGCATTCACCGGACTTGACCCTCGCTGACTTCATAATCTTCCCAAAACTGAAGACTCCGATGAAAGGAATGTGTTTTGCTACGATTGAGGAGATAAAGGGAAAAGAGCAACAGGAGCTATTGGCGATACCAAAAAAATACGTTTCAGAAGTGTTTCAATCATTGGAAAAAGCACTAGCATAAGTGTACTATATCTGAGGGGGATTACAGGGGGAACAAGATTTTATAGTTATTGAAAAAATTTAAAATAACGGTTATTTTTGGATTGCACCTCGTACGTATGGTACTTAAGTGCTCACTTTTCGGAAATATATCGTCTTAATCACTAATTAATACCGTATCGTAGGGTGATGGATTCATACTCTGATCATCATTCAAAATATTAAATAATAAATAAATAATTTTTTTTTTTAATTTTGGTCGCCCGTAGTCGGGAAATATTAACCCTATGCCGATTATAGTTATATGATTTACATCTATACTATATCCAAAATGACACTAATAAGATTTTTATTACGTTTTTACGTTATATATTTTCTTATGACCTATAAATTGTTACGTTAAAACGCACGAGAAACAAAACAGAGTTTTCCTAACGTTAGTCCAGGCAAGCAGCTTTCTATGTTCCAGATATCAAGCAGATCGGGGCATGAATACCCCAGGTCCACTTCATACAAAGAAGACTTTAAACTATATATGTTTATGATATCAAGCAACTTGAACCGAACTCACTTCCAGTAAGGAAAGTTCTTCTCATATTAAACTTGGCAAAACCAAACCATCGAATCGATCCCATTACCAGTTCCCGGACGAAAGAGTTTATCCGATATTATTAAAGGCGAAAAACTACCTCTGCACCAAATTTCATATAAATCAAATGATAAATGGAAATTCATTCCGATTTTTGCAAATAGATCGGTCCCGGTGCCACATTCCAGAAAAACCTTTCTTATCGGATGCCACGCAAAAGACACCCTTCAAGTTTGTCTACGATCAGCGGTTTAAGCTGCCGGTTGATCAGTCAGTCATTCCTTACAAAGAGATGACGAGGACTGTCTGAACGCTAATTTCAGCAGTGATTATTGCTCACCTTAGTGCAGAATATTTCAACCTTTACTGGCCGGGTTCTGATAAGTCGAGAGAAACCAATGAAGTTTAGAAATCGAATTCAAGCATTTTTTGGCTTGCTTGGGCTGCTCGCGAATTAAGAGAAATCCATCTCTTCTAAAAAGAATCAAAATGGGATGAAGAGTGAGTATCCTAAACTATGTAAAATGAGCCCAACCATCGACATCGAAGTACGGTGGGATTACAAGAGCAGTGTCAACAGCATCAACAGCAGCAAGGTCAGCCTTGAAATCCTGGTCAGAAACACTCGTATTAACAGGTACAGCTTTAGCCTGAGTAGGCAATATAAAAATTCAGACCAGTCTTGACCAACAAAGACAGAACTCTAAAAGTCCTTCAAAATGGGTATTGCTATATGAAGCGGAGGCATAGACGATAACTAAACAAAACTTCGGATGTAGGAGTCTTCAAAAGAACGGCAAGGTAGAGCTGTATGAGATAAACGGGAACAACGTTGATAGATCATGCTGTCCGGACGGTTGGGTGCGCTTGAGCTTTGAAAACATTCGATGCAGTACCCGTCGGTGAAAATATAGGAAGGGGGAAAAAGATCAGTTGGATAGGATCTGGCTTCCCTTGGTGAAATTTATTTGTGCGCTCTTGTTAGGTAAACTCAAAAGCGGTTTCTACGCAAATAAAGAATAATAAGTATACTTTGAGTCGCTATAGAGTTAACAAACTATTGACTGAGACTGTGAGTGTCCATTATCAACCAAAATTTTTTTCTGACAAAAATAGTCACTGAGCTGGCCAAACACAGAGGCGTAACATTTTTTCCCGACCCACGTCATTAGAGTCACGAAATCCCCTTTTCAATCTAGCTGTCAAAAACTAGCTGGATCAGACTTTCGCTTCTAAAAAAGAAAGGCTTCTTCGAAGAGTTAGTTTTTCAACTTACCGAATGGTTATCAAATGGCACCTAAGCAAGTTATTAATTTCTATGGCTTCCATAAATAAATTTGCTTTTTAAATATAATATTAAAAATATTACGACATTATTTATCGAACAACTCAATATACACGTGTACGAGTACTCGGACTGAGCCTCCTTGTTTACCTTGTTGTGAACGGCTTCAATCCGTAAGTACAATTGATGAAATCGAGCAGCTAATCCAACGCTCACGCAAATTATAAAGGCATCGGTAAAGGACCGCGGGTAAGCCAAAGTTAAATTAATCCACTATGAAAGAAATCAAGCATAAAACAGAGAGAGAGAGAGAGAGATAAGATGCAAGAGGCAAGGGATATATGCAGGTCTCTATATTATATACAATACAAAGAGTGTTAAGACGCTTTCGCCTTGAAATATTTTATTTTTGGTGCTATGGCTCTCATGTTCTTGTAATTTGTGCTCAAACTTACCTCCACCACAGGTAAATACCATATGCTAAATGGCAGAACTCTACTTAAATGTGGTCTCTCGCGCCTGTAGAGACTTTCCCAAAAGGAGACATTATATTTGCATTGAACTCTCTCTATATTACTGTGGTGAAACGAATTAAATACAAGAAAGGAATGTTCCACTGCAACAAGCATGCGATTAGTTAGGAGTTTTAGGAAATGTTTCATTTTCTCTTTTCGCAATACTCACCCATAGCGCTACACATGACCAGAGAGCTGAGTGCGTAAATGCGTGCCTTCATATTATAAGTCGCATAAATATGATAGGGAGGTCGTAGAAAAATTTCTTCGGTGCGACGCCAAACACGCATTATGAGTGGCCACTGCGTTGCCAAACGCCAAAAGTAAAAGTGCTCCAGCATGCAAACCACAAACAAAGATATTGTACCTAAAAGATTGCGTGAAGACGAAAAAGAATGGAAAAGATATGTACGAGTATTTACTGGTATTTATATGTATCTGTGTTCACAAATAATTTAAGTGAGTTATCAAGGCAAACGGACAGTTTTTTGTTATGTCTGGAGACTAAAAAGCTAGTCCCAAATTGAGGCCGTCGCCCACCCAAGGGCCACTTTTGCATTACTTTATGGGGCGTTCCGAATTTCTCATAGTTATGAGCCTTCTGTTGAGATTGCCTCCCAGTCCCGCTTTTTTGCACGTAACACTCTTTCTGTGTATCGATTTATGTACTTCCATGTTTCGAAGCTGGTCAGTAGGTCCACTACTTCGAGAGAGTCTCTCTCTACTTTCCATTTTCCGCAGTGGAAAAAAGGTGTGCTTTGCCTCATCCTCAGCTGTGTCGTCTGAAATACATGGTAGTTTGTACACTTTACCCATTTTGTGTAGGTATTTTCAGAAATACCCATGTCCCGACAGAAGTTGCGTGCGGTAATAATTTAATTTTCCAACGCTCATGGTCTTCAGAGACTCACATCGTTCGCTCTGCAGTATCACAAAGTAGAACAGGAATGATGAGTGAATTTGTAGAGTTTGGTCTTTCTTTGTTGAGAGATGACTTTAGTTTTCATTTGTCTACTTAGCCCAAAGCTGCACCTGCTGATCCTGCATATGTTTTCAAAGCAAGACATTTCTATTGGTGTTGATTGGAATTTAGGTAAAGCAAGTTATTTACGAAATGAGAGTTATAAATGTCCCATCCCAATGACTTGGGAGCAAAGACGCGAATGCGTTGACTGTTTGCTCGTTCGGTCACTATCACTCTACCCATTCTTTTCTTTTTCCAAAAACAAGGGGTCACCTTGTCTGTAACCTTAGTAGTGATCCCTCTTGATTCTGTCTACACTCTGGCATTATCCAGCATCGGTTTACACAGCCGTATCAGTTTTTGTAAAGATACGAAATTCTGGCATTCGGCTCACATTCTTTTTCTTCTTCTTAATTGGCGTTGGCACCACTGACGCGATTATAGCCGAATCTATATTAGGGCGCCAGACAGCAAAAATAAGAGATATTGGAAATACCAGATGAAGCCCAGGTCCTAATTCTGCCAACTGAGTGGAAGCCTTCCTTTTGATCTGCTTCCACCAGCGGGTACTTTCAAAGCAGCACTCCAGCAACCATTCGGACGACGTAGCCTAGCCAACGTAGCCGCTGCCTCTTCATTCGCTGAACTATGTCTCGTATAACTCGTACAGCTCATCGTTCCATCGTCTGGTATTCGCCGTTGCCAATGCGCAAAGGACCATGAATCGTTAGCAAAACCTTTCTCTCGAAGACTCCTAGATCCGACTCATCAGATATTGACGTCGTCCAGGCCTTCTGCACTTCTAGACTTTGGTTTTCGTTCACCGAGAGAGGACTTTACTTCTAAATTGCCAACTCAGTCCAAAGTAGCTCCTGTTGCGTTGGATTTTAAGGCTTATTAGTGTTAATGCTGGCCCCTAGACAGACGAAATTATCTACGACCTCGAACTTATCACTGCCAACGTTAACGTGGGAGCCAAGTCGGTAACGCTATGACTGCTTGTTTGAAGGCAGGAGATATTTCGTTGTGCCCTCATTCAGTACCAGACCCATTCACTTCGCTTCTTTATGAAGTATGGAGAACGCAGAATTCACGGAGCGGTTGTTGAGGTCAATAATGTCGATATCATCGGCATACTCCAGCAGCTGTACACTCTTATAGAAGATTGTGCCTTCCTTATTCAGCTCTGCAGCTCGTAATTGCAGTTTTTCATTTGATTTTGGTTTTCATGTGGTACGCGCAGCCACATAGGATTCGCCTATTCACCTTAGCTCGCTTACAAACGGATGTTTGTTGGCTACCCAGGGATACGTGGTCTAAGACCGGATGTCGTGAGTTACTCGAACCATATGCGAAAGAATCGTTTCTGGCCATTCCCAGGTGAATAACAGTCAAAGCACTTCCGCTCCGTGCTCACATTACATCGGCTCCAAATCGATGTTTTTTTTACTTTACTTTATCTAACCCCTGAAGTCAGCAGTTATAAGCCATCCCTACTTATATTGGTGGCGCCATAATCTGATTTTTCATATGCGAGTACTTTACCTGAGTTGTGGAAATTCAATCCTGCTTTGAATACTAAATATCCCACAGTGCAAAATTCCAAAGTATTCAATATTATTATAGCGCCCGAATACACGCTGTGGACACTGCACCAGGAATAGTGAATGCGTTGAACATCGTCTGCCAATATGTTGGAAACAGGCAACAAGCCGAAAAACTGCGATACTAAGAGCACTAGAAGCATTCAAGGAAATGAGAAAAAAAGTCATTATTTAATAGATAAAAGAAGTAAATTAATCGGCTACCATTGTTTCTTGGCTCATTGAGGGCCCATATTATTCAATAAAGTTATTGAGGGGAAAATCAGAAAAAGTGAAGTATCCTTGATTAATCGGAGCTGACAATAGATAGACAGAACTAAATTTAATGTGATTTACTCGTTATTACTTTCAGTGACACATCCGGACTACTTTTTTCTGATCTTCGATCAGTCGTAGAATTTTACATACGAAAAGATTCCTACTCTTTCGGCGGCATTGCACACCCTGGCAAAGTAAGCAATTCTTATACACTGAGTGGTAACTAAGCCGTGATGATTGATTATATCTTAATGTGAGGGAATTTTAGTAGAGCCACTCCGTCATATTCAGTTTAAGAGTCTAGTAAAATCTTAATATTGCGTCTGTTCGACTGAGGTGCGGATGTGAGTGGACGTCGGACTTGAAGCAAGCCGTTCGCTATGAAAATATTAACACATTTTTTACCCTTCGTGCTTCGTGACACAATCCCCATTAAAGGCGATGTTTGGCTATGAACGTTATGAGCTCAAATCATGCGTTTCAGTTTAGACTGGTCTAAAGCAAAAAGTTTCGTTTGTGGCCATACGTAGCGAGTTGAAAATGACGTCCCGCAGTTTCATTTACCGAGTTGCTGATGAGAGCTCTCAGTAAGCAGGGATGTATAGATAGCAATCGTAATCGTTATTTGGACCTCTGAACACTGGAAACATTAGTTCCATTTTTTTTTTTTTCTTTTTTTGAATTCTCTTATACCGAAATCTGGTCTTTGTCCCATCTTTTTCGTCTTTTGTGATACGGTGATAATTGATTACACCGAAAACACTATAACTTTCCCTATCAAGGGATTGGAGATTCGAAGTGTATTCCCTCTAATCATAATTCTTTCATTGGATCTGCTTCGTATGAGTCATGTCCCAGGCTGTGCGCACAACCCGCTTGCGGGAGCAGCTATATATAATTTAAATAATTCTTTCATTCCTTTTTCAATACTGCAGCTCGCTTCTGGTCTCCCCTCTCTTGAACAAACCAGCGCTTGTAGTAGTTTGTTAGTTAGTTTAACAGGACAACTGGCCCGTAGTGATACCTATGTTGGACCCACCACTTTTTGTGTGATTTATGAATTTCAGCAGATAAATGACGCTCGCCGATGCAAGCTCTGCAAGGTAAGCGGGGAAGAAATTTCTGAAAAAAACTATAACGGACCGCACTGAGAACTGGGTAGTTCCAGTGCAACATTACCTCCACCGATTTATCTTCATGCAGCTACGGCAGGCAGAAGTCATTTGAGAAGCAGCCTTCTTCTACTATGAGTCCTCATAAGACAGTGTCCGGTTATCATGCCGGTTGTTTTGCTTATGAAGGTTCGGTTTAGAAGGCGTAGAAACTTAGTTCAGTTTACCTCGATTACACGTGATTTTACTCTGCCAACTGCTGTTGGCCCCTCTGTTGAAGGCTAGCAGTAGCAGATACTTTATCGAGGAAAGCGGTATGCCCAGGTCATGTGCAGAGCTTACCGCCATTGAACACTTAGACCTAATATGTCTAAATGGCTCTAAATCCCACATTTTTTTTTAGCCGCGACGTTTGTTTACCACATCTCACGCTAAAGTTACTCACATTTGCAGCGTGCGCAACGAGGGCGCGAGAGTTGACATTGGTTTCTAACCTTAGAAATGGACCAAGGCATTCAGAAGCAGGACTACACCCATTACCCGGCATTTAACAGTTTGGTTAACAGTTAAAAGTAGCGAAAATCCAAAAAGTAATTTACGAAACATTTTAAAGAATGACTTTGAGATCTATCACAAGAAAACATTTGCAGCCTATGCTATTACATATGTACATACCTTTGGAGACGGATTTGTGGAATGTTTGCTCTTGTAGCTTCTGCGACATACCTGCTTTTACCGGCGCTCACTCGCGCGCACAGAATACTCGTACACTTAGTCTGATGGAAACTGGGAAAATTTTTCAATTTTAATCACACCAAGTTAGCGGATATATGTGTGTATGTGTATGTATGTAAAGGGATTAACAAAATTTTACATAGCACCTAAGATATAATCAAAATGCAGTAATTTATTATTCAAATAAAAAATAAACACATTTAAGTACCGAACTGTTTCTTTTGTATGTATTTGTGTTTATTTATTTTCATTTTTGTGAAAATTTCACCTTTCAACCATAAATAAATGACCAAAATAGAGGTAAACACATTAGAAAGTCCTTTGGACTCTCCCTTGGTTGTAAACTCTTGATATCTACATGACAATAAATATATTTATTTAACATATGCATTGATGTATGTATGTACTATGTGTGTTTGTATGGTGGCGACGTGAGTGAATATATGTATAATATGTACCTTAGCCATTCACACTCTCATGGCTTAGTACCCTGTAGGGAGCAGGTCGATTAGTAAGCAAAAATTCCAGTTAAATACAGTACTGATTTGTTGAAGATGAAATCATACCAATTGGATACCAGTAATGGGTAACCGGGTATCGAGCAATGCGTGCAACTCGATGCTTGTATGTTGCTCAGCTGCTCATATTTTTATTTGAGTTTTTTTCAACTTTTATAAATTTTTAATTTTCAATTTTGTCTGCCAAAATTTCTTTAGTATTTCAATGAGTTTTACACTTTGCATAAATATATTTAAAATTATAGAAAAATATTTTGAGTAAAGTGTCAAATTTGTTTGTACAAAATACTCGGGAATATCGAGCAATGAGCAATAAACGAGTGTGCGAGTACTCGTTGCTCCAATGCACGAGCTGCTTAAAAATCTGCGAACAAAATCTTGAGCTCTAATATCTAGCACTGCTGAATTTCATTCTCTCTTACGCTCTGTTAAAGTGTAGATAGCCACGTTATTTCCTACACCGTCTCGGTAGCTGATTGGTGGTTGTCATGCGTGGGGTTCATGGGTTGAGTCTCGCTGCAAGCAAATTCATTTTTCTTTAAACTTTTATTTTTGGTGAAGTAGAAACCCAACATGCCTAAATGAACTAGTATTTAACTAGCAAAAGGTCTTGTATTGTAGAACGCAGAGAGCTGATCTAGTAACATTTAGTGAAGTTATGCAGTGAACACTTCCGTGGTCCGCTGAATGGCATTGAAACTGCAATTGATGACAATTAAAAAGTCGTTCCATTAACCTCCTATGACGAGATTCGAAGAACAATTGCCCGTCTAAAGAATAACACAGCGGCGGGAGCTGTAGGCCTGACAACAAAGCTATTCAAACATGGCGGTGAAGAGCTGACAAGGTGCATGCTTTAGCTTCGTGACAGAATATGGTTGGACGAAAACTTGCCTGACGATTGAAATTTATGTGTGTTCTGCCCCCAGCGTATCTCACGGTATGTGCCAATTAACGTGGGATTAGCCTTTTAAACATCGCATATAAAGTACAATACTATCGAACGTATTGTGTAAAAGACTAAAGTCTACCATCTACAAGCTGCTTGGACCTTATCTGTGAGGCTTCAGTTACATGAACCATTTGCCAGATATTCACCATACGACAAATCTTGGAAAAAACCTGTGAGAAACGAATCCATACACATCACCTTTACATCGATTTTAAAGTTATATTCGGAAAACACGGTAAGGAACTGGATGTGTAAACTGACGCAGGGCAACACCAGAGGCGCAGTCAAAATTTGGAAAGCCCTACTCGAGCCGTTCGGTACCAAACGAGGTTTCAGACATGGTGACTCTTTATCGTGTGATTTCTTCAATATGATGCTGGAGAAAATACTAAGAGCTGCAGAGCTAAATCATCAAGGTGCAAACTTTTACAAAAGTTTACAAGTACGGCACTGATATTGATATTTTAAGCCTTAAAAGCCGCGCCGTTCGTTCTGCTTTCCTCAGACTTGATAAAGATATAATATCAGCTTTGAAATCCAACTCAGAATCACTCTTGCTGATAGGTACTACTTTAGATTGGGTAGGCAATTAAAAAGTACAATCTTCTCCCGACGAACGAAAACCAAACTCTACAAGTCGCTCATTACACTCGTCCTACTATATTTGGCGTAAGCGTGGCCTTGGGAGACTTCGAGGGAAAAGTTTTGCGAACGATTTATGGTGTTGCGGATTGGCAATGGCAAATACCGCAGATGGTGGAACAATGATTTGTACGAGCGAAAGAATGAACAGCGGCTACGCTGGCTAGAGCATGTCGTCGTCCGAATGAAAAAAGCGTTCTGTCCTTGAAAGCATTCGATGCAGTAACCGCAGATGGAAATAGAGGAAGACAAAGACCTCCACTGGCGCCAGATAGCGAAAAGAAATGGCGCCTACGTCAATAAAGAAGAAGAAGAAGACTGACTGACAGTTGATAGACCAACGACGTGTTAAAAACGTCAACTGCTTACACGGCTAATAGATGGCAGATGAGCGAGTTAGTGCGAAAATGGCAACTAGTTGAATTCTAGTAGTTAACAACTAGTACTTTTCCCCGCAGGGTACACACTCGGGTAATCGGTCTGCATGTGTGATTGCGGTTGCAATTTGCTAAGAGGCGTTGCTTTCCATGTTGCTAATTAAGTCGTATGACAATCGCAGATAAACATGACAACAAAATAAACAGCAATAACTACTATAGCAACAAGGACAATACCTTATACAAGGGCCATATAAGATATTCATGAGTGGATATACGTACGTGTATATATGATGATAAGTATATATCTGCGTATGTTGAAGGTGTTTACGAAATTTACCTTATTAACCTCAAGCATTTATAAAAAAATAACCGAAAAGTTGAATACTTATGATTGTAGAGACAGTACAATGCATGCATATGTGTATGTATGTATATATGTAAATGTGTAAATATGTTTATAGCATTCTATGTTTATGCTGCAAGCCGCAAATCGTTGTTGCAGATATGTATGTATGTACGTATGTGGGTACTATCACACTGCACTAATAGTGGTTCAACATCTAGGAGCATAGCTCGGGTAAACCTTTGGAACGGTTGGGTTCATCGAATTGCAGCAAAACCAGCTCGTAGGTGACAATGGTGCCTGCCATCTGCAAACAAATTAAGCAAAATCATATAAGAATTAACAATAAATACGAAGATTTACTAAAACTAAATTTGCAGCACACAAAATTTGCCTGACGCTGATAATAATAATAAATTTGTATGAAAGCGATTTAATCCAGAAAAATTTTAGAACAATTTTCAGCAACTTTACCAAATTGCTTTTGGAGTAAGGATAGCCTTGATAAAATTTTAAAACTTGTTTTTTTTTTTTCAAAGACAACTCTTTTAAGAAGCTTCACAGAAATTTTAGTGAGTAATCCAAAAAAAGAGTTTCAACATTTTATGCAAGAAAAATTTAAATTATGAAACTTTGTATCGCTGCCTCGTTTACTTGGATGAGCCTTTTGGGCTGACGTAGGTCCCAACATATTTTCGAAGCTTTTACTGGATTTTAACCTATTAAATCCACCATTGGCAAAGATCCATGAAAAGTGGGCCGGCACACACCACCTGAAAAAGACTTACTTCTACGACTTATATGCCGCTAAGTCAGAATTTGGTGTCCCCTCGAAACTTTTCCGGCTAAGCAAACTTACTTTAAGCAATACCAAAAGCGCCGCCTCGAGAAGGGCCTCTCAGAGGTATTCGATACCAAACGAGATTACAGACCAGGTGACTCCTTATCGTTTGACTTCAGTAATTTATTACTGGAGAAAGTATTACGAGCTGCAGAGCTAAGTAGAGTAGGTAAAATCATCTTAATGAGTATACAACTGCTGGCGTACGTCGCTATTGTTAGTTCTGCTTTCCCCAAACTGGTTAAAAAAGCAAGGTAAATTGGTCTGATGGTGTAGGAGGACAAGACGAAATATCTCCAAACAAACGATCTTCGCATATGGGACTCGGATCCTACGATACAGTTGACAGTCATAACTTCGAAGTCATAGCAGATAATTTCGTCTATCCAGGAACTAGTACTCGCATTAACACCAACAGCAATGTCAGCAATGTTGATATCCAACGCAGAATCACTATCGACAACAGGTGATACTTACTACTACGATATTTTGAGGATGCACGGACGATGACAGGATCTCATGAGTCGGCGCTTGGAGTTTTCGAAAGAAAGGATTTTCGGAGGATTTATGATCCTTTGCACAGAAGACGAAGGTCCTATTATCACCCAAAACATGACCAGCATCGAAATTAATTACTTCACAATACAGATCTGCAGCTTACAGCACTTAAGTGCCTTTTTTATGACGAACCCAGCGTTAACCACCCCGCGTCCGACCGGCCGGGTCAAGTCTGAGGGATAATCGAAAAATCCAACAGATCGGTGAACGAAAACCAGCGGTAGTTCAGACTACACCGAACACGAAACCGATCGAGGAAGGTTGCAGTTACACTCTCCTCTTACACTAAACAGCTACAGATTCATTCATCAACTACTATAAAATTGCATGGAAAAAGATGAAAGAATTTACTTAATTATTTAAAGCACTCAGTAAGTAGGTTTTGATAGAGAAAAGCTTGTCAGAAGCATCATTGTTGGCGAAATGTCTATTAAATTCGTTACACAAAGAACTAAAAGGGTCGAGCATTTCAAAGTTTGTTCTGCATGAACACAAAGAAAGGGGTTAAAGTGTGTAGATGATCATAAAGGGTTGGTAAAGTTAAGCTCGCTAAGTGGGAATGTGCCGTTACAGATTCCAATTTATCCATATACAATTTACAGTGCGAACTTTATACAACTGAGCCACATTCCTTATTGGTCTTATTGGTACCAATGTTTTCTGAAATAATGAGCGCTAAATTTTTCTGTGGCCGACTCACTTTACACGTGCTATGGGCTTTAGACTTTCTAGTTTAAGTAAAAAATTTGTTACACACTGTAAGCCTAAAGTCTGCATAATTGAGTCACTTCTCTGTAGAACGATTCATAATTCATTAGTCGATTCAAAACTCAAATCCGTTTGGTGAGCAACATCGTTCCTCAAATGTGGAAGTTAAAAGCAAAATTCGCAAAGAAAATGAAGCCAAGGGAAATTCAACGGTTTAATTATTATCTCTGCGAACACTAAAAAGAAAAACAGTGATTTAAAACGCATCACTTTGTTGAGCTGTTTAGTTACAATTTCAGATGAACTAGTCTTAGGGACAGACATGAGACTCACAGTTCTAATCCCTCAGTATGCGCATTTGTGTTTTTATTTCTTCGTAAAAGTTCAGCAAACATAAATAAACTAGTATTTAGCTGGTATGAAGCTGATTCCAAATCGTAGGACATCGCCGTTTTAAAAGAATGATGTTAGTTTCTATACGTACATTAAAAATATTCTCCCAAATAGTGGCGTAAAATTGACAGAAGAAATTTTTCGCACGACGATATATACCAGATCGTACTGGCCTGCCTTTGAGATGTTATCCCTTCTAAGAGAGAATATTTCACGTGACCACGTCGGATTCCATGAAGCAAAAGATCTATCGGGAAGAATCTGCTTGGTCGTGCTCTGCTTAGCCTTTCAGTTTCCTTTTATGTTCCTGTGACCAATAACTCAAACGGGAGACAGTCCGTTTATAACTGTTTGGAAGAGTTGGTAGCGATGTTTCCTCAAAACACCCACCCATTTTCCGACTACCCTCTAGCCGACTAGCCGACTAGCCGCTAGGATGCGGCAGTATCTTTATGTTGAAATATTGGCTACAAAAATTATGGCAGAGCTACTGAAGTATGCTGGCTTTCAATGAAGAAGAATACAAATCAATGTGGATAGCCAATTGGCAATAAAGGCTTTAATTTTATACAGGACGAAGTCAGCGTTGGTGGAAACTTCGTAAAGAGGAAATGAAAGACACTGTCTGAAAACAGAAGAGTTTACATTTAGTGGGTGCCTGGCCACACAGTCATTGAAGGTAACGAAATGGCTGACGAACTGCCTGAGGAGGGTTACAGTCAGTTACATTCACTGAAGTGAAGCAGAAGCCATATATGTGGATCATGTATACTGTGAGTGTCCAACGTTCGGCAGGCAAAGGCTATGCTTACTAAGACTAAAGGATCTTCAATCGTCAGTGGTCAAGGGGCCAGAACGCCTACTTTAACTTGCAAAAATAACAGCATTAGCAGTGCTGCTTGGTCGCATGTAGTATGGCAGCACTATGGATACATTATTGACTATGTGAAACCCAAGGATTAGCCAGTTAAACCTAACCTGACGGTTTAGAGTAAACTGTAGGTCTCTCCATTTGTTAGGAAAATAAGAAGACACACAACAGAAATAGGAAGAAGAACTCGGTTGAAAATCGTTTCAGCGCTAGCAAAGCCCCAATTTTATAAATCTATATAGTTATTTCTCCTATCTACAGATGAAAAGAAGAGGACAGTGCTACTTGGGATGAATGTTTGCCTTTAGAGGTTTTTCGAATGTCGAGGCAATTATGCAACCCTTTTCTAAAGAGTATTGGTCTTACGAAAGATACCTAGTGAATCCAGAGATAAATTTTGCGACTTAAGCGCCACTTTTCGCCAATAGCTTTTTCACTTTTTTCTAATTTAGATCTCCAACTTATTCTAGGCCAAAAACTTTGCCTTGCTTCCCAGACAGGCTAACATCTTTAAAAGCTCGAGAGTTTATTTGCGGTACATGTATGATATCTTCTTATGAAGAGAAAAATTTCCACCATATTGGAGTTAATGCAGTGTTCGCATGTCTCCAAAGAGCCCAATACTTTTCCGTGAGACCGCTGTATGAAGACTCATAGATGTCTGGGAATATAATCGGCGTATACAAGTAAATCTGCTTCCTACCCACCTTTAGACTAAGCTCCACTTATGTAAGTAGACTTGAAACGATACCCTTACAGCCTCTCAGGCTCGCGGTTACTGTCCTGCACAGAAGGAGCCTCCAAAGCGCCGTTTACTCTTAAACATACTTTAATATAAATGTACTTTATATACTTGTACTGTGTAGTAATGCTCATTTTCTTCTTTGCCTCAACAGTACGCCAGTTGTTCTTTCACCATTTGCCATCGATTGCAGATACCAAGTCCACGATGTTTAGGTCTTCCTCTTTCTTAGCTTCCATCGGCGAGTACTGCATCGAAAACTTTCAAAAGTGGTCTCCCTCATCCAAATAGCATGACTTGACCTAGCCGCTGTCGCTTTATTCGCTGAACTATATCAATGTCGTCATATAACTCATAAGGTTATCGCTCCCTCGGCTGCAATATTCGCCGTTAGCAATGTGCTTCCGCAAAACCTTCTACCAAAAACTCATAGCTCCTACTCATCAGACTGATTTTGCCATCGTCCAAGCCCCCACACCATTGAGCAGGACGGAAATGATAAGTGAATTGCAGAGCTTCCTCGTCGAGAGAGAACATTACTTTACTTTTCAATTGTCCAATCAGTCCATGGTAGAATGGAATGGAATGGAATGATGGAACGATGAGCTGTAAGAGATATACGGCGCCTTTGACAAAGTTAAGCGAATCAATAGATAGTGGCCGGGCTCGCTAGGTCATGTGGTCTGAAAGGGTGGTGGAATTAGAGGATGAAAAAGATCTCCATTCCGCCGAAGAGACCAGGCGCTAAACTGCGGATAGAAGGTATTAACAACGTGCTATTGTTGATTTAGCTATAAATAATGTCTGCGCATGAAGAGAAGAAGAAGAATCACATATTGCTTTCTTCTTTATTTTTCCTTTTTCATTTCTTCTATTTTGGCTTTGATGGTACACCAAATTGGATTACTTGAAAATGGCGAGCTTTGATTGTGCTTCAAGGAGGTTTTCTCTAATTCTTGGATATACAATTGTACGTATGTTTGTTTGTTTCAACAGTCTACTCACCCCAAATAGTAAACGTCTTGTTAAGAAGTAAAATTTCTTTCCAGATAATGCCACTGTCGTAGTTGCCATTTGGAATATTAAGCGTTCCACCTGACGTAAGAAGAAGAATTTCTAATGACAGTAAAGTTATGCTAAGATTAAATATTTAAAGAGGATATAAATAAATAAATATGTACATATGTAGATATGTAGATATGTCAGTGTGCGAATAAATAATATTAATCTTAATAAATCACGTTAATTCATAGTAAACAATATGCTAAATATGTACATGCATTTGTATATGCATATGTAATATAGAGTTTCCATTTCAGGAAATTGTTAATCCACAAATGGATCCCCAACTTACCTCCACACACCAAGTTTTATCAGAGACCCGTCGAAGTACACCCAAGGCTTCCTTTGCCTCGTCATTGATGGCTGCTGCTGTGAGGAAAACGAAAGCCGTACGACCGATTAAAAAGAGCAGCGAAAACCAAAAATAAACATAATTAATTGGCCAACGCAATTTACTGTTGCGCGTCCATGCACAACAAATATTCAAGGCGATCCAGAAGTAACATAGGCGTGATGAAAAAATCCAAAAAAAAAAAATTTTGTTCAAAAGTAATTAATACAAATCCAGCGATTTTTGGCTATGAGGATGTGTACGTATTGTGAATATGTAAATGGGAGTGTATGTAACTAGCAAACATTTCAAAGAGGATTTGCTGTAAGAAGTGAAAGGATTAGCATGAAATCTGTACTATTGTATTTCTGTTCTTTCAATCTCTTCTAATTGTACGCTTCTCACAAGAAATTAAAGAAGCTTAAAATGTTGGCGTTCGAAGAGAGAGAGGATTTTTTTTTTTCATTCATTGTCATGCAGTCAAAGTCAAAAGTGATTGGCAGAAAAGTTGTGTGAAAAGGATGAAGTTTTTATTAGTAAATGCTTACTATTTATCTGTCTTTTCTTTTATTTATTAGACTTACTTGAAAATATTTAACAACTGGTAGCACACAAAATAAAGATTATTCGCACAGGAGAGCAAAATAATTCCAGATAAATCCTCATCCACATATTCCAGCAGTTCGATTAATTTTATATAATGATCTCGTATCTCCATGAATATCGACTCGGGTACTTCCTGGTAAAAAATTGTTTTTATTTATTTTTACAAAAAACCTTAACATAACTCATAACATTTATACCTTATCCAGTAACTTATTTATACGCATCTTTATTTGCTCGAAACGATAAGCGATGCCCTTGCCAACCATCATGATAAAAAGATCCATGTAGTTCCACACGAAAGTACAGAAGAAATTCCCGACCTTTGAGCATACACAAGTAACGAACGAAATTAATTTTCAGTTTCAAGGATTAGTTTAGGGCAGTGGTCTGCCACTTCAGAAAAGTCATCACAACACTAGAAAACTACAATACTTGAAACTACAAATTGTTTTTTGAAGCTTATATAGTACATTATTGCACGGAAATTTAAATTTCGTTTACCGTAATCATTGCAATCCCTTTCAAAAAATTGCTAAAAAAAAACGCTTTTTCGTGTTCTAAAGGATACTATTACTACTAGCCTTAAGGCTTTATGAAGAGATGTATGCAATTCTAAATAACCTTTTCATGGAGTCATATGCAGAGTAAAGTTTTCGCTGCTATTCAGCTGGGAGTGACCGGAAACTTTACATATGTTTCAGACAACTTATGACTTTCGGCCTTAGACCGAGTATCCTTTGGGTAAATGATCGTAAATTTGCTTTGGGATTTAGGAAAGAATACAAACTCTGTGGCAGAGCTCTACAGTGAATGACGGTCTTGTCATAATCCCCATCAAATACGGGCGGAAGAAAATTCATCAAGCTGCATGAAGGTCAGCAAACCGAAAATAACGATGCAAGACACGTCGCCAATGTACTAAATGTACGTACAACGTTGCAGCAAAGAACTCGCTTTAGCAAACACATGGGGAGTGCGATTTCAAAAAAGCAGACAGCGAGTCAGCATGCTCTATGGAAAAGTCGATAAAATGCTTCGGCGACTTAAAAAGATTTCAAGACCGGAACATAGTAATGAAGAGACCAACGACCTTATATGCGATATTCAAGTGGCTAATCCAACGGTAATTGACGCAGACCATTTGGTTTCTAAAATACCAATCATTGGGCATGCTTCTATCCGAACCTATTCCTTTGCCTATCGTTAGGCTAAGGAGTATCTTCACTTGTCCATTTGGAATATGGCTCAGTTGTATGGAGTCCGCACTAGCAAACGCTTAGTGATAAATTGGAATCTGTGCGTTAAATTTAGACTGGGATGCGCATAAAAATTTCCCGACATGCAAAAGTCTTTTTACTCATTAATCTCCCTACACTCCATGGTCGTAGAAAGATGCTTGGAGTTCTATTGTTAACTAAATTATTGAGGGGTGTTATCAACAGCCCATTCCTACAGAGCGAGCTTAACTTTAACATCCTTTAGGATGTTGTTGGGATGAAAAAACTTTAAAAACCTAATTCCGCTGACTTGTTTCTCTGTATCAAAACCTACTTACTGAGAGCTTTAAATAATTAAGAGATTTCCTTCTCCTTTTTCCATATAAGTTATAACCAATGACAATCCGCGGTCGGTCACGTGTTCGCGGAATTCGGATTGTCACGGATTTTCGATCACTGGTGTGTTGGGTTTTCCGTTTATTCGTCAGGTGCGCTCTCGGTCGGCTGAGCGAGAGATGCCCAACGGTTCATCGTCAAGAAAATTATGCTAATCTAACCATAGATGTCAAAAGCATACGGAGTTTATTAATGTACGAGTAAAACACTTTTTATATCTTACAAGGTATAGTTTTTTTTCAATATTTTTAAATAAAATTTTAATTAGTTAGGTCCGACCTGTTCCGTTCTGCAAACTTAACGCTTGTGTAACGGCTGAATTTCGAATCTTAGACGATCGTGGTAGTTCGCAGACTAGTTTTATTAACGATCAATTAGCGAATGTGTTACGACTTTCAATACGCAAGTCTGGAGTGAATGTACAGAGTTTACCAAGAAGCGCATTCAAGTAGCAGAGTACATACAGACTTCCTTATGGGAACAGATGCCTGACACGAGTCATCGATGGACCAGATGAAACCATAAGCTCAGTGCATCTTTTAAGCTGCCTAGTTTTCGGTCGGGGACCGTTAGTCGAGAATAACTTGGTCTGAGAAGATGTGGTGGACAATTTTTAGTGGCTACTTCGAGCAATGCACCCAATTTTTTTCCTAAGAATGTCACTTTTGGTTATATGGAACGTACTCGATAGTCAGTCGCTGTGTTATAGTATTCTGCAACACCCAGTAACTGCAAAGATTTCAACGCAATTCCACCCACCAGTAAAGACATATCACAGCTAGTTTTCCAATAGAGATTTTGTAGATAGTGTAAAGAAACAGCAGATGTAGACTTAGGAAAAACTTAAAATTTAGAGATCATTGGGAAAACTGTATTTTCATAGGAACGCGCTAAGCAAGTGTTTCAATGGAGAAATTAATCTGCCGTAAAGTGAAATAGTGGCCGCACTAGCCGAGGATAGTACCATGTGGAGAGTCGTGGATTCAAATCATGGCTTGTGCGATACAAAAATGATAGAAAATTAAATTAAAAACCTCTCAACCCTTCCGAATGTATTTTTGTCATGAAAAAATTCTCGTCATAAAATTCTATCAACGATTCGGATGCGGCTTGGAATACACTGTACGTTCCACAAATTGTATGATGACGAAAACCTCTTCAACGCTTGTTAATCACCAATCGAATATATAAAGCGACTGGAACATCCGAATGATTAGCATTGTACTGTCATTCTGAAGGCCAGGGTTTGAGTCCTGGTGCAACCAACATTCAATTTTATAGAAAATGATTTTTTCTAATTGCGGTCGCCCCTCCGGTATTGTCGAGCTACTGGACTGTAGATTGGGAGGCAGCTCAGAATAAACTGTAGGTCCCTCCATTTGTTGGAAAAACATCAAGACGCATACCACAAATTGAAGGATGAGCTCGGCCGAAGATCACCTCAACGCTTATTAATCGCCAATTATATATACATATATATATAAATTATATTAAGTATTAAGACATTATAACCATTTTTTTTTTGGTTAGCCATCACTCACCAGAATAAAACTGCCCACGGCTGTGGTGTTGGGAAGTAGCTCATACACGTAGTCATAGTTTTTGTACGTGTAATCTTCGAATGTGAAATGAACAGTGGTATTGTTGAGAGCTGCGCAAAGGTGTGCTCGACGATACTGTGACACCACAGCTGAAGCCAAATACAATAAGTGTTCCACTATATGATTATAATAAAGCAGTTACTTGGTGGTACAAATAAATTTTCAGAGTTAAAAAAAAAACCTACCTGCGGAGAGTGAAAGTATAGTGGCTGCAGCGCGACGTACTCGACTCGATAAATCGGGTTGTGGCCTCTCATACGGTTTACGTATGAAAATCATTTCAGTGCGAGTCCAAAACCGTATAAGCCGCGGCCAACGTGGAGCCAACGAGAAGAAGAGTATTGACGATGATTGCACACATGTGAAAAACATTACGCCGACTGATCGAAACAAATATTATAAATATCGATAAAAAAAGGTAAATATATAATTTCATGCGATTTCAACAATCGGTTTTGAAGGAATTTCATTGAAGCTTACCCAGGTTCTTAGCGTTTACACCAATTTTCGCCAAATGCTTTATCATCGAGAGATTCAGTGTAGTACTCGCTACCAAAAATAGCAACGTTATCATAACTCGTACGGTTCTCAATGAAAAACGCACATGACGAGGATTTGGTTGTCCAACCCCTAAAACAGGCATTAGGGAAAAGCATTGACCTATAATGAGTACTATAGAAGTAATATAATATATTAATATCGTGAAGCTTACTCGTATATGTTGCAATAGAAAAGTGCAAATGATACATTTTGACATTTCAGCTGGAGGCTTAAAGCAAGACACAAACCACAGATTAGAGCAGAAGCTCGCTTTGGTAGCTGTAAGGAGGCAATCTCGAATGAACTATAACCCCATTGCTACTCGGCTGAGCTCCTTTTCCAAATCGTGGTTTGTGTTTTGATGTTGTTTCATACCTAGCCGCCTCCAAACGCCAGATGGATTTTCATGAGAAGCATTTTTTTTCAAGTCAGGAATTCCTTGCTGAGAGAAGAAGGCAATTAGAAAATTCAATTTTATCTGTTGGTCGAACCAGAACTCAAACTCTGGCCTTCCGAATGGCAGTGCGCAATTCTAACTTCTAGGTTATGTTTGGACAAATAAAATCGCCATAAACCATAAGCTAGACAAAGTCACCTCACTTCGTTGCGCATCGAAAAGATGACGTGTGTTTAAAATATATGTTTTTATAATTTAAACAAACAATTTTGTTCGTCTGCTTTGCCGTTGACGACCTCAAAAACCCTCTAGATACTTCTCAAACTCGATATAGCAAACTCGATTGAGTTCCCATTTTTTTTTCGAATATGAAAAAGACGCTCGGAGCTATGTATAGCTGGTGCATTATTACAGTATTGCTTTTGGCGAGAAATTCACGAAGATGCAAACAAACCTGGACAGGTGCATTATAAAAAGCCTAGAAAAGTTTTTAGGACTACTTTACGCAAATGGCTGCTGACTGCTTGATCTAGTAGTCAAAATTCACGATGCCCAATGCCATTAAAATCGAAAAATACAGTGAACATAACCTTCACGTTCTACCCAACTTGTGGAGCGTTCTTCGGTCTTGGGTACGAGTTCTAGCCCAACCAATTTCTGAAATTCATTTTAAATTCAGTCGTCCCTCCGAAATGTATGTCTGACATGAAATAAAAAATCCTCATAAAAATACATCAAGTGTTCGCAAGCGGCTTAGAGGAAACTGTAGATACCGTTTATAGGAAAAGCATCAAACGGCACTAATTGGAGGAGGAGGTCGGTAGAAATCGCTTATTCAAATGAAAGGCGAAATGGAATGAAAATTATTCTGTGTTTTAATTTTCCACTGCTTTCTGATGTGGAAAAATAATCATCATGCGAAGCAATGGCTTGAAAGGTGTTGAAGGGACTTCGCTCCATCAGAAACAACAACAAAAACGTTGACAAGGCAACAATGAAACGTCGTCCAAAGGAAACGATGAAAGCAGAAAATATCAAAACAATCCACAAAACTTTTTCAAATGTTCGAAACGAAAGCTTTGCTCAACGTGGCTACTGTTTTCTCTCGCTGTTGAGACAAAGTAAGAACACGCTGTTATTCCTGAACAGAATTTGACTCTGTTTAAACGTTACAAATTTCTGCGTTGATATTGATCAAAAGCACAACAAAAAACTCTCTTCTCCTTCTTCATTGGCGTAGGCCCGCAGGAAATAAACCATCTGCTTCATCGAACGGAGTAGAGGTCTTCCTCTTTCTGTGCTTCCACCAGCAGGTACATCGACCACGCTTCTGCCCCATATATCAGAATGGGACTGATGAAGGGCTAGTGCATTCGTTTTTTTTTTATTCGTCGAGAGATGAATTTACTTTTGAAATACCCATTCAGGCCAAAGTAGCATCTGTTGTCAAGAGTGACCCGCGTTGGATTTCCTGGCTGGGATTATATATAATTGGCGCTTTGTAATCGCCGAGCTCCTTCTCTAAATTGTGGTTTTGCGTCTTAATGTTTTTCCAACAAATGAAGGGACCTACAGTTTATACTAAGCCGCCTCCGAACGGCTGATAGTTTTTTCCATGAGCAGCCTTTATTTCATGTGCGAAATACACTCGGAGGGGTGGACATTCTCGGCTGAGGCGCGACCGCAATTAGAAAATTTAACTTAGTTTTTTATTTAAATTAATTTTCTATAACTTTTTTTTTGGATGTTAGTACGGTACCAGGATTTGAACCCGAGCCTTCCGAATGGCAGCACGCAATGCTTCCTACTCGGCTACTGCGGCCGCGTATCTTCAATGTAGCAAAATAATGATTCAAGTCGATGTTAGGATCTCGGAACGTACGCACATCTAGAACACTAGAGGCATGTCGTTTGTCTATCCCAACGTGATCGATTTAGATATGAATTATTCTATTTGGTGACAGCCAGGTAGTTTGGGGAATTTTCTTGAAATGGGGAAGTCGATCCACCACAACTCATTTGGGTACGTTTCGTCGTTGGAACGGATTTTTTGACAGATACTCGTATAACGAAAATACTTTCTTTGTCCACCCTGGCGTTAAAGTCGCCAAGCGGAGCTATGCTGCTAAATCTGCTCCGGCCGCTCCTAAAAGACATCCTTGGTTACATCGGCTTTCTCTTCCGTCGGACATCAAAGTTATGTTGAAAAATTTAGTTTTGATGCGAGACATTCATCCTTCACCTTCTTTCATCCTTGTTCCGTTCATCGAACTTCTTGAACGGCTTTAATTTTTCATTAACCAGCTGAGCAAAGGCACGCTCCTAATTTAGAGAGCCCTCATCAATAGAGGGGTCTCTCATTCCATTCATTTTATGATTTTCCATTGGATGACATTTTCAAGCGCTACGCATGACCGCAGGGTGATTCGCCTACTGCTTTTAGCTTGCCTCTCAACGTATGTTTGTCGGCTACTCTGAGGACACTTGATCTAAGACCAGAAGTCGTTGGTTTCTTAAATCATATGTGAAAAATTCATTTCTGGCCATTGCCAGTTGAATGACAGCATTAAATTTTTCTCACTTGTGTGCCCTTCTACTCTTGGCCACATCCCTGGAAGAAATTTTGATTGAATGAAAAGATCATCCTTGAAACTGAGAGCTATTTTGTACTAAAAAAAAAGGTATTGAAGTATTAGAGGGGGCCTGGAGTGAGTCGCACTGGTTGGAGATAACATTGGGAGAGCCTAGTGGCACTTTTGAAGACATGTGTTATTCTCATACTCACTTGGTCCAACGGCGCGATGAAATGTATCCAATTTACTGTAGTCCGTAGGACCGACTGGCTTAACATAATTAAAATCCTTATCCTTTAGTGCAAAATACTCGATAGGTGTTTGTCGGCCAATCTGTTCCAACGCATTCACATCTGGATCTTCGATATTCTCAATGAACAACTTTTCATTCGGCTTGGCAATATAAGTTTTCCTATCACATTCGTTTAGTTGTTTCGATGGCTTAGTTTTATTCCTACGAATATCCTGTTGATATTTTGTCAAAATCTCACGTAATTTATTGCTATTAAGCATTGTTATTCATTTACTATCCAACTAGCGTAGAGTAGCGGTATAAGTAATACGTTGAGTGAGAGCCGCGTGTGCAAATGACAGTCAATCGAGAAATTAATTTCAAATGCCTAACATTTTAGATATTTTGCACTATTTGTATGCACATGTTTTCGTTTTGTAAATGCCAATAAAACTCATATATGGGCGGGATTGTAAAATTGTATGTATTTATGTATACATATGCACCCCGTAATACGTATGTATGTATACAATTTCATAAGAGAGCTCCTCGTTGTAAGTAGTGTCAAAAGGACTAATCTGTTTACAGGCAACGACCGCTGTGATAAGTTAGGATGAGGGTATTAGAATGTTTCAGCTAACGGTAACTAATATTCATCAGGATACAAAAACTGCATAGACTACTTTGAGCAAATAGTAAGGTGAATTTGTTTTTAAAATTAAAAATCTTTATTTATTCTTCTATATCGATTTCGACGCCTTCAAAATGGTCCCCTGCCGATGCAATGTACTTATGCCAACGCTGTTTCCAACCATCGAGGCCTTTCAAATATTCACGTTCTGTTATAATCTTCCGAGAGCGCGCCGATTCACGTTTAATCTCCTCAATCGACTCAAAACGGTGTACTCGAAGTGGTCTCTTGAGTTTTTGGAAGAGCCAGAAGTCGCTTGGTGCTAAGACCGGCGAATGCGGTTGTTGGAGAACGATATTCGTGGAAATTTTAACGAAATGGTCACGAAGAATGAGTGCTGTGTGCATTATTGTGATGCAAAAGCCACGAAGGCACTTTTAGTCGTTTAGTAAACCCAAGCGTAACTATAATACCAATGATACCAAGTGGTGTTTGTACATACTCTGTGAGCAAAAAGTAAGATGAATTTTTAATTTGAGCTTCGCGCGTTTAATTTTTTAGGTTAGTTCCTTTTTTTTTTAATGTTGGTAACCTTGTTATTGAAATCGATGCCAAATTTGACATAGACATGAAATTAAAAATTCATCTTACTTTTTGCTCACAGAGTATGTACAAACACCACTACAGGTTATACTAAGTTTGCAATTTTATTACACCTAAAGGTGTTGTCAAACATAGCATAGAGGACAAGAAAACCTCAAAACATTTTGCTATCAAAAATTCGTAATTTCACAGAGTCTTACCACAATTAGTTATCCGCAAAATCCCTCTGGGACATTAATTTCCGCTTGCACACACTACTCTAACAACTCTTTATGCTCTGACAACTGAATGGCTGATTTGGATTTTTATCAATTTTTTCATTATTATTTTTTTTTTAATTTTGGTATGATCCCATGACTCGCCAATGGAGGCTGCTCATAGAATTTATTTTAGAAAATTTTACTCGGCGGGCTAATTCTTGCTGCGTCTGACAGCACTTTAACTGTACATACTTTCCTTGAATTAAAGGCACGCGATCTGCAAAAGAACACCCAGCTGGCTTATTTTATAAGATGTCTTTCTTTTACTTCACTACCCTAAAAGTAGCTGCCAAAATATCCAAATATTTTTTTGTGAAAAAATCAAAACAAAATGTGTAATTCCAAAGACTATTTGAAAAATAAATATGTTAAAACTAAAATAATAACAAAAATGAGTTATGAGGCGCGATTTTACTTACTATTCTAATATGAAATCTCACTTAATGTTGAGGTTTGGCCGAAATTTGCAAACAGTTTGACGTTTAGCGAGAATTTCGCTTCAGTTGTTCCAGTGATTCATTCATAATAGTACTTTTTTTTACTTTACAGCACTATTAGTCGTATTAACCGTTTAAATATCTCAAATATTTATTTTTTTATTGTTGCTTTCCATGTTATTCGATTACCTAACTAATGTTCTTTTGTAGGTCACGTGCGTCGTTTAATACCATAGAATACACTATTTGCACTCTGGTCACCTTAGTTCAATGCAAGTATGTAAAGCGCCTCGCGAATTTTCGCCAACTTTGAGCTAATTTGCGACCACTTTTAGGCATATAAATATGGGCGTTATATCAGCCATAACTTGGCGAATATTATCAATTGTTTTAGCAAAAGGCCTACTTGTTTGCATGAGAACATTTGTTGGTTTTCAAGTACTCAAGAATTAAAGGTTTATTCGCGTAGCCAAAAAAAGTCCAATCGATCGATGGCAAATTGACATCGCCAAGACGATAGACTACGCGGTTGGTAAATTTCGCTCGCAATAAAGCCAAATTCGTTCGTTTTGTGGCATCATCTTGCTTTAAATAACATATTTTCCAAACCGTGTACTTCAATTGCAGAGATCAGAAAAGTCGGTTATCATGCAACCATAATGCTCCAAATTGAAAGTGGCCGTTTCACCGTTGTCGTTTTCAAAGAAGTAAGGTTGAATCACACCTCCGGACTAAAGAGCGTACCAGACAGTACGTTTTTTCTTTGGATGCAATGGCCTCACTTCAATTATTTGAGGGACCTCGGAGCTTACTTACGCATCCCTCGAATGAGAAATATGCAACGTCCCTGAAAAATATCTTTTTCGAAAAATCGTCGTCCACTGCTCGTTGTACCGGCACCCAAACGGTGAATGGTCAGTAGGCTTCAATTTTTGTATGATAAAGAATCTATATGTACATATGTAGGTGTAAATCCAAGAGCAAAATGTGCCATAGAGTGACGTAAGGAAGTCCCAGCTCTCGACTCTCGGCTACACTTTTACCGACAGCAGCGATGCTTGAAGTGGAACGAGCGAAACGATGATGGATGATTTTGTGCATCACGATCTCTTCTTTAAGCACTATTTCCGTAGTATTTTTCAACAACTTTAACTCATTGTGCCGTTGTTAAGCGATCCATTTTCATAAATGCCTGACTTTAAACTAAAACATTTTTGTTAAATTTGACAGATATCAAAATACAGCCCTGTACAATTGAAACTATGAAATGGATAACCCTATATGTACATATAAACGAAATTCTACCATGTACAAAAATACATATATATATACAATACATTAACTGCAAATTACTTATAGACTTCAAAAACTCCCTTTTTTGTTTTATTCACAAAATTAATCTTTTGTAAATATATAATTTGTGAATAGATAAAAAATTGTCCCACAATTTTTCTATTTGCATACCAATTATAGGGCCAAACATAGAACGGTGTGGTTATTAATCGTTTTTTCCTCAGTTAACATTTGAACTTAGGGTGGTGTATTACATACACCCTACATGAACATGAAATAGAAATCAACTGTGATAACAAATATATACAATACATGTTAATTTTTTGAAGTAAGGGTATAGGAGACCTACAAACTATTTAATTTGTTTTTTATTGGTATTTTTTAAATCCTTATTGGATACCCTGTAGAAACATAGAAACCAAAAATTATTAATGTCAATTGGTTAAAAAAAGATCTAGCTTGAAGTTGCATGTTAATAACAGTGGAATGTATGTATGTCCGAATTCTTTATTGAGCCACTGTATGTAGGTAGCACTGAAATAAGGTATAGTCAGGGGGGTCGCCTTAATTGGTTCATTTAGGAACTGCTTATTCAGATATGGGATTTTTCTAAATAAAGAAAGACTTTCCGCTGAACTTCTTCGCCACATTGTGAACGCTAAATTTTTTATTTTTTATGACGGTGGCCTGTCGGCAGCGAATGTCTAGGCCAACAAGTCAAGTAGTAACTAAAGCTTAATAAAAAAAATGGGCTCTCAGAAGAAAATTTTTTTTTTATTTTTTAACCTGACCCCTCGATTAGGCATTAAAAAAATGCAGCATATATTAGGAGACATTCCAGTGGAGATACCTTCAAAAACTTTTGACATTTTGGAGATTATTTATTTTATTAAAGGTGCACTGGACAACGTAACTACAGAAACAATTAAGAACTGTTTTTCAAAAGCCTATTTTCAAAAACCTTGCTGTGAAATTTCTGGTTTCGATGCAGGGGATGGTATTCTCATATCATCGCTAGCGGCTTTGGTAAAGATTTTAAATGAAAATAGACTAGATCAGCATTCGGAAGACTTTTTTTATCGACAAAGCTGTTTATACAGAAGGTAATAATGTTGACAAAGACCATTTGGAAATTTGTTTTATGAAACAAAAACAGAAAAAATTATGGCAGACTACGGTGGATGAATTTTCGAAAACTTAAATAAACACATATTGATATATTCAATTATACAGAAGTTATCATTTAAAACAAACATGAAATAAATTAATAATTTAACGCAAAAAAATGTAATAAAAAATTATTTAAATAAAGTCTTGTTAGTTATTCAACTCTCACAACCGTGAGTCTCCGGTTGTGGGAGGCTTATCTGTAATTCGTCGTCGAAAGTTTGTATCCAAAAAAAAAAAAGATCAGACATCGTCGATATTTAGATAATAAGGAAGACATTGGAACGACTTATTTTGCTTTGAACTCATTTCGTAGGATACGAAAAAAAAGCCAATAGATGGTTGCGAGGTTGCGATGCGTTGCAATGGAGGTTAATAGAAAACACGGAATATATTCCGCAAAGGGGTTTACCCCCATACCGACGGGAAGGCTAGTAGGGGGAGTTTCATCCCCTGCTACCTTTACGGAGTAAATAATTTGGATAACATATGTATAAATTTTTAATAAAATAATTTGTTGTAAAGGAGAAACCGGTAAGTTAGTATTCGAGCTATGTTGGTGTTATTGATCATTCTATTCGAAAACCAAATTCAATACTTTCGAAGACACCAGAGAACGTGAGCGCAAAATCTCCATTGGTGATTCATATCAAAATGTTAAATATTTGTGAAAATTAAAATTAAAATTAAAATTAAAATTAAAATTAAAATTAAAATTAAAATTAAAATTAAAATTAAAATTAAAATTAAAATTAAAGTTAAAATTACAATTAAAATTAAAATTAAAAAAAATTAAAAATTAAGTTTAAAAGTAAAAGCATATTTAAATTTAAAAAATTATACAAGAAAAAAAAATTAAGGTTAAAATTATAAATAATATAATAATAAAAAATTAAGATAAATGAAACTAATTAAAATGAATCAATAATAAAATAATTCGTTAAAATAGAATGTAATAAATTTAAATCGAATCTTTTTTTTCGAGTTTTTTTCTAAACTGTGTGTTCTTACCAGTCCTTTATTGGGACGTTTTTCTACTTTCGGCTAATGAAAGAGAAAATTTGGCTGAATGTACTTCATGTACTCATTATATTAACATTCTCTAAAATCGAGTGAGGTTTACAGAACGAGAGCACCTGCAGTAAAGGTAAACAAATGTAGCAATAACATAATTTATGGCTTTCCGGGCAGTTTAGTCTTTGGTTGGCATAGTTCTACATAAGCAGTTTGTTTTTGTTTTGAAACTATTGCTGGAATCATGCGTTTCTGAGAGAGGTTAGCATGAGAAAAAACTACCACACACACATCCATAAAAAAAACAACCCCACAAAGAGGACCATGGTCAAAACTATCTGTTAGAAACAATGATACAATGTTACTTGTTTACCCTTTTCGGCGAGGACTACAATTTTTGTTTAACTGTAGTCGCCATGGGCGACAAATGTTTTTGTGTCATTAACACTGTCACATTTAGCATTCAGTGAAAATTCATCACAGCTCACAAAATATTAAACTAATTAATACAATAAGAAAAGTGCTAATTTAACGAAAATGGAAATATCCGATTTAGTCTCCGGACGTAAATTTCGCGAATTCAACACAACACAAAAGGAAGAATTATATGAAACTTTGTTGCAGTTAATTGTGGCGATCGAAGAAATACCTAAGAAATCCTTGCGACGCACTTTGGACGTCACTTTGGCCGTGTTGCAGTACAAGGGCCAGCAAGTGGATGATTTACAGTCTCAAATTAAAGGTATAAAGAGCGCAGTGGCAAAGAAACAATTGAAGTATTAATATATTTTTTTGGGTGCCCTTGGGCTGCTATTTGTAGAAGACACTCACGCAGAGCGTTTGATAGACGAAAATGAAAAACTCAAAAATATGTTGGAAAAGCTTGAAGAGGAAAAATCAGAGCTTAAACAAAAAATCAAAGAGGTAAAGTATTATATCTACATACATATATAAAATAGTAAGGCATATATGTATTGTATGTATATACTTATAATATATGAAATTATTTTTATTTCATTCCATTAGCTTACTGAGGACATTTTTCAATTACAAAAACGCTTACAAGAAGCGGCCACAGCCGAAGTTAGCGACAAAGAATCGACCGATCCTCTTTCCGAACTAGATAAACAAGAAGATTTACTGAGAAACATTAACACGAAAAACAAGCATATCAAACGTTTACTGCGGGAAATAGAGGTAATTGAGAAGATTCGTACATTTATTTACCTCCAAAATTTTACAACAACTTGCAATCATACTTTTCTACATATTCTCCCTCTAGGCACTTCAAAATCAAAATATCGCCCAGTCCAAAACAATAATAGATTGTGAAGCCGAATTGCAACAGTGCAAAGCGAAAATCCTGCAACTCTCCGCCGATATAACACTCGTCGATAGCCAACGAAAGGCACTGAAGGAAACGGTTAACGAATTAAATATTGAAATAGCTCGCTTGGAGAGCAACATTACCTACCTCGAGGAGGAACGTGAGAAAAGCGAACGTGATTTGAAGAGTTTCATTGGAAAATTAGAAATGAAAGCGCAATCTTGGAAGAATATGTTGGATGCAAAGGATAAGGAAGTGTTGAAATTAAGTGCGCATCTCGAAAAAACTGAAGAACCGGGCAGCGAGTGTTTAACACGTTCAGAAAATGTTTGCCCAACCAATGACGAAGGACAGTCTACTAAGCTTTTGCATGTAACTATAATATATTACAAGTTGTTCTGTGATTGTGACCCAGGTTAGGTGTGAGACAAATTTCAGCAAAAGTTTGAGATATCCTTATTTGAATTACCGTGTACACAGACAGGTGAAAATACTGACACTGACTCCGACTGGTCTAAATCGATTGGTGTTGTTGTTGTTATTGTTGTTATTGTAACCGAATCGATTTTCTGGGAATAGTGCTGGAGTAACAGTCCTTGGCCGGATAAAAATCCGTGTCGTTCCGGTATAAAGACCCGACTGTCGCGGGAACTATTGGATTTTAGTCGCCTCTCACGACAGGCATGCCTGAATTTACCACGGGTAAATTCTTGAGCACCTAACCCGCACCGATTGGTCTCATCATTTCATGAAGTTTCAAGTTAGAATATGAAAAAAACGGCTAACATAAAATATTTTATGCTGCTCATACCTGCCGCTGGAGCATTTGCATGATTAGATGGCTCGTTGAAGGGGTGGTTTGATGAACTAACCTCAAGCAACATTTCGCTCGAGTTAGTCAACTGTTTTAATTTCATCCAATAACCCGTGACCACCTATGTAAGATTGGAGCACGAGCAACACAAAGGTAACGCTCCAGCGTTTCACCATCTTCTGTGCACGCCCTACACTCAGCCGAATCCACTTTACCCAGCTTGTGTAGACGATATCTCAGTCATAGCTGCCACTTCAATGCACCCACAATAATACTAAGATCCCTTTTGCTTAATGCAAATACCAATTTGATCTGTCTACCCCACAACATTTCATTGGTCAGCCCTACATGGAAAGTATTATATGAACTTAAGTGTCTCTTCATGGCTGACCGCTTTCGACAGCATTTAAGCGTTCTGAAAGTTCTGAGGAGATCGATAGTCCAGCAGCGGTGGTGCGAGCCATTTTTACGACATTTCACTACCGTCTACGTTCGTGTGACCTGGGACCCGAATGATATTCACTGTGCTTTCCACGATCGTCTGTTAGTGGCAACTTTACATGTTATAATCCAATAGGACTTTATGTTGGCACATTTAATTTCTGCTTGTCAGCTACCCCAAATAGATTTTTAATGAAAACGGTCAGCCTTTGAACCTTCACTAAAGACCACAATCTCTGCTTGGATGCGAGAGTTGTATTCATTAAGCTTGAACCTGGCTTGGTTATTGAGATAGTCCGAGAATAACCCTGCTCTTGTGCCTCTCTGACTGTCATCCCCATCAGTGCAGATATCGATATCTTCAGTATTACCTAGGATCTTATTTTCCGCCCCATTCTTTCCTGCTATGTAAATTTAGTTACGCTTAGTCCGAGCCTATACCCTTCACAATTAAGGATTAAGGATGACATTTCTAGAAACGTTAGAAGATTAGCTGGTTGCGCTTGTATGTTTTAGTTCTTGCGACGCTTGTGTAAATCCAAATTCGGGGTTTTTACTGGCGTTACTTTAAACATGTTTACTCCTGTTAAGTTTTTTATCAAAGATTACACCGAGATACTTGGTTGAGTTGCGGGTTATTATTATATTACCCCATAAACATTGTAGATTAAATTGCTGAATTTTAGATTTTCTTCTAAAGAAGCAGTACTTAGAACTTTCCGAGCTTACTAAGAGTACTTGTCTCTCTGCCCAATCTACTGCGTTTTCAACCCGTGATAGATGTTTGAACTTTAGTCTTTCTCCTAAAGAGGCAGAACTCAAAATCTTTCGAGTTTACTAAGAGTTCTAGTCTCGCTAATCATCCATCCATGATAGAAAATTAAACTCCTTTAAGACATCCCTCATTTAAAAATTTCGTCTTTCCTTTTCAGGCCCTAGAATGCCGTGATAAATATATCGAGTCCTTAGAATTCAAAATTAAACACTTGGCCGAAGAAATGATGGCTGCCACCAAGCTAATGAATAACCTGTCCGCTGAAAAGGAAGAAGCGCGTAATCCAAATAAACCACGGGCTTGCTGTAAAATTATTGAGGAATCACTTCATGTAGCAAACGAACGTTGCCGCCAACTATCGGAAATGTTGGAGCGAAGCGAAGAGGATAACGCGCTCAAGTCCAAGCAAGCTATGCAAGCTATTTCAGCGCTTGATGCCTACCAAAATGGGGAAGACGGTTTGGTTAAGGCATTGCGTAAGTGCACCGTACTGGAACAGAAGGTTATTTCACGGGACAAACAAATACGTGCACTCATTATGGAACTTAATTCCATGCATGAAATCGCCAATGAAAATGATATACTACGCAAGCGCTTAAATATACCGGACGACATGGTCATATCGGCGAAAAATCTAGTGGCCAAAGCACGCAACAAAGACAAAATGATCGAACGTTTAACGTTGAAACTACGCGCCTCCGAAGAGATGCGGCTACAACTGAAGTTGGAAAAGAGTGATCTGAGGTAGGAAGAGATTTTGGGCTGAAAATAAATGTATTTTATTAGTGAGTGTTTTGTGTGCTTGAATACAGAAAGGAACTGCTGGAGCTGCAAACCCATCTGCAAAAGCAAGCTACAGCTAATGCGGAACAGGACGGAGCTACTATGGATAATCCGCACAGTCCAAGCGAAGTGGGCGAGCTTACAGATAGTATAAACAACGCCAACAATGCAGAGATTAATAACACAATAAGTTTCTGCGCAAACTGCAAACTTTCTCTAGATGTGGGTTAATAAGTTTTGTTAATTTCTTGTAAATTTTTCCTATTCTACATATGTACATACCTATATATGTTTCTTACAAATTGCCTAACAGATACCGGATGAAGCGAATCAGGTCGTGGCTACTACTGAGCTTAAATACCGCGATGTGCTAGATGAAAATGACACATTACGCGCTGGCATGATGGAGATCTTGGAAAAGCTACGAGAATATGATGGTAAGTTTTTCCACAAATTGTTTTGAGATACGACAGTAAGTAAGTTATCTACCTTTCAATTAGCTGCATCCGACCACATCACCATTGACACGGAAATGCTGTACCGGCTACTCGAAGCGCTGCGCACTAGCTCGGTGCCAGGTACACCAAAACGGCTTGAAAATGAATTGAAAGGCTTGAAGGCGCGTGAAGAGGCTTTGCAAGCACTTATAAGAGAACAAACGCAATCTCACGACCAAAGAGGTATAGATACTGATGAATTATGTTCTGTGGAAAGCATACGCGAAGGCGGCGAGCACAATGGTTTTGACGATCTATCTATACATTTACCCAAACCTTTGGATTCTTCCACTCGTCCCACTACACCAAATAAAGTCCTTAAGCAAAACGAATTAGTAATGGAAACAAACGATCAACTCATTTTGGAAATCGGTTCGAATAATTTGAAACAAACATTAGAAGAGTTAGAAATCTATCGTAAGGGCTTTGAAGATCTGCAAGCACAACTGAAGGCAAGTGAAACTGAATTGGCTAAACAATGTGCTACTCTGTCCGCTCAACTCATCACCACTCAACTGGCACTTAAGAAAGAGAGCAATTCTTATGCTTTTATGCGTGAAGAATATGATAACACACTCAGCAGGTGCAAGGAGAATGAGCTGCGTCACATAAATGAAGTGAGCTCGCTACAAAAATGCTTGGACGAAGCAAAGCATAGGTTAGCCCACATGGAAGTGGAATACGAGCGAATACTGAACGCTAGCAACCATAGCAAGGAGGATTATTTTCAAGTGCAGGCGGTCAATTCTAATTTACGTTCTCAGTTAGCTTTTATAATTGAGCAATTATTTGCCGGTAAATTGGCACCCGAGTTACACATAACCGATATATGTGCGGATTATGGCATTATTAATGAAAATCTACAATTGGACTATTTAACCTTTGAGGAGTATGAAAACCTCCAAAAATCGCTGAAAGAGACACGCCAGCATCAGGAAGAATCGTTGCGTAAGTGTGAGAGGCTTGAAAGTTTGCTTGAAATTTCACAGACTCAAATTGTATCTCAACAAAAGTTGCTAAATGAGATCACTGACAATCATGTCAATCTACGCCATCTCGTGGCCGATCTACAGAGTAATACAGAAGAGAAATTATTGTTGGCGAAAATGCAGCGAGAGCTTCACAGGGGTAAGTATGATCTAATAACTGTAGACAGGATATAATTAGATTATAGAAAGCGAGTTGGAAAACATTATTTTGGTATAGTATTCGGCCCCTGTAGCGGCGTGGATAACAGTGCGTGGGACAATTATGAAGGTCATGGGTTGAACAGGGCGTGGCAACCCGTTCCATTAGCAATTCGGAGGCGGCTTGAAACTGAAATCCCAGTGGCACGCCTACAATTATATATATTATTCCTCTTTTTTTAGCATAAACACCGCTTATGCGTTTATATTCGAGCTAAGAGCAGCGCGCCAGTCGTGCCTCCCCTTTTGTCTTTTCGTTACATTTGGAGGTACCTAGTGTGGCCAGGTTATTCTCCACCTGATATTTTCAACAGTGGTGTGGTCTTTCTCTTCCACCGGTAGGTACCGCATCTATTTTCAAGGCTTGAGTGTCTTCATGTCTCGGACAACATGTCCTAACCAGCTTTACCTCACTCCCATGTTTTGCCGCAATATGTCAATCTCGCACAGCTCACCATTGCATCGACTGCGGTCTTCATAATTGTCAATGCGTAAAGGAACATAAATCTTCTTCAAAAATTTTCTCTTGAAAACACCTATGCAGTGCCGATTCGTCAGATGTTCTCATCGTCCCGGCTTACTTAAAGAATATGTGGTTATAGTAGAATGGTGGATCCGCATTGGGTATCAAGGTCGATGTTCATTGATATGGGATGTATATTGGGCGCTCGAAATGTCGCCCCTCGGTTCCTTTATCCTAATACGTTGTTCAGTGCATTCAGAACAGGAAGCATTTGGAAGATTGCCGGCTAACCTTTTTTTATTGGAACAGGCATTCTTAATTGCGGGCGTTCAATGTTTTGAAGTAGAAATGAACGCACATCTACTACACTGAAGACTTATCGTCAATGTACCACAACTTTATTTATTTGATTACGAGTTTTTCGATGCCGGCACAGCCGTGCAGATTGATGAATTCTTCTAATCTTAAAACTGACGCTACAGATATTTCGCGCCCCGCCGATTCGATCAGCTCCAAATCATTTGGGGATGTTTTGCCGTGGAAGCTGAATTTAGCCTTTGGCGCTCTGATGCATTTGCGCTCCTCGGTGTTAAAATCTCCATGTTTTGGCACCGTAGCAGAAGCACTGCTTGTAAGCGCGTTCAGCTAGAGAGTAAGATCGATTAAGCTAACGAGCATTCCAGGTGCATACCGTCATGGTTGTGGTTGTCATAAAAATTGGAAGCTCTCACTCGAGATCAATGTGTTGTTAGAGTACTTAATGAGGGGCAGGTTCAAGCCCATCATCCAGCCTTGCTGTGTAAGACAGTAAACGTTTAAAACAGTGTGGCTTGCTCTAAGACCGTTACGGCCACACCTCATGCGCAAAAAGACTTAAGTAAATCCTTAAGTTAAATATGTCGGCGTAACTCCATTAAAGCTCCCTCTGTTTTAGCCGTGACCCAACACTTCAAAAAGGCTATTCAGGCTTTCAGAATGTGCGTCGATACTCAGAAGCAGGATATAGATGCACGGAACAAGGATATAAATAAATTATTCGCTTCCATTAAGTTATTTAATAACGATTCAATTTTAGCTCTCTCGCTCTAATTTCGAACTTCTCTTTCTTATCTTTCCTTACAGCTAATCAGGAGTTATCGGATTTACGCTTTGACTTTGACCAACTAAAGCAAAAGTGTACCACAACAGAGCGCGACACTGAATACAAGCAACAAGAAATTACCGAAATCAAGAAGAACTTCCAAAAAGAACGCAATGCGATGGACATAAAAGTCCGGTAAATGATTTTGTGCCAGTTTTAAAAGGTTCCTACTTGATTTTGTTTATATCTTTTAAGGTTTCTGCAAAAATCAGTTCATACTTTGCGTAAAAAATATGCCAAATTTACTCCACTAATCTTCCTAACCAATTTCGTGTTCGCATATACCAAATTCGTAAAGAAAACTCTACAAAAAGCCGAAGGTGATAGGAAGGAAGTATTCGGCCCCTGTAGCGGCGTGGATAACAGTGCGTGGGACAATTATGAAGGTCATGGGTTGAACAGGGCGTGGCAACCCGTTCCATTAGCAATTCGGAGGCGGCTTGAAACTGAAATCCCAGTGGCACGCCTACAATTATATATATTATTCCTCTTTTTTTAGCATAAACACCGCTTATGCGTTTATATTCGAGCTAAGAGCAGCGCGCCAGTCGTGCCTCCCCTTTTGTCTTTTCGTTACATTTGGAGGTACCTAGTGTGGCCAGGTTATTCTCCACCTGATATTTTCAACAGTGGTGTGGTCTTTCTCTTCCACCGGTAGGTACCGCATCTATTTTCAAGGCTTGAGTGTCTTCATGTCTCGGACAACATGTCCTAACCAGCTTTACCTCACTCCCATGTTTTGCCGCAATATGTCAATCTCGCACAGCTCACCATTGCATCGACTGCGGTCTTCATAATTGTCAATGCGTAACCATGATAGAAAATTAAACTCCTTTAAGACATCCCTCATTTAAAAATTTCGTCTTTCCTTTTCAGGCCCTAGAATGCCGTGATAAATATATCGAGNTGTCAATGCGTAAAGGAACATAAATCTTCTTCAAAAATTTTCTCTTGAAAACACCTATGCAGTGCCGATTCGTCAGATGTTCTCATCGTCCCGGCTTACTTAAAGAATATGTGGTTATAGTAGAATGGTGGATCCGCATTGGGTATCAAGGTCGATGTTCATTGATATGGGATGTATATTGGGCGCTCGAAATGTCGCCCCTCGGTTCCTTTATCCTAATACGTTGTTCAGTGCATTCAGAACAGGAAGCATTTGGAAGATTGCCGGCTAACCTTTTTTTATTGGAACAGGCATTCTTAATTGCGGGCGTTCAATGTTTTGAAGTAGAAATGAACGCACATCTACTACACTGAAGACTTATCGTCAATGTACCACAACTTTATTTATTTGATTACGAGTTTTTCGATGCCGGCACAGCCGTGCAGATTGATGAATTCTTCTAATCTTAAAACTGACGCTACAGATATTTCGCGCCCCGCCGATTCGATCAGCTCCAAATCATTTGGGGATGTTTTGCCGTGGAAGCTGAATTTAGCCTTTGGCGCTCTGATGCATTTGCGCTCCTCGGTGTTAAAATCTCCATGTTTTGGCACCGTAGCAGAAGCACTGCTTGTAAGCGCGTTCAGCTAGAGAGTAAGATCGATTAAGCTAACGAGCATTCCAGGTGCATACCGTCATGGTTGTGGTTGTCATAAAAATTGGAAGCTCTCACTCGAGATCAATGTGTTGTTAGAGTACTTAATGAGGGGCAGGTTCAAGCCCATCATCCAGCCTTGCTGTGTAAGACAGTAAACGTTTAAAACAGTGTGGCTTGCTCTAAGACCGTTACGGCCACACCTCATGCGCAAAAAGACTTAAGTAAATCCTTAAGTTAAATATGTCGGCGTAACTCCATTAAAGCTCCCTCTGTTTTAGCCGTGACCCAACACTTCAAAAAGGCTATTCAGGCTTTCAGAATGTGCGTCGATACTCAGAAGCAGGATATAGATGCACGGAACAAGGATATAAATAAATTATTCGCTTCCATTAAGTTATTTAATAACGATTCAATTTTAGCTCTCTCGCTCTAATTTCGAACTTCTCTTTCTTATCTTTCCTTACAGCTAATCAGGAGTTATCGGATTTACGCTTTGACTTTGACCAACTAAAGCAAAAGTGTACCACAACAGAGCGCGACACTGAATACAAGCAACAAGAAATTACCGAAATCAAGAAGAACTTCCAAAAAGAACGCAATGCGATGGACATAAAAGTCCGGTAAATGATTTTGTGCCAGTTTTAAAAGGTTCCTACTTGATTTTGTTTATATCTTTTAAGGTTTCTGCAAAAATCAGTTCATACTTTGCGTAAAAAATATGCCAAATTTACTCCACTAATCTTCCTAACCAATTTCGTGTTCGCATATACCAAATTCGTAAAGAAAACTCTACAAAAAGCCGAAGGTGATAGGAAGGACGAGCTCATTCAATCCATCAAAGAGTCAATCGTGGCTTCAATAAATACTGAAACTGCGTCCATAGATGAAAATTTAATCAAGGTTTGATAAGATCAAATGGATATTTCATGCATATAATTCCAATCCATATATATATATATATATTTAAAATATTTTCAGCTAATTCAAACAGAGACGAAATGTAAACTACTCGCGGCTAACTTAAACGATCTGCAAAACAAATTCGACTCCATGCAAGAGGAATTATTGGAACAACGAATTAATTCTGCAAAGGAAACCGAACACTGGCAGACGATATCGGCGCTCTTCGGTCAAAGTACAAAAGACAGCAATACAGTTAATGCTGAGGACGTATGTGATAGAGCTGAAGATGAGGACAAAGTAGAATTAGTTCATCAAACTCCTAAGCTATCAACAGTCGCTACGAATACCGAAACTCCAGTACCAGCTCAACGGAAGCTATCCGACTGCAGAACTCCTGTTGCTTTAAAGAAAAAGCCAAGTGTTGAGTTGGTAGATAAGAATCTTTCGCCCATTGGTTCGCCCATAAGAAGCTTAACTACTGCTGATGGTATAACACAAACTTATGAGGAACGGTGTGACAAAGCGTGTGGGGAGGAAAATATAACTCTAGATGTAACGTATCGAGAGAAGAATGGTGATGAGGGTGAGTGCACTTCCCAGGAGACCACTGTATCTACGAGCGTCCTGGCAAAGACACATGAAAAAGTGGAATATCGAAGTATACAAACTGAAACTGATTCCTGTATTGAGCTGGGTCTTCAAGAGGACGATACGTTGTCCAAAAAACTTAACCAGAAAATCGCAGAACTGCAAGAAAACATAAACCAAAGAGATTTAGAGCTCAAAGGATGCAAAAATGAGTACGTACGGTTTTTTTTTTTTAATATTTATCTCTTCCATTGAATAGACAATATTTCCATTCACTTCAAACTCACGGCGTAGAACATCTATCTCTTGACACCGCCTACGCGATTCTAGCCTTGTTAGTTACACTATTGCAACATTTCTTTCTTCTTATGCAGTTATGCAAATACCAAGCACAGACAGGTTCCTCTCTACCCAGTCTACCTCTGCTTTTACCGGCGATTCTTGCATCGAAAACATTCAAAGTTGAAGTATTCTTATCCATTTGGACCACATGACCTAGCCAGCGTAGCCGCTGGTTTTTGATTCGCTGAACTATGGCAATGTCGCCGCATATCTCATACAGCTCATCATTCCATCGTCTGCGGTATTCCCTGTTCCCAATTCGTAGAGCACCATACATCTTACGCAAATCTTTCAACTTATCAGTTGTTGTCATCGTCCATGCCTCCGCACCATATAACAGGAAGGGAACGATAAGCGACTTGTGGAGTTCGGTATTCGTTCGTCGAGAAAGGACTTTACTTTTCGATTGGCTACTCAGTCCGTAGTAGCACCTGTTGGCAAGAGTGATGATCTTAGACCGTACACAAAGTTCTTTTAGATCAATGCGATGATTTCCGATTAAATTATTTCTCTCCCATTTAGGGGTCACCTTGTCTGAAACCTCATTTGGTATAAAACGGCTTCCACATCCAGATGAAACTAGAAGTTGGTGTTGCTAAGTGTCATTTCCCACAGCCGTATAAGTTATTCGGAGCAACCCAATTGAAACACGGTGGGTGTAGATTGGGAACTCATTTATTAGGAATTCGGGTTCACCATCTCCGTGTGCTTCGCTTCCCTCTATCAACTTCCCTTCCTTTCTTCTGTAAGTCGCTGCATTTTCTTGCAAAATTTTCAAGAGAAACTACTGTCGGCCAGGTTCTCAACTTGTTCATACTCTCGCATTTCGGCGCCTCTCTCTTTTTCCGTCTTGGTCTAGAGCAGCCCTTTTTATCAGAATGTAAGATTCAATCAGTCGGCAAAAGTTTAAGAACTATATATATATATATATATACGGCACTTTGTAACCGCTGAAGCTATCTTCGGCCGAACTGATCCTAGGACTGGTTTTGTGCGTCTTATGTTTTCCCAACAAATAAAGGGACCTACAATTTATTCTAACCTGCCTCCGAGCTGCCGAAGGATTTTAAAGAGAAGCTTTGATTTTCATGTCAAAAATAAACTCAGAAGATCTGATATTACCTGCCGATTTATTCAAGAACCTAAAGTTAATTTAGATTGAATTAAACTCCTAACTTCAATACAATGTTTACCTGGTTCCTGTTTTTTCTAAACTAGGCTTCTTACGTGTAACAAACAAATTGAAGAACTTCAGGGTAGGCTGAATCTACACCAGTCTTCGGATGAGGCCACAAGCGATGTCAAGGCGAATACCGAAAGTAGCACAACCACAAAGAACGATATTATCGAAGTATGTAAACGAGAGGAAATCACCGTTATTTTTAATCTAATAAATCATTAACCCAACTTTTTGTAGAAAACTATAATATCATTCCACACATTACTCAGTGAGAAGGATAAAGCCATAAGCAAATATCAAGACATCCTGCAATCGGAGCGTGAACAAATCAAAATCACCACCAATCAGTTGAATAATGATATTGATAATCTCAAAAGTACGATAACCAACCTGAACTTCAACATTAAAACAAAAGATTTAGAGATACTCGAGCTGAAGACGAAGCTGGAAGTTGTTAGTGTACGTAAAAACTCCGCGGAAAAGCTGGATCTTGCTACGGAGGCAGCTGGTGGGGGTAGTGAGGAGAGTGGAGACAATAGCTTGAATGAGTTAACAGATGAGAAAATCGAAGAAATGTTCGAACAAGTTCCCACACCGGAATCAACCGGCACACAAAATATCGTTGAGTCCGCCGCAAAGAAGAACAAGCAACACTTGGAAAAACAAAACGAAGAAACATTGAAGGACCTGAAAGAGAAAGCTTGTTATTGGGAGAAAATGCTAACTGTTAAGGAGGAAGAACTAACGGTGCTAAAAGAGAAGTAAGCGAATTTTCCAGTTTTTTCAATGCAGATTTTCCAGCAGTAGACATCGACTTTATCTATTTCAGAGTGAATATTTATGAGGAGCGTGAAAAGTCGTTGATTAACACCGTAAATCCGCAATTGGAAGAAATGAAGCAATTAGTTGAGGAGAAGGACAAGCATATTAATGATCTTACAGAAACACTCAATAACTTTCACGTACGTTACCAATTACATACATGTACATATATGTGTGTATGTATATGTATTATTTATTTAACAACATCTCTCTTTTTAGGAGGACCAACAACGTTACATCAAAGATTCATCAAGCTATTCAGCTGAACAAATATCCAAATTGCACGCCGATCTCGTGCGCACCGAGGCTACAAACAAAATTTACCACACCCAAGTCGAAGCGCTGCGTCGGCAAATCACAAACTTGACAGAGCGGGAGAAACAAGCACGTGAACTCAATCAATCGCTGCGCAATCAACTGATAAAACGTCCTGTAGTATCCATCAAGACCGAACTGAATGCTCGAGTGAAAACTGAAAACTTGCAGAAACGCATACATACGCTCGAACTGGAACTGGAAGAGTCTCGCTCACAAATACAAAGGCAACAGATCGTGCTCGATGCCAAACGAGCTAAGAGTGCCTCCGAAGTAGGTTTGTGGGAAAAGCAGAAACGTTGGCAGCAGAATGCTGAAAAATTCAAAGCAAAATACGAAGAAACCGAAGCTGCCTTGGAGAAGACACGCGGCCTGTTGCAATCTGCACGCAGCATGATCGCACGCTTAGAGAAGGAGAAACAAACACTCGAAATCCGATTAGGCCGATCAGGACAATGTGGTGCATTAACCATGAAATGTTGTCGCATGCCATCTTGTCCGAATCTTCAACATCGTGGCAATAAATACACAACGTCTGAGAGTCCAGAAACGTATACAGGCGCCAGTAGTGAGTGTAGCTCCCCAGCACATAGTGCGATAGATCATCACAAGCATTTGCAGCAGACCAGCCAATTGTATACCAGAGATGGTAGAAATGGTGTTTCAGAGAAGGATCAACACAATATTCAGTTGATAGAGGCTCTCAAGTCGAGAATTGAGCTGCAGCAACGTAAAATTCTTGCCATTGAATTGTCGGGCAAAGGTAGCAATGCTTTAACTACTGAACTAGAGAAATTGCAGGAGAAGTTATCAGAGATTGAGGCGCAGAATATACGACTAGAGGCGAAAAATTTACAATTACAACTAGATAATGATTTACTACGACAAGGCGATGCAACAGAGCGCATGGAGAAACGTATCAAATATCTGGAGGAGTAAGTATTTATGGGAATATGGGAATGTGTGATACTTGCAAAGAAAATAAATTAATTGATAAATGAATTTTAGTTATATCATTGCTTTGAAAGAGGAAATGGCACAAGCGGAAGCTCGACGGGAACTGTGTAAATGTTCAGGTATCAAGATAAACACACAACTGGGTCAATCGGCGGAGCAAACCATTCTTTCATTGCGCGGTATTGTAGAGAAACTCCGCGCTGAAAATAAGTTTCTAAAAGATGCCAGGCGATCATGCGAATCTCGAGTGAGTTACGAATGAAATTATAAGGGCGATAATGGATTTGAATACTTCTTTTTAATTAATTTTTTATTTTAATTTTATTTTTTTCTTTCAGAATATGAATGAATTAAATAATGTGGACTTTAATAAATTGAAAAAACTATATTCGGAATCACTTGATAAAGTGTCCAGTCTACAAATGGAATTAAATATGAGAGCGAAATGTCAAAATTGTACCAAGGTTAGTTAAATAATTTACAAATTCATTGAAATTTCATACCCGCATTATTGTTAAGCAGGCGGATACTCCTGTTAGAGACGAGATGTCCTTTATCAAGGAACAACTTAGTAAAAAGACACAACTTTTGCAAAAAGCTAAAGTTTTACTCACCCGCGCGGCAGCTAAGGAAAAAGTATTGAAGGAGCAACTTTTAATGTGGAAGCTTAAGTGCTCCGAACTTCAAAATGTTCCAGTGATAGATGAGATAAGCGAATGATTTCTCTATACATCCATTAAAAATAAATTTAATTTATTTTATTAGCTAATTAGTTGTAATAAACGCACTCAACGTATTCTCTCGCAATTTAATTACGGCACTAACGATAATACAAAACAGTGTGGTTTTTCTATAAAAGCAAAAGCTTATTTCATTTCCACTTCATTGGGATGGTATTTCAATATCAATGTAATTGTGGTGGGCATATTGATATCACTAACCATAATAGTGGCCCCATCGTAAAGACCCAGCTCAGCGAGGGACATAGTGAGATTGGCACGTGTTTGTTCCTCTATATTTTTTACTGATGACATATAAAGGGTTTTATTTTTTCCGCTAATGATTGTAGTTAAACCTGAAAAGATTCATTTCGTTACAATTTTATTTCATTTCAAATTCGCTAAACTCAAACCTGGGCTTTTCAATTGAAAACGTTGACTATCGCAAAGTATTTTAATTAGGTCATCAAGTGTTGTTGTATTTGGATCGTCAACATTTAAATCTTGTGGAGTATTGCTACAAGCTAAACATGTTTCAATTTTTTCCGGTGGATAAGTGTAAGTATATATGCCGTCAATGTCATTAAAATTCATATAATTATTCATGCTATCATAACAGCTTGTTGCCAACTTGAAAACCTTAAAAAAGAAATAAGTTTGTTTGGTATATTTGAAAATCTTAGAAGACAATAGCTTATTTATATTTGAAAAAATAATTACCTCAGTAGCACAAGCAGCGGCAATAATCGCATTGGTGCTAGCCACGGCTGGAATGATATTTTTAATAACGCCTTGCACCAACCTTTAAAGGAGAGCATATACAAATATGAAATTAACTTATAAGAATTTCTTTTAAACGTTATGTGAACAGATCTGATAATTCTGTTGTTCACTGGCCTTAAAAATACTTAACTTTTAAACGAAAGTATTAATTACCTATATGTGATTCCTGATATATTAAATTGGTTGGCACGCTCTAGGGAACGTTCGTATACCCAAGCTACGTGTTGTGGATCGTCACCATCCAATGGCACATTAAATGGATTCTCCTTATCCCATTGTATTATTTTGACATATTCTATACAATGTTCTGGTAATCGCGGTGTATTGGCTATTGTACATAGTGGGTATGTTACCTGTGGAGGAAACAGATCTAGCGTACACTCAATGCACGATGTGAAGCCTGGCAAGATTACGCGAGCATTGCCTTTGAATCCTTCTGTCCCACCATCAATTAGCGGTATAATTGTAGATGGGTCAACGCTGCCATCATCATTGTAGTCTAACATGGAAATAAGCATACCATTTATCCAGCGTCGCGCAACTATCGAGTCCAAACCGCAAACAATAATATGGAATTGGGAATAAAATCTTTCATCGAAATCTTGAATTTTAGCAAAATGCGGTGTTACGCGTGTAGTGGATACACGTTCGTTTATAAATCGCGCAGCACATTCTGCTTTTGATAAGCCAAGATCTTTTCTTCTAAAAAGAAACTGACGATTCAAATTGGATAATTCAATAGTGTCCATATCTATAACATGTAAATTGCCAAATCCCATCATTGCAAGATCTTTCAATAATTCACAACCCAATCCGCCAGCACCTTAAAATATATAAAATTATGCCAAAGACATACAAACTAAGTATTCTCTATAATTTACCAATAACAAGAATTTTCAGTCCATTTTGCAAAGCCTCCAAGTTCTCCGCAGATGCTGTGAAATCAGCTTTACAGAATGGTCCCGGTCGCTCTAAGATGTGACGTAAACTATTCCAACGCTTACTGGTTAAGGAAGCAATTGGATTTGGAGAGCCCGACGACAACAATCGTATTTCAGAGGACATATTTATTAATGATGTATCAGCTGTTATTTCAGATTTATTAAAGTAAAACCGGCAAAAACAACCAAATAGTGATGTGACAAGGCTTCGATATACTAAAAAGGTCGATTATCGAGTTCCAATTGGCAATTTGTATAATAACTGATTCACATAAAATTAATGTAAGATGAATTTATGTCAAAGTGAGAGTAGGTTTGGGCTGCTTGATGTAGTTGTTCGTCTGTTGGCAGGTAGGACTTAAGCAATACAAATTTATAACGACTTGAGAGTGGCGAATAGTGCTAGGAAACGTCATAAGAACCATAATTTCCATTGGTATTCCAACTAAAACTTGTGCTTTCGACCGCGCGAAATATTTGAAACGAACACAGTTTTCGCCACTTCAAGCTCCAATTCTATTCATTCCAATCGGTCTCTTCACTGAAATGTTCCATATTTATTATATTTGCAATTGATTCGTGCTGGATAAAAGTGAAAATATTTTTTGATGCAGCAATTAAAAGAAAATTATTCATTTATCAAATTATCAAACAAATGGTAATCACTTCTTAAAGGAAAATTTTTGTTTGAAACGAAGTTCTTTTCTAGAGTTGTGCATTATTCTAGTATTATTGATACTGTAGAGTATTAATGAGATTTAAGTTAACAAATTTTGATTTTATTAATAACAACATATAGATTTGAACAAATTACGTGAATATGAGTAGTTAGCGCTAAGAAGGTTTTGCTTCATCCTCTTCATAATTTCCATATTATTTTAAGCTTTTATATAAGTTGAACTTTATCATTTTGTATGGGCAAATCTTCCAGAAGTTCAGCGTTCTTTTGTAAAATCGAACAGTATCACTTTGTTGCTTAGGGGTACACATCCACATAATTTCTCTTCTAAATTCGTTAACTTAAGAATTTAAGAGGCTACATATGTTGAAAACTTCGAATGCAAGCACTGCAGATTTCAAACTTCTCTTGTAGGAGGATTGTATGGGTTGTGAGAACGGAATATTCTAAAAAGATTATCCAATTTCCAATTCAAATTTATTTTAAATTCATACTCATTGGAAAGACAAAATACATACTTCGATACAAATATCGAGCAAACTATACACCAATCGGAATGAATGGAACGGGAGTTTTCATCAACATTTAAAACGATAAGAATTTCATGAGAAATAAGCGAGGCCACTCACATATCTGTTGCAAGGCAAGGCTTTGAAAATTTAATTTTGGATCGCAATTTGCATATAAATGAGTGCAGACGCATACTGCAGTTTTTCTCTCTGCAATTACAGGAAACTGAGTTACAGAAATAGGTATCGGGGCCGCCACAGTGTGACATGGAAATTTCTGACAGTGAAACGCGTTGAATGTGATTAAATTTGCTGTGTCTGACAACGCCTTTAGAATAATTTATTAAATATGTGGCAAGGCTAAGTGGAGGATTTGACGTGTTTGCTTAATTTGAAATCTTCCAACGTTCGCGTTCTCTCTGTTATACAAATGCAGCTGCCATTTTCGTTTATGTTCAAAATGTTCAAACAAATCCAGTGTAAAATATTGTTTGGAAATTAATTTTTTTGTATTGTATAAAGTTTTGATTGAAAAACATTAACTGTAAACAATTATAATGGCTCCACATCGTGAACCAATTAGTGTACGCACAACTCGTTTAAACAATATAATACTCAACAAAGTCTGTTTCGCGGGGCTTGGAGGAAATGGCGCCATCCAAAGGAAATCAATAGCAACTGCAGCACGTCGGAGTGTATACGGTACTGGGGTAGTAAGTAATGTCCTCACGGAGACTGTGACACGCGAAGGTCTTTTGGATGCATTATACGTGCTATACAATGAATGTAATAAAGAATCTTTGAAAAAACGAGATCGCAGTATCGCCGAATTCGTAAATAAATGTGAGTATTTAAAAGCTGGAAGTACAATTTGCCTCACCATATATATGCATATACCTTTTGCTGATATAAATATTTATAGACCGGCCAATTATGGAGGAGACGCAACAGTTACGTGCAAACGCTGAAGATTTTATTATAAAAACTTTGATAGGAAAAGGATACTTTGGTAATGTACATTTAGTAAGAGAACGTCAAACAAACGACGTATATGCAATGAAAAAAATAAAGAAATCTGTTGTCACAACATCCCAAGTCAAGGAAGAACGAGATATAATGGCGCGACGGAGTTCGGAGTGGATTACAAATCTTCAATATGCATTCCAAGTTAGTATCTAAAGAGAACTAAAAAAAAAAAAAAAATTAAAATTAACTATAATATTATGTATAGGATGAAGACAACTTGTATTTAATAATGGAGTTCCTTCCTGGTGGTGATCTACTTAGCTTGATGTCACGACATGGTCCTTTCGACGAAGAACTTGCTCGGTTTTACTTAGCTGAATTAACTATGGCTATTCATTCCTTGCACGAAATGGGATATGTACACCGTGATATCAAGCCGGAAAACATATTAATCGACCGTTTTGGTCATATAAAGCTGGCAGACTTTGGTAATGCTGCTGCTTTAGACCGTGATGGTCACGTTTTTAGCTTATCGCCGGTTGGCACACCGGATTACATTGCTCCTGAATTGTTGCAAACCATATCCACATACAAATTAACAAAGTCAATGCACGATGTAAGTTATTGTTGACAAAAACTTGATTCTGTCTTCAAAAAGACTTACTTTCTTTAATTTCAGGTAAGTTGCGATTTTTGGTCGATGGGAATTATTGGCTATGAACTTATATGTGAAATAACTCCATTTCACGAAGACAACGTACATGAGACGTACTCGAAGATATTGAGTCACTGCGAAGATAATCATTTAAAAGAAATTATTACCTTTCCTGAAGATTTGAAAGTGTCGGAAAATTATAAAAATTTTATTGCATCACTGGTAACTAATCCATCAAAACGTTTGACGTATGATAAAATTAAGGTGCATCCATTTTTCAAACTCATCAAATGGGAAACACTTCGATCCAGAGCGCCGCCAATTATTCCCACCGTAAATGGTGACGATGATACTTCCAACTTTGAAGATGTTGTTCGAAACAAGAGACGTACTGACACATTTGTTAAAAAATCTCTTACTACAAATGTACCATCGAACGATTTTTGTGGCAAGGATCTACCTTTTATAGGCTACAGCTTCGTTTACATGGCAAAACATGATGTCGATGCCGAAGGAACTGCCGATGACTCCCGTTACGGGCGTTTAAATAACAAAATCAAAGATCTGCAGTCAAACTTAAAACAACGGTTAGAAGAGATCAGTAGCTTAAATCAAAAACTTAGGCGCTACGAACAAACAGCTAAGCAATCAGATACGCAGTCCAAAATATTACAGGATGCAAAAGATGAAATTAAGAAAATGAAGAACATCATCAAAGAAAAGACTATGGAATTGGCAGGTTGTAAAACGCAAATAAAAACACTACAAAGCTCTGTGAAAGTAGAGGAAGAAATGTGGGAGAAAAAAGAGGCAACAATAACTGAATTGCTTCGTGTGAATCGCCAAAAGTACGAAGAGGCAAAGATAGCTTCAGAACAACGTTATGAGAAACTGATTGCGGAAAAAAAGCATGAGCTTGAAAACATTATACGGAAACTGGATAACCGAGAAGCTGAACTGAATTCCAAAACTGATGAATGCAAACATTTGCAAGAAAAAATAGAAAACTATAAAGAAATGTTGCGACAATGTAAAGATCAGGCACTCGTTGACAAGGAGACTTTTGAAAAGAATAAGTTACAATTAAGCGAAACTTATGAGCAGAAATTAGCAGAGCTTCGTTCTAAACTGAGGCATGAAAAAGAGTCACACTCACGCCTCACAATGGAATTACGTGAAGTGCGTAATGAGCTCGACGACTCAATTTGTATTTCTAAATCAACACAAGAGTTGAAAATAGCAACGGAAAAGAATAACGATGAAATACTAAAGCGTTTAAATAAAGAAATTGAAGAAAACAATCGCTTACATACACAAAATGGGCAATTGGAGCAACAGTTAGAATCCACAAAAAAGGCATTGCAGGAACAGCAAAATGAAATTAATCGGCTAGAACGTGAATTGAATGTGAGTAATTACAATTAACTAAATTCACCACTTTCAACATAATTACAATAGCGCAGGCGCAGCATCAGTTTACAAAATTAGCTATTATATTTTATATATTTTTATTTGCTATTTGCTTGGGCTATAATGCTTCAGTATTATTGTTTTTGCAATCAGCAACAACTTCCTGCAAGATAATTTTTTTTTTATCTTACCCGTGATATGCTAGTTACAGTTAGAAAGAGTTAGGGCTTCACTACCTGATTTGATTTTCCTGAGATCTTTCTCTATGTACTACTCTTGAAAATTTCAGGTGATTGAGTGTAGCAAAAATTTGGCACAATCTGAGCTGGCGACTCAACAATCCACACCTTATGAAACGGCACCAGGCTCTTTGACGGAATTGCATGAGGAAGGTGAACAATTGCGTGCTGATTTAGAAGCAGCAAAGGAGAATGAAAATGCCCAAAAGACTCGAGCCGACAAACTTCAAGAGGTAGTTGACAGACTGGAAGAGATGTTGGCGAAATTCAATGAGCAGGCGCTGTCACACTCTCCAAGAAAAGGTGTTACATGTGAAACTGAGAATAGTCGACATCCAGCACCGCGTTATGTTTCTAGTAGTGTAGGTGATATGTTGGAGAAACAAAATGAGAAATTAGAAGATCGACTTGTCGCCGTTCGTGAGCAAATGATTGTGGAACGGCAAGCAGCGCGCACCGCAAATCTTTCTCTCTGGAAAGTGGAAAAGCAATTGGAAGAAGCAGTTTCAGAAAAGAAAATGATTCAAAGGAGAATGGAGCTCACAGAAGATAAAATAAAAAAGATTCAATTAGAAAAAGAGGACGCACTACGTCAATGCAAAGCCGCACAAAACGAAATAAAGCTAAGAGAGGAGCGTATTCGTGAACTGCGCGATGAAATCAGTTCATTAAAACGCGATGTAACCAAGGAACATCGTTTGTGGGAAAAATCCGAGCAAGAGCGAATGAAATCTAAATCGGAGGTAAGTAAGGGAAACGCTTTAAAAAAAAACAGAAACTTTACTTCTCATGCTATGATTAACAAATTGAAATATACATATACGTATTATTTATCAAGTACTATATGTACTTTGAAGCTCATAAAAAAATTCAAATGCTGTTGCTAGACTCTCTTGTAATTCTCATAACTTTTTCCTCTGTTAAATATTGCAATTGTTTTTCAAAACGCAGCGATAGAGAGCATTATTAATTTTTTAACTTACTATTCCTATCATGTCGTACATACATAAATAAATTTAAAATAGTATGCGGTCGCTTAAAAAAATATCAATGTCAACCCACTTTTAGCTTAAAATTTTTATGTTTAGGCAATTGTAAAAGCGTAAATAAGTAAACCTTATATTAGTAGTTAAAAATATTTAAAAAAATAAATGTCCTCGCAGATATTTGAGCTTTTATCTAATGCTCAAAAATTAGAAGAACGTCTCGCAGAAGTCCGTCAAAAGGTGCAACAGACGCAGCAAAAAAATGATGCCATCCTGCTGGAGAACAAACGTCTGCAACACGAACTAAAGGAAGAGCGGCTTAGGAGTAATTCAGCAATTGATGCATCGGCGCATGGTCAGATGGAGTTGAAAAACCTGCAAGACAACTATGAACGCCTCAAATATGCCTGCACCATTACAGATAATCAACTAACCGAAGTGGAGAGTATGTTAGAAGCCGAACAAAAACGCAGTAAACAGCATCAAGAGAAGTTAGAAAATTTGAATAAGACATTACGTAAAAAGGAAGATACCTTAACGCAGCTTCGAAAAGAATTGTCTCAGGAGCAAACACAAAAATGTGCCTCGGAGTCACGAGTGCAATCTCTTAATGCTGAGATTAAGGAATGCGCCGAAAATCTAGCGACAACGCAAAAGAAACTTATAGCGCAACAGCAACAGTTGATGGAACAAACTAATCATCTTTACCAGTCGCAAGAGCGCGTAGAAGTGCTCACAAATGAGAATCTAAATTTGCAAGCAATGAACGAGAACCATGAGCGAGAGTTAAATTTATTAAAAGAGGAAAATGCACGCATTTTATCTGAAATGTTCCACGCCAAAGCAGATTGTGAGCGGCTGCAGCAAGAACTTAAGGACTCACTGGAAAATGCAAAAGAGCTACATTTAGAAATTGAAGAACTGCAGGAAATAATGGCCGAGAAAGAATCTTTTTATGTTCAACGTGATATTAAATCCGAGGCGACCTTGGCACAGCACAAGAAATTGATAGACTATTTGCAGGTGAAGGTGGAAGATCTATCGCAGAAAAAGAAACTTACATTAGCAGAAAAAATATTTGGTGGAAGCGCGTATAGCAATACTGGCAAGAAAGAGAATATATCACCAGCAGCGGTTGAAACATCAATTTTGTATCGCACATTACAGGAAGAGCTGCGTCGGGAGAAACAACGTTGTAAATCACTTCAGGATCAAATTGATAAACTAAAGGGTGAGCAAAAAAGAAAAAAAATGATTTATCCACAGCCAACATATCATACATATTTACCGTTATTTCAGGGATTGACCAAATCACAAACACAACAAGCATTGTAAGATCTCCTTTGAAGAGTCTGGTTAAAAATGCGGATCACTCTCATGACGGTAGCAGCAGTACGGAGGGGACGTCAAGCAAATTGCCACTTAAACAAATCCAAGGAGATGATAAGAGAAGTTCCGGTAAAGTCCAAGCCATGATCAAAAGTGAGGAAGTCTTACCCCAACATCGCTTTGAATTATCCTTGCTGGAGATCAACCCTACAGCTATGGTGTGCATTGCATGCGATAAAGAATTGGTAGCCGGTTCACCGTATTGGAAGTGCAGAGAATGCAAAACTGTGGCACATCGTAAGTGTCGCAGCGACGTGCAAACGCAATGTGGCAGCGCTTCAGAAAATATTGCAGTACCGTCAACTTCAAAAAAAGCTTCCGCGTGCCTAAATGATACAGATTCGCTCTCAAAATATTCTTATGAAGGTAAATTAGATTGCATTGATGATGCTGCTACTGATTCTACATCGGATGCTACCCATGAGGACTACTGTGGTAATTTGATATTCTGCGTAGAGATGCAACAAAGCGAAGCTAATTTAGAGTCCTTGGAAATCAATTGCGCCTACGAAATTGAAGATGAAAAAATTGTGCTTCTGGGCTGCAACAAGGGCCTATTTGCTCTGCATGTGCAACAACCGCAAAGATTGATGCATATTGCAGGTATTGATTCGGTCAGTTGCATTGCTGTATCGTTGCCTCTTGCCAAAGCAATATTAGTGGGAGCTTGTGGCGAATCGCTGTTCCAATGCGATTTTCGTCAGTTATTGTCACGAAGTCAGACATCCACATCATATGTAAAGAATGTTTTGGAAGCCTCTGTATTGGACTTGCCATTTTGTAATCGCGCTACCAACGAAAAATGGCAACTAGTTCAAATATCAAATGAGGCAGAAAATGCATTGGATTCTGTGACTATAGCAGCGACGTCTTCGCGCATAGTAATAATGCGATACGATTTGAAACAACAGAAATTTGCACCAGTTCGTGCTCTAGATACCGCTACACCCGTTTCATCAATACTCTTCACCCGCCTTACAGCCATTGTTAGTTCGGACAAGTTTTTTGAAATCGATTTAGAGACATGTGTTGCTGAGGAGTTCGTCGACATGTCTGATCACTCATTGTCGCACATAAGCAACTGTCAGCCAATCGTGGCTATTCGAATTTCGAGTCAAGAGTTTTTACTTTGTTTTATGGAATGCGGTATTTTTGTGGATGAGTTTGGCTGTCGTTCGCGACCATATGATTTGAATTGGGAATATACTCCTACCGGATTCGTATATCGTGAACCATTCCTTTACATAACTCATTTCCAATCTGTACAAGTCGTTCGAATACAGCGTTCTTATACGAAGGAGATAGCCAACGTAAGAGGAATTAAGGATATGGATGCAGATGCGGACGACAGCTGTCCTGGCTTAAAGCGCATTTATTTGACATTTTACATGCCAACATTGCTGACTGAGAGTGGAAAATTAAATGTTTACATTCTTGCCATACAACGTGATACGGGACTACAGCAAATTTTTCACTTGGATGCACTTCGGGCCTTTAAACAGAAACTGAATGAATCTCTAGAGACGATTTCCTCAATGGCAACAGCTATTACAGCTGGTTCTTGTGCTACCTCTAATGCGGATTGCGTCGATTAGTACGTCGTTTGAATTTGAATTAATTATCATACGAGTACTTGAATGTGATTTTCTAGGACACGTTTCAACTGATTAAATATTTACTATATACTTATTTCTATTCGATTTTATATTAATTAATGAAATAAATTAATTTAGAAGCACCTAATGTTGTTGACCAGTATGTTACTTTAAATTCTCATTCAGTCAATAATGGATTACTTATGTAGGTAACACATATTAGACATTTTAATGAACTATCCATAAATTTTGAATTTTGTCATGGTAATAAAGATAAAATCTACTGGATTTTTATGCTTCCGTTGCCCAACAATGAACGAAAGTGAAGGCCGGACGAATTCTCATTTGGTGGTTGTCGCTGTAGCGGAGATATGTTGGGATGGCATAGGAGGGCTTGAAGTAGGGCATTAAGACTCTTTTTTGCTAGCGCTGCACTGATGCTTGTTAGTAAATGCTGCACCGATCTGGGCGCCTGCTGATGTCGCCGGAGCATCACTTGCACAGTGTTAAGGAGCATACGAGTTAAGGAGCATAATGCTTTGCTGTGCAAACAGTTCCTATTGGGATATTAACGCAAGGAGCACCCCAATAGGCACCTAATAGAAGCTGAACCTCCACTTAGGCACATCAGAAAGGGAGTAATCGACTTAAAAAACAATATCCAACAACATGTACAACAATCGCTGGACAGGACGGCGTACAGACAAGCACTGAACGCCATTCAACAGGAGTCAGTCAACACATTCAAAACTCCCTTCCAGTGAATGACGTACTCGGAGTAAAATCGCCACCTCGCTGCCTCGAGGGACCCGCGTAGCTTGGCATAACTTCGGTCTGGATATTGTAGCAGGTTAAACTCCTATTTATCCAGACTCGACACCAGCATTTCCAATGTATGCCCAACGTGTCTCCGCACGACACTAACCACCTCTTTACATGCACCTTTAACCCACTCATATAACCCCCCCTTTCCCTTTGGTCCAATCCCGTCGAAACAGCTCGTTTCCTGGACCTACCAGTAGATGGCGACTTAGATTAATCAAACCTGTACCTAAGCTGGTTTATCGAAACGCTACAACAAAGGAGTACCCGTCTTTGGCCGAATACAAACTCAGGTCGTTCCAAAATAAAGACCCGACTGACGGGGTAACTACAACAGGCACGCCTTACCGCGGGTAAATTCTTAAACCCCTAAGCCGTTGAACTGAAATTCTCTCCTGGTATTAAATCAGCTTCGAATTGGTTAAGAAATTTCCAGTTGATCTGCCAGCAATTTTAAAACCATACTACAATTTTAGACAACGCTGGATTTTAGAACTGACGACGATAAAGTAAAGTTAAGAGCGTAGTGTTTTCTACTCACGTACAGTAAGACTGAATAGGTCAGCAGTAGTCTTCATGTTAGCAATCATAAATTGCAGTGTGTGAACCCGACATTGTTTTTCATTTCTATAAAATCCGTGTTGCCGTGTTAGGAATGAAGTGTTTGTCATTGTGTTTAGTACTACATTTTGCAGGCAACATTTAATATCATTTAGAACGAAATTAGTGTTTGTTTGTCTATAAATTAACAATTTTTTTTGCCGCAAAATTTGTTTTAATATGTCACCGTTTTTATGAATGTTCGCATTGAACGTTGATATCAGTCATGGTTTTGCATTAGAAATTCGTAAAAAGTTACACATCTCTATTTGTGGATTGTATACACTTTGGTGCAACTGTGTTATAGCTTCCACGCGTAAATGGCAAACGAAACACATTTCTTTCCACTTTAGCCGAAGCAGACGACCGAGATAGGTGAAAATTTTCAGAAAAACATCTTCTGGATTATTGAGAACCGTTTTCTAATTGGTTACGAATAAGTGGATTTTTTAAATTGATATATTCCGATTGCTGTTAAAAATAAAATATTTCAAAATAAAAATAAGTGTAAATTCAAAGTGAGATTTTGCCATCGTTGAAGTGCTTTGCAACGCAGTTAGCGAAGTACCACCGCGCTGGCCGCAGTAGCGCCGCCATTAAAAAACTAAAGTAATACGTCGCGTTTAGGTCAATCTGCTCGTCGCGCTGTACCTGGGAAAAGATATTTGTGAACTTAAGAGCAAAATCAGCTCATATACTGTTATTTTTCACAAATTATTCCCATCTGAATAATTTTGGATTACTTTTTGTTGAATATTTGGAGAAGGAAATAACGCAAAAATGAGTGGCGGAATGCCCGAGTTGGGCTCTAAGATCAGCTTGATCTCAAAAGCTGACATTCGTTATGAGGGCCGCTTATACACCGTAGATCCACAGGAGTGCACTATTGCTTTGTCGAACGGTAAGTTGCATTTGTACTTTATTTTCATATACCGTTATTTGGGGCTCTATCATACATTTTGCCAACGGGGGGAAAATATAAATGTTTCTGCGCTGTTGTTCAGCCGCGGTCGACGTCGACTTCGGCGTTATAGCGAACTGCTATAGGTAGCGCAACAAAAAGCAACGTATTGCAAAAACGAATGGAACAAAAGGGATTATATATAAAAAACGGTGCAATGTAAAAAAAATGACAAAATTGTATGTTTCATATAATATTGAATACATTTTTTTTTTAAATTATAGTTGTCTTATGTTCCAGGCTTGTTAAAAATACTGTTTCAGTAGCATTTATTATATTCCTTATAAATTTCGTCGTCACTTTCTTTTCCGTTTATTATAATTTTTTTTTATCTAATATATATATATATATATGATCAGCAAAGTAGATTTTACGTGGGTGATATCGCATGACAATCCGTTATTTTTCATCTGGATTAACGGAAGTGGTGGCAACCGTTAATTGGTGGTCCGTGGTGTTTGCAAATATGTTATTTGCAATTATTAAAGAAGAAATTTGTTTATGAATTTAAATATACACATAGTTGGGCAAAATTATCAGTAAGCAATATAAACATTCGTATGTACATATAGCTAAAGGCCCTAACTGAAAATCAATTATACAAAACAAACCAATCATTCACACTTACAAATTTTAGAGTTGGCTCTTTTATCTAATACTATTTAAACATACTTGAAGTATTTAATGATTAAGTTAATATTTCATACATTCCTAATGTAAATCCTGTTTTTCTTTGCAGTTCGCTCCTTTGGAACTGAAGATCGAGAGACGCAGTTCCAGATTGCACCTCAAAGCCAAATATATGATTACATTCTTTTTCGTGGTTCTGACATCAAAGACATTCGAGTCGTAAACAACAGCCTTCCGCATCCAAATGATCCGGCTATAATGCAAGTACAACTACAAAATGGGCAGCATATGATGCCACATTTCCCTATGCCGAATATGAATCCTCCACATGCGCCCCCCATGAGTGCTGTTGGTGGTTACGGCAATCCCTTTGGCATGGGAGGTTTGGGAATTGGTGGATCTGGAGGTGCTGCACCACCTCTAGCTCCAGGCGCTTCTGCACCTGGACCGTATATGTTAGGTGGGGGTACGCAACAACAACCACCCCAACAACCACCACAGCAGCAGCAGCAGCAACAACAACCGAAGTCACAACAACAGCAAAAGCAACCAAGTGAGTTACTTCTCAACAACAGCAACAACAATCTGACCCTCCTACAGCAACAAAACCAAATGCAGGAACAAACACAACCATCACTTCACAATAAAACAGTTGCAACTCCAATACCATCGAATCAAAGCCAGTTGCAGCAGCAGCATATTGATTCAAATTCAACAACCCAATTAAATTTAACGCCAACATCGAACACTTTAAGTTTTGGGGCAATATGTGGTGCCGGTAGTATAATTGGTAGTAATGCAAATAGTAGCGGTATCATCGGTAGTAATCGCATGGCTGGCGGTGGAATCGGTATAATTGGAGGTTTACTTGGTAGTGTTGGAGGAGATTCTACCGATAGCAATTTTACAATTGTAGGTGCAGTTAACAAAGGGAAGAAAATTAAGTCTCAAACGGCACTTAATGAGCACAAAGACCAAGGTGTGATGATAACGCCGCTCAAGACTTTGATGAACATGTTATTGGTGCATTATAGTTTCAGTTGCTTTTTAGTTTCCTTTAGATTTTCTTTTGGTATTTATTTCAAAATATAGTTTGTAATACCTAGTAGAATTTCCGCTGAGTCTCTTGAAAAGTATCGCTGGGCTCTGTTTTGTTTTACAGAAATTTGCAATCAAATGTTATTTGCCTTCTTCAATATCATACATTAACGGTATGCATATATTTGGAGCATTTACCCAATATTGGCCAATTCGAAAATTTTTCACTCATATCAATCTTGTCTTTTAAATAAGAAAATATGCATCTCCTGAAATCTTCGGAGGTATATCATTTGCTTCTTTGGTGGCGTAATATTCGCTCAACTATTAAATTACTAATTATCCGGTGATGCATAAACTTTCAAATCCAAACATTTTAAGTCATTAATAAGGGATTTAGTGCTAACCCACAAATAAGCCTCGGGTGGGGAATAATGGGTGTACTTTCTTCGATAAAGCAGTGTAAACGAATCTTGTTTGTGATGGGATTTATGATTTCTCGTAATTGCAGTTAGTCTTCTTCCACAACCGACTTCAATATTTAAAAGAGATAAATATTTGTGTAAAAGTATTTAATTCCTAATAACCAATTTTTTTTTTATCTCCATACACCCATCGCCTTGACCATACCTGCATTGTTGCTTATTTTTTTTTTTTTTTTGTTTCTTATTTTATTTTCAATTTTATATGTTTTTATTTGATTTGCGAAAACTTTAAAGAAATTCCATTAATTTGATCACTCTTAACTGAAATAATTAAAAATTTTACTACAGACCTACTTGTCGGTGCATCTCGTTCAACCACGCCTATGAGCCACGTTTCACAAAAGAGTGGTTCACCCGATATGATAGCCCAGCAGCAACAGCATCAAGGCCAACATCCGAATCAGCACACTGGACAGGGAGGCAGCTCGCGTGATGCCGCCCATAAGCGACAAAATCACCAAAATCGTGGTGGCAACAATCAACGTAACAATGACTTTTATCAACAGTCTCGTGACCGACGCGATTCCGGACGCCACATGGACGGTAACTACAATAATCAGCATCATGATCTGGCACGTGGGGGCAACAATTATAACAATCAACGTAATAACCAACGTGGAGGTGGTGGCGGAGGTGGCGGACAAAGTCATACTTGGACCATGCACCGCGGTGGACCTAATAATGGTAACAATATGATGGTACGCAACCGGGGTGGTGGCCGTGGACGTATGCAAAATCAAGTAAGTATAACCATATTTTAATATACATATAAAAATTAAATTAAAATGAACTCTTCTCATAAATGTCAACATATACATAAACATAAAATATGGAATATTTTTGAAGTGATATTGTAAACATTTATTTTGTTTGCTTTCAGGGCTTTCGACCAATGGGCGGTCCTGGTGGCAACCAAAATAAACCACGGAATCCGAAGAATACTATTAAATTTTTGCAAGATTTCGACTTTGAACAGGCCAATGTTAAATTCGAGGAATTACGTTCGCAATTGTCCAAACTAAAGGTGGGAGAAGAACCCAAATCCGAACAGGTATTCATTCGTTTTGTTTTGCTCTTTTTTTTTTGTATTTAGTTCTTTTGTTTAAGTTTAAAAACATACAATAATTTTATTTATTTGCACGGCAAGTGGAAACCGTTTTTTGATACAACTTAATTTAGTTAAGGTTAGAATTACCTTATTCATAAATTTTTCTCTAGCACACAGTGCATAAGTAGGTATTTAGTAGAAATATACAGGGATGACTGATAAATAAAGTGAATTTTCAACAGGTTTTCACACACTTTCTTATATATATATATATAATTGGCACTTTGTAACCGCTGAAGCAATTTTCCAACGCATTTCCTTGTTACTAAGATTAATTAGGCCATAGTAATTGCATAGTCTTCCACATCCGACAGAATATTTATGTCAATATATTCCAATCTATTATTATTAAGATAACTATATTATAGTTAAAGTTTAGCCGTTGGTGATACAATTAAAAAAAGAATTCTCTATTCCATTTATACAAATTTGAATAGTAAATAGAAATTAACGCGGGGTTGTGAAATTTTTTTGCGATTAAATATAATATTCTCTGATAAATAATTTGAAATACTGGAAAACCTTTTGAATTACGGTGTGGTTGTTGTTGTGGCTATTCGCTAACCCCGCTTAGGCACAGGTTAGATCAATCTAAGTCGCCGAGCTCATTCAGTGGGAGGTCCAGGAAACGAGCTGTTTCGACGGGATTGGACCAAAGGGAGAGTCTCCTTAAACCGGCTCATTACGCTGTGGTGCTGTTGTGCGGTTATGAGTATACACGGAAACCCCGATTACACATCCTAGCCAATGAAAATACTAACATACCTCTGCGTTTTTTTTATTATATATTTCATGAAAAAATACAGCGTTTTTTATGTTTATTTAAATTTATAATATTTTAGGTTTTCCCATTCTGTAAAATCCTTGCTTAAAATGTATTTAATCTTTAGTTTTTCATACATATTTATTTTTGCTTATTTTAATATATGAAAAATGTAAATATATAATAATTTATTATCTTGTATATCTACCAGTTCTCAGTAAGTTTTATCTCGCTCATTGTACAATATTTAATTACTTTCGTGATTTCTTTTATATGGAACAAAAATTTAATAAGTTGAAAACATCGATTTTTTGTTTTTTAGCTGAACGGGGAAACAGATAAAAAGGACGATTCTGGTAATGAGACTGGTGCTGGCGAACATGAGCCAGAAGAAGAGGAAATCACTGTTGGATATGATAAGACAAAATCCTTCTTTGATAACATTTCATGCGAAGCAGCACAGGATCGCAGTAAGAATAAGAAAAATGACTGGCGTCAGGAGCGCAAGTTAAATAGTGAAACATTCGGAGTTTCATCCACAAGACGTGGCGGGTAAGGTCTAAGTCATGTTATGCCCTTCTCTTGTTTATACATAATACAAGTATTTTCATTATATATTTCAGTTACCGTGGTCGTGGCAACTATTACAATCGTAATATGGGCTCTTATGGTGGCTACAATCGTAACTATCGTGGTGGAAGTAATTATCGTAACCGTACCAGAAATCCAAATGTTGCCTCAAATAACTCAAATGGCGGTACAACTAATGCTAATAATAATGGAAATCCCGTCGCATCTACAAATGCTAACAACGGTGCCAACACGGCGGTAGCACTCAAAAATCAGGCGCAACAACCACAGACAACAGGGTCAGCGTCTGTTTCAACGCCCAATGCTACGAAGCCAGCTGCTGTGGAAAATAACAATACCCCGCAGCCAATCGCTGCTGGAGCTGGTAAGTAGTAGAGTAGGCACAACTTCAGTGTCTGTCATAAGAGGCGACTAAAATTCAAAGGTTATCATGACTGTCGGGCCTTTCTAACGGAACGACCCGGATTTTCACTCTCTCAACACCCCAAAAAACAACTTTAGGGAATAGTATTGTGGTCACAACTACAACAGCGTAATACGTTTTCGTTTTTTCGCTCCAGAATTTGTTAATCAAGTTTAAGGTTATGAGACTGAGCAGCTATTCAGCTATGGGTTAATTTATGAGCAAACATTTTCTTTCTTGAAGACCTACTAATCTCATGGTATTTCCTCCTTGANAAATCAACAAATATCAAATATATCAAAAGCAGAACATGAATGAGAACATCATATACAAAATATAAGCATCATTAAAAGGAAATAAGGAGTGAATATAAAGAATCGCGATGTCCTTCTTCGCCCCTACACTATGGGAACAGACAAACAATATTTCACCAAAAATTTCTTCCACTATCGAACGCATTATGAGGATGATCATCAAACGATTCAATAGGACGTCGTCGACAATGTGAATAAGAACTATCTCTAATGATGATTAAAGAATATATATATATATATCTAAAGCAGGAAAATTTAGTGGGAAACATTCAAAGCTGTTAATAAAATAGTTTTTTTTTTTTTTCAAATCCGAAACAAAGTCCAAACGAATGAATGGCAAACAAAATCAGTAATGAAATGAAATAATTTGTACGTTATAAACATGAATGAAAATGAGTTTTAAGAAGCAAAAAGAGAATAAATTGAAAATTTAGAGTTTATGTCAGAGTGGCAGGATTGCTTGTCAAAATGGAAGCAAGGGTTTTAAAAAAAGGGAAAATAAGAAAAAAGAAAAAAGAAAAGAGCGTCAAAAAACGCATAGTAAGTAGAAAAAGTGGTGGTATGTTTTCAGTTGTGAAGCATACGAACGAAAGCATTTACAAATATTAAAACAAAAGGAATAAAATTAGAAATATATATGACTTTTATGCTGAATCCTTAAAAAAATAAACTCATTAATAAAAAAACAAAAGTAAAAAGAAAAGAAAAAAACAAATAAAAAAGAATTTTAAAATTTTGCAGAGGGTGAGCCAATTTAAATAAACATTAATTAAAAAAAAAAAAGTAGAAATAATATCAAGGTACACAAAACATGAAATATCATAATGACCATGCTTAAAACGTACTCATGCACACATTAATATCAAAAGCTGAGCATAAATGATTTTGTACTTTTCTTTTGATCCGAACGTTGTAATCGCAAATGCGCACATAAAGCAAAAAAAAAAAAAAATGCGACTCCGGCTTACTTTTAAGAACACGTACGGCTGAAATTAAAGCAGAACAGTGTTGAGGCATCTGTAGATTGAAGCTGAGTAAAATTCTAGAAATTTTCTGTTAGAAATCAATACAACATACTTTTTCAACCTAATTACTACTATTTTTTACTTTTAAGATTTAAAATATTAAAAATTACATGTAATTGCACTTACATATAAGCTGTAAAGCTAAATCGTTTTGTTAAGAAATCAACATATGATCGTTCGGATTGAGGTTACATTTAACATTTGATTTACTTTCTTAGGTGAATTAAATTTTTTATAATTTTTTTTTTCCTTATAGCATGCCATTTTATGCTCAAATCATTATATAAATTTAAAAAACAAAATTAAAACGGAAGTGCAAAAATAAAGTTTTTTCTTTGAGACAATTTGAATTGAAAACTTTAAACTTTTTTAAGGCAAAGATGGGAAAAAGACCCGTTGACCCGTTTATAACGGCAAATAATAAATGTAACCTGTTCCTGGTGTTTGTATATAATATAAGCGTGTGCCGACTGTATAAGAAAGTACTGAATTTCAAAGAATCACCCATTCGACGTCACATAGAGTTTGTACTATACATATAATATAGAGGGCGTCTTGAAATCTCGCTCTTTCGAAATGCAGCCATCCATCCATTAATTACATTACGGTCACATCTCTTAAAAACCAATATATATATATATATATATATATACAATTAAACAAATGTAGATTATTTGCTAAACCCGGCATGTAGATGAAAGTAAGAGAATTATTCTATGTTATACTACAATTAAAACAAAATAATATATAAATGTGCTCACTCTCACTTTATACATATGCATAATTATATATATTATATATGTATAAATACGTGTAAACAAAAGTAGCTGCATTCGATGTCGGGGATTTGTAGTAAAGTGGCGATTACAACAGATACAAAAGATACACACACACACAGACACATATATACACAAATATGAAAAGTTTGTATTCGAATTAAATGTAGCATAAATCCGAAAACAGAAATAAACTATGTACTGCAAATGAACAATTCATAAGAAAAGTAAAAAAAAAAAAACAAAAATATATATATGTATATACACACATATATGTATATATAATGCAAAGATTTGATAATAAAGAGTACTAAAACAAAGGAAATATATTAAGAGTTAAGTCAATAAAAAATAAAATAAAAAAGATGGCATCCAATATGTTTTATTTTACTCTCTTAGCGATAAAAAAAAAACAGTGGTGGCACACTAATTAGCACGCCCTCTCATGTAGACTAAAATTCACAGAAAATTTAGGAAAAAATTTAAATATCGAGAAGGAATTGAAATATATATTCAATAACATTTATAAAGCATTGTTGAAGGGAAACAAATGAGTAATTAAAGAAAAAAACATAAAAATGGCTCTGGGCAAGCCAATTCGGCAAAATGACTACTTCGTTTTGAAGCCACTGTTTCATAGACCTGTTGAAAACTGTGGTGCTCTATGCATTCTAAGTCTTCTAAAAACTGCAGAAGATGATCTTCAAGCGAATTCTGGTACGCTACAGAATCTAACTTGTTCGTTATATAAGTAAAAGTAATATACCAATAAATTTAATAAGGCCAACACCATGTTCTGTAAAGAAACCCCATATGTTGTACTTACCACTCCCGCAACATTCCCCAAAAACTTATTTTGGGTATTTTTTTGCGGTTAGAAAAACAATAAGATAACCCATACGGAACTTAACCGTCTTCTTGATATCCTCCGCGCCAAATTTTCTGTTTCGGGGCGTCGCATATGAGCTCTCTCAGCAAGCCCCTGTAAGATTAATTTAGATTCGTCGCTCGAAACTACAGTATTCCAAAAGAAACGATGAGAATCCTTCTGTAATCTGACAAATATCTATCGCGTCTTTCGATTATTGTTGGAAATTTGGCATCCCCGTAGGTTGTTTTCCAGTCCCGCTGGACCTTATGAAATATAGAAATACTTCTTTGAAATTCATTCGAAAATTTTAAGAAATGCTTGATTTATTATGGCGAAAAAAAAACAAAACAAAATTTTCCTAAAATACCGTTATACTCGATTTTCAAGCAGTATTATTGGAAATGTGTAGGGTGTGTCATTATGTTTTGAAAATACCGTCTTCTGTTATACAAAAATTGGCACAGTAACTATGATCGAATGGTGAAACGAATTCCCTAGCAAGCTTTATTTGCTTTGTTGCGAGTTGGTGGTTTCCAAGGAACTATGTATTCAGGGGTGTTACAGAAACATATTATTGTCAGAAACGGTATTGAAACCGACAAAATTCTGCTGACGGTGTTACACATTCCGATTAATGATTTGCAACGAAACTGCCGAAGTCATTTTGTTGTTATTATTACCCTGACACAACTCAGGTCTGGATATTGTAGCAGGTTAAACTCCTACCTAGCATACCCAACGTATGCCCTGCATGTGGAGAGTCTCCGCACGCATGCCCTCTCAAACCCACTCATCTAACCCCCCTCTCCCTTTGGTCCAACCCCGTCGAGACAACTCGTTTCCTGGACCTACCACTAGATGACCTCGGCGATTTAGACTGATCAAACCTGTGCCAAAGCGGGGTTAGCGAACCGCTACAACAACAACAAGTCATTTTATTTTTTTTGCTAATAATCACAAATGTTTTAAAACCAATATAAAAACTAAATTAAAGTTCTGTGTTTGTTTCCAGTTGATTCGAAAATCGGTTTTGCTATCTTCGAAAAAAGCAAAATCAAGTCGGTTTCATAACACCATTTCAAACCCGATATGGATTTTCAATTACGATAAAAAAGCGAATCTGCGTCGGTTTCTATTTATAACACCACTGATTGTCGCTCAAGGTGGAAATTTTGAAAAGGATTGGAATTTATTTAGTGGTAGGCGATGTATTTCAATAATCCTTTTTCTCGTACGTTTTTCCATTGACTAATTTCGACGAAAGCAAAGTAAAAGTACAACATGAATGCCATACAATGCCGAAGTCTTCGTACCTTTCATGAACATATACAATTTTTAGTATCACATTTTAGTATTAAAATTAAATTCGTATACAGAGTTTTCCAATAAAAGTCGTTATTTTCCCTTAAAAATCCAATGACCGCTCCGAAAAGTTACTCGTTCAAGAACAAATCTTGGGTTTTTCGAACCCCAGTTGGAACAGTTTTGCTTATTGACGTAGAAATCGAAGTGAAATCGAAGGAAGGTGGTAAGAATTTCTTCAACAAAAATTTTATAGGTAGTGAATTTGAATAATTTCAATGCGTTGTTGAAGCGTTTATCCTTCCACTTTTAATGCTGGGGAAGTTTTCAATAGCCAAATGTTAAAAAATTACAGCTTCAAAGGAGACATCTATCGGCATAGCAGTCTATTCAAAAAAACACCTCTTATTGGAAAACTCTTTAGCATTTCCTATTCTCACTGTTAACGGTAAAATAAGTTTGTTACTTTTTTAACACCCGAAATTGAATTTGATATTCTGGCGAACTGGTCACAATGTTTGAAAAAACTTTGGCAGCACTGCTTTTTTCGTCCATGCGAAATTACATTTGCCGGTTGGAGAGGTAAAAAAGAAGAATATTCACATCGGAATGGAAGATGGTGCGCAAAAAAAATCGATAAGTTTTATTAAATTTGTTTATTAAATCATAAATATTTGAACCTAATTATGGACAATATGCCTGGACAACAAAAAAAGCTGAATGAAAACGCTAACTTCCAAATCAAAAGGGCTATTTTTTCTCTCAAATTTCTTGGCATATTTCTCAAACTAACAACACAAAATCAAACAGCAGATTTGATTCTTACTTCCTATTTCACTGATACAGGGTGACACTGAATCCAGAATACGAAATAGTAACAAAATTTATTGAATGGTAAATGTTAATACCTAAGTAAATTTTATTACCTCGACATAGTAGGCCTGTTCATGGTCATTAAAGGTGTACAAATGTAATGTACACACAGTGAGTCAAAGAAATATTTTGCGTTCGAAGATGGTTAGAGAAGCCTCCCATTTTTTTTCTTTCTTCTATGTTATTCGATATAAAAGTCCCATTGCAGCCACTACTATTGGAAACAGCATCGAAGGACTTTGAATGTCATTGGTTTCTTTTTTCATATATTGGCCTATCATATCGACAATATTCACCTAAAAAACTGGGTTGACACAAAGGAAACCTGCGAATTTTTAAAAGAAAGTAAATACATATTTTTTTTTCAAATTTCATAATGAACTTTAATCAGTTATGTAATTTCCATTTTGTTCGATGACTTTTCGCCTTTATTCCGGCAACATCCTTATTCCATGCTCATAGAACTTCTGGCCTTTATCTGCAAAAAACAGAAGCAAGTGCGATTTTAAAGCCTCGCCATTTTCGAAAGTTTTACCATTCAATAAGTTTTGCAAAGTTTGAAACAGATACCAGTCTGACGGCAACAGTACCCTGCCAAGCACTCTCAGCTCTTGGCGAGCGACCAAAAATGTGTACGGTCTAGGATTGTCTCCTGGTGGAATATGATTCCTTTACGATTTACCAATTCTATCCGCTTTTCGTTGATGGATGTATCCAAATAGTCCAGTTGTTCACAGTAGATATCAGAATTATTTGTTTAGTGTCTTGGCAGCAACTCAAAATATACCAAACCCTTCCAAACCCACTAAACTGACAGCATAGTCTGCCTTTGGTGTACACCAGCGTTTGAAGTGGTTTGTGGCGCTTTATCATGCTCGGACTTTGATCGTTTTCGATAGACGTTATTGTAAACAATCCATTTTTCATTTCCAGTTATGATTTGCTTCAAAAACGGATCATATTCATTTCTTTCGATTCATGTGGTATCCAAATATCAAGCTTTCTTACCAGTCCTAGACGTTGTTGTTGTTGTAACCGCAAAAATATTACCCAGAGCCGTTTTTAGGGAATGTTGCGGAAGTGACAGATCTTTGCCGGATTAAAATGCCTGGGTCGTTCCGGTATAAAGACCCCGACTGTCGCGGAAAATATTTGATTTTAGTCGCTTCTTGCGACAGGCATGCCTTATCGTAGGGATACCAGTCAAAGACGTCGTATATGATTATGAACAGTTGATTCCTTGAGTGGTTATTCTATAGTCTGCTTATTGATATCTGCTATCTAAGGTAAATAATTGAAGACGTCACAAAAAAGGGGAACATTCAAATAAAGTTAAGAGATCGTTTCTTCCTCATTATAGTTCTTGCAGCTTCTGCAAAATCTGATAAAAATACTGCCAGCCTTTCTGATGGTCGTCCTACAAAGCGAGTAGTTCCAGTTAGGACTTCAACAATCTTTGAAATTTCCTGCCTTCTAAGAGGGTACATTTCGCGTAACCTTTTCCGATTCCATATAAACCAAATTTGCTTAGATTTCACGCCGGACGCTGTGCTGCCCTCTCAGAAGCATATTCTTTAATAGTAGCTTAGACCTAACAAAAGGCAAAGGAATCTGTAAGATTATTCATTGCTTAAATCAGACGAACTATTAGCATTTTCCTCTAGGTCCCTATAGCTAGTAACCCAAAAGAGAGATAGTCTGCTATCTGTATTTGTCCATCTCCTGCGGAGATCGGCGTCGGCATAGCATAATTTTTGAATTATTTGTAAGTCAGCCAAATATTTTAGCCGCTGTTTGAGTATCGCGGAGAATAAAAATATCTTTGTCCGCGAATTCGGTCCCACTTTAATCTCACAGTCTCTATAATAAATGCAACCGCGACTTGAAAGTTGCTGCAATGATCGAGTGACAACTCTCAACGTGAGTCTTTTGAGAAAACATCAACAGCGATTTTTCCATTGAGTTGGAGTGTCAAAACCATCTCTTTTTTTTGGAGATTTGAGTCGTAGAGTTATTTCAGCTAAACGATATGAGCCGCAGAGAGATCTAAGCTGTTTTGGATAAAAGGATTTTTAAATGCGTACTAATTTACCTCTCTTAAAGAAAGGACAGCTTCTGTGTAGTAATCCAAAAAGTGCAGTGGCAGGATGTCAAGAACTACATTTAAGGCTTCTCTATGAAAGCATATCCAATTACAAATCTAACGACTTATGCCCCACTTCGTACTAATATGTTTTTTTTTTACCTGTATAGAGGGCGTTGCAGACCTTCTCTTAACTATTTTCCCTGTTAGCTTTTTCAATTCAATCTCTTGTCCAGGTCTAAGTCTAGAAATTTAAGGAGAACAAATTGCACCTGATTGGAGTCTATATTCATCAGACCAGTTCTGTACTCTTCGAATAGTCCTCTGCATCAAGTTGCATAAGGTAAATGGAGACTTGCACTTGTAGGTTACAGTAGCAGCAAGCACTATTCGCGACAGTATCAGTCAAAAGTGAGTTAATTATAAGACTCCATAGGATCGAGAACTCCGCTTTGAGACCTTTCTCTATATATGCATATAATTGGCGCTTTGTAACCGCTGAAGCGATTTTCGGCCGAGCACCTCCTCCAATTTGTGATTTTGCGTCTTGATGTTTTTCCATACTAAGCCGCCTCCGAACGGCTGACAGTTTTTTACGAGGAGCCTTCAATTCATGCCAGAAATACACTCAGAGGGGTTGGCATTCCCTGCCGAGGGGCGACCGCAATTACAAAATTTAACTTAATTTTTTTTATCTAAATGAATTTTCCATAACTTTTGGATGTTGACTGCACCGAGGTATGAACCCGAGCCTTCCGAATGTCAATGCGCAATGCTATCCACATCCGGAGAAAAGTGCACAGCAATGAAAATTTATATTTGAACTTACTTACTTACTTACTGTCCTTATATTCGCTGAATTATATCAATGTCGCCGTATATCTCGTACTGCTCTTCGTCGTTCCATCGGTTGCGGTATTCGCTGTTGTCATTACGCCTAGGACTTTCTATCTCCATCAGAACTTTTCTCTCGAAAACTCCTAACGCCGACTCATCAGATGTTGTCATCGTCCATAGCAGGACGGGAATGATGAGCGACTTGTACAATTTGGTCTTTGTTCGTCGGGTGTGGAATTTAGTTTTCACTTTTCTACTTTCCAATTTAGTCCGAAATAGCATTTTGTAATACCGATTACAATAAGGATTAGACAAAGTTCATCTATAAATTTTGAGGTTGATATGACCAGGTTTCCGCAAGCTAATTCAAAATATATACATATTTATATTTGTATGTAACTATGCTATAATTACAATCGCCAAAATGCAAAAATACCCCAGATTTCGCACCAAAATGTAATGCTTAATTAGCTTTTTAATCTCTCAGCCAGACTTTGAGGCTCAATTAGGAGATTAGGATTACCAGAATTTCTTTTTATTTCGGCTTAACCTTCCATCAGTTTATTGCACTTCTGATGCAATCAAATTAAACCTAATATATATTTATTATTATTTTTCGTTAACAATACAATTTGTGATTAGAACATGAAATATTTTCACACACCGAACTCAGCCATAGGCACTTATGTATGCAGAAGTCTCATTTTACAGACACACCTGGCTTATCAAAAATTGGCCTTTTCACATTCAATTGGGTGTTGATAAGGTCAACGCTTGAGCGCAAGCTGGGCGCTGCAATTGCAGAAGCAGCTGAAATTTCGGTCCTATATAAGTCTACGCTTGAACCGAGAGAGCTCATAGTAAAGCTTACAGTAGCTTAGTGCAAGGGAAAGAAAGTTTTTCAGTTAATATTTCTATTAAACAAATTTAAAAAAGTGCAAAATGTTTGACTTGAGCGGTAAAAATATTGTTTACGTCGGCGGCTTCAGTGGCATTGGCTACCAGGTGTGCCAAGTTTTGATGAAGATGAAGATAAATGTAAGTCCGAAATTACATATACATACATATATGTATTTGGTGATAATTATGTTAGAGCAGTTATTATAATAAATTTGATTACGTTTTAACCGTTAAAAATTTCACATAAAACGTTAAACGCTTAATTGTCGTTTGAGTGTCTGCAATCCTATCAAAGGCCACCTATCGTTTTCAACCGAATTAACAATAGCGCGCTAGTAATCCGTTCGGTGCCAATCGGAGACACCAAGTGACGCCAAGCGCTTCTCTAATTGAAATGGTGAACTTTCTTTTCATCGAATCTTCCATCGCATACTCTCAGAGCTGCAACACTCTCGTCAATCCGGTTGACCAGACCCAGCGGCGGTGCTACTATATCTCGTATAACTCAGTGCTCTATTGCCGGAGTCTTCCATAAGTAGAAGATAGATTTTACTCAAATTTGTTCTCTGAAACTCTCAAAACGGACTAATTGAATGTCGGTATAGTCCACGCTTCTGCGCCATATAATAATGCGGAAATGGTGAGGAACTTTAGTTTTCATTTGTCTACTCAGTCCAAAGTAGCCACTTTGGGAATAGTGATTCCTTATTTGGCTGCCATTGTCGTTGGTGGACTATATCGAACTTCTTATTTATGACTGTCAACAGTGCCGTGGGAGCTAAGATGCGAGTGCGTTGCCTGTTTGCTTGATGGCAGGAGATATTCCGTGTTGTCCTTATACAAAACCATACCCAGCTCAAGACAATGCTCTGCAGCTCTTGTTATTTTACAGAGCACTAGGTTGAATATTCGCTTTGAGTCCAGGTTCGGTTAACATCCACAATTAAAGAAAACTAATTTTTCTAATTGCCATCGCCCCTCAGCAGGGTATGTCGATTTCTGGAATGAAACAATAGCTCCTCATAAAAACCCGGAAGTCGCTTAGTATAAACTGTAGGTTCCTCCATTTGTTGGAAAACCATAAATACGCCAATTATAATTTGAATAAGTCAAAAAGTTAAGAAATCCGCCCATCCCAATTCTGACGGATCTTTTATTGTTTCTTAGCGTCATTTGCATAATCGGATAATTTGTGAGAGCATACTAAGCTCATTAATAGCGGCGTAGAAGCATCTTCTTTTTGAGCTGACAGCTTTAAAATTGACGAAGAGGTGTGTCGAATCTTTACTCACGGTTCTTTCCCAAAATTTGACGATGATATTCTACAAAGAAGTTGATGCGGCTCTTTGCCGCTTGCTTGAATAACTCAGCCAGTCAGCCAATGGCTGCCAGACCTCTGTTATTCGGGCTTTGAATCAAGCAGTTGTAACTTCATTGTAGTCAGTTGAAGACCCGTCTATATAATCGATTGGTATTTTGTATTCAACATCTTCGCGTGTTTCCTTTGTACTGCAGCTAAGCAGGGTGGAGAACTGTTATCTTTGTAAGCTCAATATATTCTGGACGTCTTTTCCAGATAACTCTTCTGGTTCCTATAGGTAAATGCTACGGTCTTGAGACCACCTTTAAGTCATCTCATATATTAGTAGAATTCCGGAACATTTCTCCTGTCAGCCATGTTCTCATGTTGTTCATATTCATATTGCAGTTACTCACGCTTTCGCCGAAGCGTCTGCATTACTCTTCAACTCTCGGTATATTTCTCATACCTTTCGCGTTGCGATCGAACGTTGCAAAACTTTCTCTTCACTGCGGAACGACAATCCCCATTTTACAAAATAATTTTCTGACCTAATCGATGAACAATAGCCCCGACTGCGCGTAGGGAGCTTAGCATGCCATTTCACAGTTTCCTTATACCAAGTTGTGCTTGGAGCTTTAAGTTCAAAGAAGGCTTAAGCAAACATCCTTGCCGATTGATGACTTACACCTTGATTATTGTTGGCACACTGAAGTGATCTTAAGCCTAAAGTGCTAAGGATTTTTTTATGTTTATTGCACAGACTCTTTATATCCTGTCATTTCTATTTATTTTATAGCACTTGATTGTGATGGGTCGGATGGAGAATATGGAGATGATGCAGAAGTTACAAGCTGAAAATAGCTCTGTGAAAACGATGTTCATTCATATGAATCTGATGGACCGCTCCAGTATGGAACAGGCAGTTAAGCAGATGATGGGTGCTATCAAACAGATCGATGTTTTGATTAATGGTGCTGGCGTGTTGGCCGACAAGGATATGGAAACCACAATGACTGTGAATTTGGTAAAAAAAAAGAAATGTTTGAAATTAAATAATGTAAGCAAAACTGATTTCTTGCTTCGTAATTTCAGATGGGAATGATGAATATGGTTTGGATGAGCATGCCTTATATGGATAAAATGCAAATGGGCCAAGGTGGTATTGTGATGAACATTGCCTCCGTCTATGGATTGGAACCTGCTCCTGCCTTCCCAGTATATGCCGCTGCTAAGCATGGCGTCATTGGCTTTACACGCTCAATGGCTGTGAGTGTATTTTTTACCAAAACTTGATTAAGTTTTCTATAAAATTTATTTTGTGCTCACCGCAGGATCAACAGCATTATCAACATACCGGTGTTGCCTTCATCACAGTTTGCCCTGGCCTCACTACCAGCGAAATGATGATGAATTTACGGGAGAAATCAATGATGGGTCAGCAGTCATATGTTGGAGAAATGATTGAAGCGATGAATAAGGCTAAACAACAATCGCCCCAGGAGTGCGCGATGAATATGGTCAAGGCGATGGAGATGATGAAAAATGGTGCTGTTTACATGTGCAACATGGGGCAACTGAAGGAGGTGATGCCAACCAACTACTGGCATATGTAAAAAAAAAAATTCTCTTCAACCAAGAAACCCTAAGAATGACAGTTGAAGAAAATAAAAAAATTTAAATCAGCAATATTAAAATAATTCTCTTTGATTTCCCGAGAGAGTCCTTAAGCCAAATAAGAAAAATTGGAGGATAATTACGCCAAGCCTCTAGCTCTGTAATTTAAGTACAAAAATTTAGTGGGATTTAGATAAATATATAATTGGCGTTTTGTAACCGCTGAAGCGATTTTCGATCGAGCTCCTCCTCCAGTTTTTGGTTTTGCGTCTTCATGTTTTTCCAACAAATGGGGGGACCTACAGTTTATACTAAGCCGCATCCGAGCGGCTGATGATTTTTTTTACGAGGAGCCTTTATTTCATGTCCACAATACACTCGGAAGGGGGGTTGACATTCATTGCCGAGGGGCGACCTCAGTTAGAATATTTAGCTTAATTTTTAAATTAATTTTCTATAACTCTTGGATGTGGGTCTAGTGGTTCAGTGGGATTTAGGTTAGGTAAAAGTGACTGGTCCTTAGAGATTTTCAAAAGTAACGCATTAAAATGCTTAGATGATTCAATGTATCGTTATAAACAACTACCACAATGAGGATTCGGAAAAATACTAAATATTTTCGCGTGTCGATGAGGTAATGTCCGGTCAGAACTCTTACCAAATTCGAGCGTTTGAATTCAATAGAAATGAAAGAGAAGACAAACATTCCTTTACAATTTTTGAGCACACCACAAGTGAGCTCGAGACCAATAAGCGATCTAAGTAAATGTTAGCCTGTCTCCAAAAGACCACACTTCGAAAGTGTGCGCACTTTTTGCTGGACGCCTAAGCTCGCCACCGATGGGTAATTATCGACAGGAGACTACTGCACCGATTTACCCGTCAAGCTGACTAATTCCTGAAAAAGTTAAGTGCTTATTTCATTCAGTAGTTGTGGCTGTGGAAGAAGCCGGAGATAGAGTAATCGAGTAAAAAGGTTGACATCGAGTCCCTTAAAAGCAGAAGTAGAAAGTGAAAAGACTATGGTTTCATTTATTCTTTGGTATTGCAACATAACGGATACAGTAGTTGATTGATTACCGGAGCGTGAAATATTATTGCGGAAGTTCATCGGCTAGAGTCATGGCCAGAGCAACAACCCCTCCAGGTGTGTTTCTTACACGAAATAAAGAGTTTTTCTTAAAAATGTGTCAGTCTTTCGGAGATGGCTTAGAAAAAACTGAATATACTTTCTATTTGTTTGAAAAACATCACTGATTGGAGGGGAACTTGGCCGAAAAACGATAATAATTAATTTCTGTTTTTCGAAAGGAACGACAACTCAGTAGTAGCTATTCCGCTTTGAGTGACGTCAGTGGTGTGACTCATTCAGAATTATTTGTAATTTTTGAGTACTCTTTCATCCACATGGATTATATGGTGAGGTTCAGGTCCTGACTAGCGACCGAACCTATCTGACATACCTAAATTTGGGGCGCTCGGCGTAGCGTTTCTAACGCCAATGAGTGAGAACGCGCGCTATCCCAAAATAAGAACACTAACGTTTTGGCGTTTTCTCTTTCTCTTCAAGTTAATATTATTTTAAGAACATTTAACAAATTAATTGCATTTATTTCAAACAAGATACTACGAACTTAATCGGTCGGTAAAAGTGTATCTCCACTAGTCTTATTCATTTCTTTTTAAAATACAATTTTTTGGTCAACTTTTTCGCCCATTTGCCGATTACTCTTTGTCAGTTTATTATCCATTCTTTCACACTTATGTCATTTACATCTAACTTCGTCATAGAACGTGCTGTTAAATTTAAAAATTCCATTTGCTCAATGTTGACGCCGCGTTATTGTGGGATGTTCCATGCAAATTGTATGTGCGTGGGGATTTTCCACAGTTGTTTAGCGCTCAATGCTCCAATTTGGGGATAGCAGTAAGCCATTCTTGTAGTCTCATTGTGCTCCCGCGCGTATCTGAACCATATGTTAGCGAACAGATCGTTCGATTTTATAATTTGTTTAGTTACAACCAACCATGCATACTTAGTGTAGATCCTCTCTTCCCGGGCCTTTTCGAATATTTTGGCGCATGATGAGCATCTGGTCAATGGTTGATTTACCAGGTCTAAAGCCGCACTGATAAGGTCTAATTAGATTGTTGACGGTGGGCATTAGTCTTTCCTCGGGCATACTTTCATTAGACCTTGTCTTGCAAAGAAGCTCCTTATTAATTCGGTAATTCATCGGCACCCACTGCTTTGTCGTATTTCTAGCGGGCGAATGCCATGCCAACTTATTCATAACTAATATCCAAGTATCAACATTTTTCCTAAGATTTGCTTTATTTTCCTTGATTTATATGATTACTTCATTTTTCAAGTTAAGGGTTTGATTTAATTACATAGAATCCACTCACCGCTGTGAGGTTGAAGCTGGGGACCGGGGAATGCCGGGTACTCGCTCCGCTACTCAGCCGATTACCTACTTTACGCAAGTAACAATTTGGTCTATCTACAATACAAAGTACGCTGACCCATAATAGTTTGGTGGTACTGCCAATTTTTGAAGACTTCCAGGACTTTAATTGTTCTTCTATGGTTTACAGGTTTAGAAAATATTTGAAAGCGCTAAATTAGACCCTTTAGCCAGACGTCAGTGAAGTACGTATATATTGCATGCTTGTGCCATAACTTTGAATCCGACTCGAAGTATGAGTTCCTCGAATGACTTGCAAGAGACATAACACTATCGAAGAAAGTCAAAAGGAAGGAATGAAGAACTTACCTAATTGACTTGGGCTTACCATCTTTTCATTCCATTGCGACCACCCCTAGTAAATACATATGCACACACACATGCACACAAGCTTTTAAAAATAATTAGATTGCGCTAACCACCTAACAGTATTATAGCGTTTTTTTCATTAAATTTTAAGTTTGTTTTTGTTCAGAGACGGGCGATTTTCTAATCAGGTTACAATTGGAAATATGAGGCAAGCTTTTGGGCTCATATTTAGCAGTGTGGTGTAAATGTTGTTTTCTGCGGTTAGAGAATGCCATCTCGTCTCGTCTCGTCGACGAAACCGGTAAACGATTTCGTAACAAACAAACTTAAACTTTAAATAGAATTGAGAGCACTGAAACGGGTGGCGAAATCGATTTGACTTAATTGGCAATGGATTGAGCAAAAAAACACCAATAACAAAATGAAAAACAAACAAAAGCTCCATACATGCTGACATATGTACATACATAAATGATCTTTCGCATTGCAGTTCGTACACTTTTCATTATTTCCAAGTATTCCCGATACCCTAGTATCAAATTGGTGCAGTTTGGCTGGAGAGTTAGCAGAATTTTGAGGTCTGCAAATACCAACATGGGTCGCCTCTTTTGTACTTCCAAATTGAAGTGTTTTTTGTAGTAATAATAAAAATTCAAGATTAATACTTTAAAAACCTAAAGTTCTATTAGAGATTAGATTCGCCGAACCATGCCATGACGCCGTATATCTCGTACAGCTCATGTTGTTGTTGTTGTTTTAACCGCAAAATTTTTCCCCAAAGTACTTTTTGGGGAATATTGCGGGAGTGACAGTCCCTGGCCGGATAAAAATCCGGGTCGTTCCGGTATAAAGACCCGACTGTCGCGGGAACTATTGGATTTTAGTCGCCTCTTACGACAGGCACGCATTACCGCGGGTAAATTCTTGAGCCCCTAACCCGCATCATTCCATCGGCTGCGGTATTCGTTGTTTTCGACTCGTAGAGGACCATAAATCTTGTACAAAACCTCTCTCTCGAAATTTTCTACCATCGACTCATCAGATATTGCCATCCTCCAAGCCTCCGCACCAGCGGACGGGATCGCTAAGCGAGCGGTTTTCGTTCGTTGAGAGAGGGCTTTACTTTTCTATTGCCTACTCAATCCAAAGTAGCACCTCTTGACAATAGTGATTCTGCGTTAGATCTCTAGGCTGACATTGTTGTTGGTGCTCATACGAAGTTACGCACGACTTCAAAGTTATGACTGTCATCAGTGACGTGGGAGCATTTGTTTGATGACAGGAGATATTTCGTCTTACTCTCGTTCACTACCAGACCCACATCATGCCCTTCCTAATCAAATTTGAAGAAAGCACAACTCGCGGCGCCTCATTTATTAGTATCGAACGGCTCGAAGAGGCCCATGGAAGTTTTTGTGTTGCTTAATGTCAGTTTACATAGCTGTATAAGTTTTGCGGGAATATCGAATTCGGATATTTTGGCGTAGATGCAGCTACTTTTCAAAATCGGCGAATAGGTGGTGTGCCGATTCTCTTTTCTCGGGCTTTTTCGAATATTTGGCGCATGATAAATATCTGGTCAATGGTTGATTTGCCCGGTCTAAAGCCACTCTGATAAGGTCCAATCAGATTGTTGACGGAGGGCATTAGTCTTTCACACAAAACTTTCGAAAGGGCCTTATAGGCGGTATTATGGAGGCTTATACCTTGGCACACTGAAGGTCCAATCCTCGGGCATGCTTTCATTACACCTTAATTTGCAAAGATGCTGACGGCTGTACTAGCTCGGTCGGTAATTCATTGGCACACACCGCTTTTTTGTTTTTCAAGCGGGCGTTTGCTATGCGAACTTCTTCATAATCAATATTCAAGTATAGATATAATTACTAGAATCCACTACCGCCGGGTTCCTTTCACTTACTGCAGCCCAGCCGGTTACTGAGATTACAAAGCCTGATAAATATTGGCTAATTAAAAAATTTTCCGCGGGTTTTGTCACTAGATGTTGTCATAAATCCTGTTATTTCGGGCTGCACAATCGGGTTGGTGTCAAACCAACACTTGTTTGAAAGCTGACATTTCAAGGAATACTATTTGTGAAGACAGTTCTGTAAGTCGTCATTGGTGTGAAAACCATTGTACGGCCTTGTTTTCAATTTGAAAAAATTGTGTGGTTTACGGCAGGAGTGTAGTATGTGCACGTCGGGTCGAAGAAGCCAAAGATGCACATCGATCTTTTCGGCCGATCCCACAAAAGGAAAAATTTTGGAACTGGTGAAGCAAGAACGGGCAGGCGAGCAGTCAGAAGATAGCGGTGAGATTAGGCATCACTAAAATTACAGTATAGAATCATCAACTGAGTGTGCGGTGGGATTTGAAGGGAATTGTCCATTATGAGCTGCAACAGCCTAACGAAACGTTCATTTCTGAGCTTTACTGTCAACATTCAACCGGCTTACAGCGAGGTCTTCAATAACACGTCCAGAAATGATTAATAGAAAAGGTTGGGAAGACTTGATACGCCCACCACAATTCTTGTAGCATCTGACTACCATTTATTTTGGTCACTACTAAACTCTATTGGTGGCGACAGAAGAAGAGCTGTGAAATATGATTAGGTCAAAGTCTTCGCCGATAAACCATAAAACGGATGCAATTTTGAAGCTACCAGAAAAGTGGCAAAAGGTCATAGATAATAATAATTAATATATACTTGATTAAAATTATTTATACACTAATATTATGCCGTCTAGTACTTGAAATTATCTGCTAGTTTTACAAAAACAAATAAATTTACGCCATTACAGCTTAATTGTTAAAGAATATTATTTTGTTTACGAAAGTCCTTCCATTTTAATTTTGTTTTTATAATTTTTAGCATAATATTTTAACTACTTTCAGTTGAAGACTTCATAACTGGTTTCCAAAAGACGGGGAAAGTCACTTCCTTGATCTCCCCCAAATCAAGCATATATACGCCACCATTCTTTCCGGTCTCTGCTACTTTCACCAAGTTCTCGGCACAAATTTCTGGACCTTGCCGAGCAGCCATGTCCAATAATCCAGCTAAATGTTTCGCGTATTCGAATGTCGCCTTCGTTTGTGGGTTCGCAACGAGATCTGTTTCTGTAATGCCCGGACAAATGGTGATAAAACTGACGCCATGATGATCATAAAAAACTGGGTTCTGTATAAAGAGTTGTTTTAAGGTGTACATATATACATATGTGTGTATATTAAAAATTAAGTGTCTCATGAGTTTACTTACTGCCATGCCACGTGTGAATGCGGTAACACCGTGTTTTGCTGCTGAATAAATTGTAACGGCAGAAGTTGGTTCTAAACCGGCAACAGAGGATATATTTATGATTAGACCACCACGACCGCCGGTTGATTTATCCATGTAGGGCAGTGCGGTGAGTGTGCTGTTGATCAAGCCTTTCTGTGAAATACGTAAATATGTATGTATATGTATATGTAAGCCATGAAAACACAGTTTTTTTATTTAGATATGCGAAAGACTTACCAAGTTTATGTCAATCATCAAGTCCACTTTTGTATCATCCATCATACCACACCCATTGACAAGCACATCAAATTGACCAATTTTCTCGACTGCAGTTTTGAAAGCCTTCGTAATACTGTCCTTGTTGGTGATGTCAAATTGAACGAAGAAGATTTTCGACTGCGGATATGATTTTCGCAAGTTTTCCAAAATTTCTGCATTTTCTTTCAAGTCGAAAATAACCAAGTTCTGTATTTTAAAATAAAAAACATGTTGGTTGGTATATATGTATATATATATAAGAATATTTATCAGGTGTACAGCTTCCGCCGTTTTTTTTTCCAAAATTAAAAGCTTTATTGCGATAAAGTGCTTACAGATATATTATTCAAAGTATTGTCATTCGCTAGCGACAACTTTCTCCCATCTTTCCGGTAATTTTTGGATCCCGGCTCGAAAAAAGGAGTCCTCTTTTGACGCTATCGATGAAGCAATCCATTTTTACAATTCTTCGAAGGATTGAATATGTTGATCTGCCAGGCCGTGTGCCATCGAGGCGACATCTGAGGAATACGGCGGGTGGGGCAAGACATCCCATTTCAGCGTTTCCAGGTACATTTTGACCACTTTTGCGACGTGAGGCCGAGCATTGTCGTGTTGGAGGATGACTTTGCTTTGTCATGTTCTGTCTGAATCAGGCCCAGGGCCTTGAGACGTTTTAAAATGGCTTGCTGACTCACTCCCAACGACTCGGCAAGTTTTTCTTGGGTTTGGCATGAATCTTCATCAAGCAATGCTTCTAGTTGTTCATCTTTAAAGGTTTTTTCTCTTCCACCACCATGTGTGTCTTCGACATCGCAGTCACATTTTGAAAACGTTGAAACCACTCCCGACACGTTGTTTCACTCAGAGCAGCATCACCGTAAGTTTCTGAGAGCATTCGATGCGCTTCAGCTGCATTTTTTTCGAATTGTAACAGAAAAGGAAAACTTCTCGCAAATGGCGAGAATAAGGCACATAAACGGACATTTTCGAGCGTGAATAATACGAAAACAAGAACAACTGTCACTGAAACGGCGATGACAATTCGTTAGGCACTGTCCACACTCACTTTAAACGCGTTATCATGTATGTACTTCAACCAGCCTGAGCCGGTACAGCCACCTATCGGAAAACGGCGGAAGCAAAGTTGTACACACCTCATAATATCAATAAAATATGCTTTCTAGAGCAATTTTCTAGATCAATTTTCCACAAAAGCTAATTCTTAAAACAGAAAAGTCAATATTTCTGAAAAAGGGTAGCCATAATATTCGACGCCGACTTTTCCACTTTCCACTTTTTTGTGGTCTTTTTTATCTAGCAAATTTCATTCAAATGATTTGGCACAGTGTACGAGTATGGCGTGAGCTTTCGCGCTTTCAATCGCACACTAATTTTTTCATTATCAAATGCTCATGCAAAATCCTGTTTACTAATCCGTAATCCTTCTTCTAATCTGCTACAATTCAATTCTTCGATCAGTCAATACCGATTTTTCGACTTTCTTAACATTTTATTCGGAAACGATAGCACCCCAGGTGGTGGTTATCCTCATAGGTCTCTCTTCTTGTTGAAACATCTCGTTGCTTCGAATTGTCAGGATTCCCAGCTTTCGTTGTTCCATAAACGAAATGTTTAAGAATGTGATAAACAAATTTATGTTATTCATACTAGAAAGGGGTATCAATAACTAGATGATGTGTCATCTTTAACTACCTTAGGTCGCGAACTTATCAGCCACACCTCGTGTGCACGTTGTAAAGCAGAAATTACATTCTATGGAAAAGTTTCTAATATCACGAAGTGTTGTACACTTGTACATAGATACACATATATGTAAGTATGCATGTAAGTGCATACGCAAACAATATAGCGTGCATGATCTCTATCTTATCTACCTTTACTTTCGCTATTTATATGCAACAAACAAAAGGAAAATTCTGTTCTGCACAAATAGAATAAACGGACCGGAGATTAGCACCGGTTGTACATCTGCATTGATAAATTAGACTTCGAAGCTTCGACCACATTATCGATTGTTGAATACAATTTGAACTGTTTTGTAAAAATCGTTTGATTTAATTCGGCCTCAAGCTAACAGTAAAACCATAATAATATTAAGTTTATATTTAAACTGTAAAAACAATTGATATTTGCAATCTCTTAAGTGAAACCAGATTTTTGTGAGCTTTTGAGAATTTCTCGCTAAAAATAGAATTTCAAAAGCAAAAACCACGGACAACCGCAGTCAGTGATAAAATGCGTAAAGTCCCCCTCTCGCCGTTCTCGCTACAATATAATGTAAAACAAGATTAAAATACGAAGATCGTTGCATTAAGCAATTCAACATTTAGGAAAGTAGGCGCAGCTCGTTCAGTTAAACCTTTTCATGTAATGTTTACGCTTAAAAGTACAGTCAGGACAATAACTCACAGACCATAAACGGGTAGTAAGGGGTGTGACAATTAAGTAATGAGACTGATTATATTGGCGCGATTGTGGTAATCCTGCGACCTTTCCCTTCTTCCGGCATCCTTCTCCTCTCCATTGATATATTTGCCATCGCTCTAGCTTATATTCTGAACTCCTACTCTTGCGTACTCATCCCACACGCGCTCAAGGCATTAACGTTGCCTGCCGAGCGAAAATTTGATTTTCCAATTGAATGTTGGTCGGACCAAGACTGGATTCTTAGGCATTGACGTTGCCTGCCGAGCGAAAATTTGATTTTCCAATTGAATGTTGGTCGGATCAAGACTCGGGGCTTAGGTTACCACTCAATGATAGGAAGCTTTAGTGGTACCGTATTCTATTTATTTACATCATCGGTCAAAAAATCGTGACGTTAATCCGACTTTCTTCTGGTTGGAAAAGAAAGCGTGGCGGAGATGGGTTCTATTAGCGACGAAGGACAAGACGAACTGAACTATCACCTGTCATCAAATAAGTAAAGAATTGAAAAGTATAGTCCTATATCGACGAAAAAAGAGCAAACTCCAAAAAAAAAATGTGTTAAAATAGTGTAACAACAAACTTTAACTGCCATTCGGATGGCCAGGGTTCGAGTCGTGGTTCGACCAACAATACCAAAATTTATTTTTCTGATTTTGGACATGAAATAAGAACGCGCCTAACAAAAATCCATCGACTGTGCGAAAGCGGCTTAGAATAACATCAAGATGCATACCAAAAATTGAAGTATTGTAGCAACTCGGCCGATAATCGTTTCAGCGGTTACAAAGCATCAACTGCGGGTTAGGGGTTCAAGAATTTACTCGCGGTAAGGCATGCCTGTCGTAAGAGGCGGCTAAAATCCTATAGTTCTCGCGACAGTCGGGTCTTTATACCGGAACGACCCGGATTTTTATCCAGCCGGGGACTATTACTCCCGCAACATTTCCCAAAAATTACTTTGGGGAATATTTTTGCGGTTAAAAAAACAACAAAAAATTATTATTATTTATATTATTATAATTCTTTTTACTATTATTATTATTATTATTATTATTATTATTATTATTATTATTATTATTATTATTATTATTATTATTATTATTATTATTATTATTATTATTATTATTGAACAACCGAACCCAAGAACTCTTTGCACGATATTTAATTTAACTTTTCACTTATATTTTTAACTTTTCTACGAATATTTCTTCCAACGAACTTTTGTATAGACCTTTTTTAAAAGTGCTTTTCCTAGCTGAAATCTATATTCGAAGTATAATACAAAATGCAAACACTTATTAATTAGAAATGTTTAAATAAAATTAATTACATTTTATTCGGAAACGATAGCACCCCAGGTGGTGNAAGTATAATACAAAATGCAAACACTTATTAATTAGAAATGTTTAAATAAAATTAATTACCTTTATGCCTTTGGCAAGGAATTGCTTTAAGCAATGCTGCCCAATGCCGCCAAAGCCACCTTCATAAATCACATTTTTACCCTTCAAATCCATGATTATTTAAATTATAAATTGGCAAATACAAAACTCCTGAAAACACTAGAAATTTAATTGATTAATTTCGTTTGCAAGCAATCCTGTCTCAGTTTGTAACCGTTGTCTGTTCCGTACGGCGGTCACTTTAAAACTATATATTGTGTGCTAACTGTATATACTTTTTAAGACCATTGAACACGATAAAGATTACTTCGCTTGTGATTATTTCGCTTGAGCTTGTGCTCAATTTCGTTTGAGCACAGAATAATAAAAACGCTAAATCATTCTCCTTCTTATCAGAGAGCAATGTTTGATAAGTCCAAATGTTTATTTTAAATTCTATTTTACACAAAATTATTATGATTTTCTTAACTGACAAACGAGCATTAGCGAGCTCTTGCATTATACGGCTTTTTTACGTCATCGTGAATTGCATTGTTTATCCTCTCAATTATCAACGGGAATTACCCCGTTCAATTTGTCAGTTTTCTGTTTCGCTGGTTATTTTTTTTTTGTTCCATGTAAAAACAAAGGGAGTTGAGAAGTTTTAGTAAGCGTTTATTAAATATTGAACTGAATTCAATCAAAATCATATTGCATTCCTTCGCTTATAATTTCAACAAGTTTAAGTAACCTTTTTAATAATTTTTGATTAAAAAATCAATCTAATGTAGAAATAGTTGTTTGCTTTCAAATAAAAGTTAATGTTGTAATATTTTATTGTTGGTTTTGATTTTTTTTTTTGTTTGATTTGTATTGTTGCGAAAATAAGAGGCGAATGTCTGATGAAAGAGAGAAGCCGAAAACTAGTACATTTTAGAACGATAAAACGAGAACCCTCGATAGCGAACAACTCGATTATTCTACACTTTCGTATACGAGCAGCCGACTGCTATATAAGAGCGACACTCAGCTGCCAAGTGAGTTACAAAGTGAACTCGTTGGCGACAACATCAGTATTGAGTATAGCGGAATAAACTGTTCGTTGCGTTGGCGATTACATTTAAGTAAAATAAATTGTGAAAGTCTTATACGAGTGATTGTAACTATTAAGGTGCATTGTAATTGAATTGTGAATTGCTGAGTAAATAAAGGAAATTAGATAAATTCTTTATAACGAAAGAAACTGCAAATTAGGTTGGCGACTTTTTATTTAGCAATCCAGAGATCTGAGGCATATGCTGTTGAACGCAATAAAATTATTCCTTATTTAAGCAGTGTGGCATGTCGCGTTGTCAGATATAAAAAGTAGCACAGCAAATCTCCTTTTTTCCTGTATTATATTTCATTTATTTTCAGTTGAAGACTTCAAAACCGGCTGCCAAAAGACGGGAATGTGACTTTTTTGATCTCCCCCAAAGCAAGCGTATATACGCCAGCATTCTTTCAGTCTCTGCCACTTTCACCAAGTTCTCGGCACAAATTTCGGGACTTTGCCGAGCGGAGATATCCAATAATCCAGCTCAATGTTTCGCGAGTTCAAATATCGTCTTTGTTTGTGGGTTCGGCATGAGTTTTGTTTCTGGAATGCCCAGACAAATGGTGATAAATCTGACGCCATGACGATCAAAGTAAACTGGGTTCTATACAAAGAGTTGTTTTAAGGTGTACATACATACATATTATATATTAAAAAATAAGTCTCCCATGCCAAATAAATTACTTTTCGTTGTTTTCAAATTTTCCTTCAATTTACTGGACAAATTAGAAGTGTTTTTTATATCAAACAGGAACATTAGACCAGAATTGTCTCACATGAATTATAAGAAAAAAGTTTATATACTAAGCATAATACAATAATTTATAGGTAGTTTCATTCTCTCTTCGCAGTGGGCCTCATAGATATTTGACATTAAACGTGTGTCATCTTTTCTGTGCTACCGGAAAAAATCCCTTTGAACCATTTCTCGAAAACAATATTTAATTTCTCTTTTTTGAGAAGCCGAAATTTTGTCAAAAAAAAACTTTCCATTAATCGCAAGATTATACATTACTTTAACGAAATCGGCAGATTTTTTTCATATCAGATGATTGACTTCAGATCTGCTGTAGCAGCTTCAAAAACTATTATTTTCATAAATAACCAATTGTAACTACTCTTCAAAGGCGTCATAATATGTGTACAAGTGTTTAAAATAATAAAGATTTTTTAAACATTGATATTTATTTATTGAATCTGTTTCGACATCAGAAGTCTATTGTTGCATTATATAAGAGGACTTTGTTGCTAAGGCTAAGTCCAGACTTCTTGTTTAAAAGCCAATGCCAACTGAGTTTAAGCTGCAGTTTTTTAAACTGAAGGATATTGTGGAAAGTGTAAGGTAATGATTTTTTAATTTTATGAATGAGGCCATTATGTCACACTTTGTCAAATGCTCGCGCCACATCAAGAAAAAGGCCCCAGCTATACTCTCTCATTTCAAAAGCTTTCCTTATTTCATTTGTTATACGATTTACTTGTTCAATTGCGTCGTTTTTCCCGTAAAACAAATTGATGTGTGGGAATAATATCATTTTGAAGTAGAAGAGGAGTAATTTTTGAAAGCAGCACTTTTTCGAAAAGTTTTCAAAGGCAAGGCAACAGACTGTTTGGTCTAAATGATGACGGCAGAGTTGCTAAAAGTTTCTTCGTGAAAAATGCTTGAAAAACTCCTCCATACTAGATGAAACTCCTTTACAAAGCTTTTATGAAGATTTCTTTGAGTTAATAAGTAAAAAAGGTGCTAATTTATATGTATATATGTATGCATATATGATTCTCGTTTGTCAATCGCTGAAGCGACTTACGTCCGTGCTTCATCTCAAATTTGTGGTGTGGGTCTTGATGTTTTTTCAACAAATGGATGGAGCTACAGTTTTTTTTGAAAAACTTTGATGTCGACTTTACCCACCGAGAGATTGTCATTTTTAAAACTTTCATGAAGATGTTTTTGTATATAAATTTTGGTCCAAATTAAGTACATGTAAAGTAAAACCAAAATACGAGTATATACTTTCCGGTCAGTACTACGAGATAGATTAAAATCTGTAAAAAAGGCATCCAAAATTTTAATGCATCTAATTCAAATAAATATGAACTCTGAAAATGATCAAAAATTGATATGTTCATGAAAGACATGACCTTTGTTGTAATTAACTAATTTTTTATACTTTTGGTTTTAGGTCTCATTAGGTTCGGTTCCTCTCTTTATCGTGTAAATAGAAAATGTACTCTTATAGAAGATTAAGAGTGTACAGCTGCTGGGTTATGCCATTGAAGTAGACATTATTGGCCTCAACAACCGCGCAGTTAGTTTTGCTTTCTCTAGACTTAATAAAGATCTAAGAGAATGGGTCTGGTAGTGAATGAGGAGGAAAGTACTCCAGCTTTGAAAGTATTCGATGCAGTACCCGCTGGTGGAAGCAGACGATAAAGAATACCCCCACTCCCTTGGAAGAATCAGGTGGAGAGTGACTTGGTTTTATTTGGTATTTCCAATTGGCGCCAGACAGCGCGCTTATATTAATTCGACCGGCTATGATCGCGTAAGCGGTGCCAACAGCCAATAAAGTTGAAGAAAAAGAGTTTCGAGTCCCCGCATGACAGTGGGTATGGCAAACCACTCGGCTAATGCGTTCGATGTTAATTACATTTAATTTAAGATTATTTAAACATTAATAATTACATCATTTCCAAGGGCAGCTGATTCACTAACTGCAAATTTAATGCCAAGAGGGTAACTCTGGTCAAAAGCTGTGAGAAAAATGTGCAGAGTTTTTTAGAAATTAAGAAGGACAGGTAATCTAAATACTAATGTAAAGAAACAGCTTTGGAACTTTCTATGCATTAATAAAAATCTCGAATTGAATATTAAGTAGACTTATCCTCTTAATATTTGTAAAATTTTAATATGTAATATAATACATATTAATCAATTTTATTTAAACTAATCCAAATCATATTAGTATCACAAATTACAATTTTTTGATAAAAAAATATAGGAATCTAATATTTTTCCTTGACACCGCCGAATTTTACTCTCGTCTTTATTATCTTCCCAAAATGCAACGTTGAGCTAAACGAGCGGCAAAACGAGCCGTCACTACGAATAACGAATTGTCTTATCGCATCATGGAATTTGCCTTCCTTTTTTGTTGTTTGGTTCCATCATTTCTTGATTCCAACAGATTTTTAGCTTTTCGATAGAAAAATAATTGAAGAGGAAAAATGTGAATTATGTTTGATTTGCTGGATAAAGTGGGAAATGTCATGCAGAGCAAAAAGTCTTATCTGCCATTGGCTTAAGAATTTAAGAAGGCGAGATAATTCTTTGTATTTATTTAAAAAACAAAAAATAAATAAAAATGCATAAAAATTGCACTTCATGTATGTATGCATGTATGTACGTTATTAAATAAGGTAGTAAATTAAAACAAAAATAACTTTTGCTAACCTGGGATTGCATTTTATTATTCTCGTGCAAATAGATTTGGGGAAAATATTTAACTTCACGAAATCTAATACACCTGTACACAAAATCAAGAAAGCGTCCTTAAATAAAAAACACAATCTTCGCCTTATCTTTCTTTGCTTGCACTTTTTATATGAGTATGCAATAAACAAAAGAAAATAGGTACATACAGACATTATATTCTACATATAAACATGCAATGGGCGATGGGCGATAAGCACCTGTTGTGTATCTGCATTAATAAAATGAACTTCGTAACCCCCACCAAATTTTCGGTTGCTGGCAATGCAATTAAAAATAATTATTTTGTTGAAATCGTTTTATTTAATTTGGCACAAGCTAACAGTAAAATCATAATAATCATATATATATAGTGCTCGCGTCACAGTGTTGGACACGATACTCCTCCGAAATCGTTTGACCGATTTTTGTGAAATTTTCTTTAAAACTCAGTAGGTTTGAGGAGAACATAAAATCTATTTTTCGCACAGTGAAGAGAATCTGGGACTGATCTTTTCGAAAAATTTGATTTTATAGTTCGATTTACTTGAAATTTGATGCATTGGCAGCCTCTTGCTTAGTTAAGCAGGAACATTACTTTTGATTCCAGAAATCGTACCTACGACTGATGTTTTCGGAAACTCGTTTCTATGGTTTGG